ATTCGTACCTGTTGATACTTTTGCAACTTTTAGTAGGTAAAGGGTTAACCGTTAGTTAACGAATACTTTAGGCGTCACTAATGCTATTCTTTCCTTAAGTCCTGGTAACGAGAGTAACTTTCAACCAACTTGGGATTCACAAGGTAGTTGGTTTCCTTTGTGCGTCAAGGCACCGGAAATGTAACGCTGAGTACGAGCTCTATTTCCTCACATGTAGTCCGCCGCTTGCTATCTCCAGCTGCTCGATTCGTTCATTGTGCCGTTGCTGCTCCGTTTCCTGCATTCGTCATCATTGCCATGCTGTTGTCGTTATTCTTAAATGTGTGTGTCTGCATTGTTTATTTTAGATGTTTTTTTCTCGTTGTTTTGTGTTTTTTGTATCATAAATTATTGCATTCCTTTTATGCATTCATTTCTCTCCCTGTTTCTCTTTTTTGAGCGTTTGTAACTAACTTGGCTCCCTTCCGCACCACTGATCCTAAATTCCGTTATTTCAGTTTCCGCTGTCGCCTCTCCTAATATCATTTCATTTACTTTAAATACTTTAACTGCTGCCAGTGTCTCCAAGTTTCAGCTTATGTTGTTCGTTCTGAAAGGGCCATTCCCTGTTTTTCTACCTACCCAGCGAACCACACTTCTAACGATAAAAAACCTTGGTACCTTCTGCGCATCGGTCATGTAGTTATTTCAATACCTGCGCTCATACATGTATTTGAATCGGCGAGATATTACCGGGGTGGTCTCACGCTACTTACCATAGGCTGCGACAGATGAAGTTTAGCTTTAGCTCGGTCAAGAATTCTTACTGTCGGGTTATCGGAGATTGTTCTGTAGCCACCGGTTTTATTTATTCGCTCATTTTATTTTTTGCGTCTCGCTTTTTGTTCACCCTCATACTTTTTATAGTATTCAATTTTTTTGTAACGTGCTCTTGAAGTTTTGTACCAGACGTCACGATAATCTCTTGGTAGAATGATAATTACTATAGTAATAAGATGCCGGCTAAGCGTCCGCCTTGAGCTCATTGTGCTGACCGTGAGGTCTCGCTCTGGCCGTTTTCTGGTGCTCGTATTTTTCCCATTCAAATGCCTGTAGACCGTATGGGTCTCGCAACTTTCGTCGTGGAACGCAGTCGAATTTTCGAGACGAGTTTTCACGAATTATATGCGTTTGGAAGTTTCTTTCTCTTACTTTTAATCACAGTACTCTCCTAAAAAATATTACTCAGTACCCACTGCAGTGAGTGACAGAGGGCGCATTTTCTCGTCGACGAAAACGTGAAGTCACGGACGGACGGACAATAGTGCATTTTAGTGCAAATAGACAATAGTGCAAATGCACAATAGTGCATTTTTTCCATAAATGAGAAAATGCGCTAAAAAGAGTAGAAATTATTTCTCGAGAAATTTGAATCAATTTAAGTTTCTTACCTAGTTCTAAGATCATGAAGCTCGAACTTACGAAAATGTTCTTTTATTGCAATGAAGATTTTTTTTATACTCAGTCCCAGTACACATAGCATCTACACTGAAATTATAGTTCTTTAAAACGTTTTCCACTTTACGCTGCTCAGCGTAGCATTTTTCGTGGCACTGCTTAGTCATCGCAAAGCCCACGCGTGAGACGCGCTGAACAATTACGCGTCTTTGACATCGTAAGCTTGGTAAGGTTAATAGTCTGCAATGTTCAAACAGTTATCATGTGTTGATTTAGCTTATTTTGTGTTGAACTATCTCATGGCTTGTAGTAAAGCACGTTGGAGTGAATAAGATTAGTTCATGTGGGGCACCAGCAAACACTTCATGCGCCGTTCATTGCTTAGTAGAGTACGTTGCAGTGATTAATATTATTCTGAGGCGCCAGAAAACTTTCTAGGCCCAATATCTCTCTGCTCATGGCTTAGTAGAGTACGTTTGAGTGAGAGGTGGTAATGTCGAGGCGAGTTGTGCTATGGCCGCTTGTGCTCGTGTTGGAGGCAGTGAAAGTGATGGCCCCAATAGCGTTGCGGTATCGGAAAAGCGTATAGCGTCAACGTAAACGCGGCGTATGTTTATCTGGTGGTGTGTGCTGCCTGGGTGGTGTGTGCTGCATGGGTGGTGTGTGTTGCATGGGTGGTGTGTGCTGCATGGGTGGTGTGTGCTGCATGGGTGGTGTGTGATGTGTGTGCTGCATGGGTGGTGTGTGCTGCATGGGTGGTGTGTGCTGCATGTGTGATGTGTGCTGCATGGGTGGTGGGTTCTCAGTTCCATTACTTTGGGCCGCTGGCTTGATTACATCGCGTCCACTGACTTGGTTGTTCATATGCACCTCTTCAAATTACGTTTCCATGCTACCCTCGCATGAGGAGTCCTGCTTTAAAGAGGTCTAGCATAAGCTGGCGATTAAAATTTCGTCACGTTCTCGAGTCACTCTAAGGATATTACTGCGATGCAATGCAGTCGACGTTACCTCTTGACAGCTTAGTTTCAATGCAGAGGGTGCAACAATTGCCTGACCTCGTGCCACTTCCACGGCACTCACGTATGTATCTGTTTTCACTTCCTAATGCATTCGCTCCTTCTGTTCTATCCTGCATTCTTTTTTAGTTCCGCTTTTAATTTATTAGCAAACTCGGATCAAGTTAATATTAACTGAGATTTTTTTTTTCGACGCAAGAATTTGCCGTCAATACTCATGATAGTGTAGCTGCTAAGTTCCGTTAGACTACAGCGTTGTTACAGTATATCTCGCCACTGATTTTTGAATACAGAACTTAACTCGAGACACGCACATTAATGAGCAATTGAGCATCACGAGAAGGGAATTTATTTATGCAAACTCATTTATTTCTAAGGTTGCGTAGTTTATCGGGTGCAACTGGCATTTTTTCTACCATCACTATCCACACAGAGATTATATGGATTTAATTCCTGAGCGATTCAATTGCGCTCTTCCATGGTAGGTATGGTAGATATGCTTAAACGCGGGCTTCTTTGACGCGCAGGCATGTTTGCGTGTAATTTGTGACACACTGACCTCAATAAACCTGAACTACAGCGCTCGTAATGTGTCCTGCAGTAAGCGTGACATGGCCTTCAGTACGCGCGATTTGACCATCAGAACTCGTGACCTGACCTCCAATACGCGTGACCTGACCTCCAATACGCGTGACCTGACCTTCAATACGCGTGACCTGACCTCCAATACGCGTGACCTGACCTCCAATACGCGTGACCTGACCTCCAATACGCGTGACCTGACTTCCAATACGCGTGACCTGACCTCCAATACGCGTGACCGGTCCTCCAATACGCTTGACCTGACCTCCAATACGCTTGACCTGACCTCCAATACGCGTGACCTGACCTCCAGGATGCGTGACTTGACCAGTACGCATCACCAGGTTTTCAGCAGCGCACGTGCTGATCAATACGCATGCGCATCTTCGCTGTGCCGTCATCACTGCCCTCGCTTCACTCAAGTGGTAGAAGCTTTAATGCTTGTCATGTGACTGCGTGACTGGCACATTACACTTGACGGCTGGCAGTCGTCCCGTTATGCATTCAGTCCTTCATATGAGAGGGCATGCAATTCTTGCGCTCACAGTTGTTGTGACCGCCGTATTCGCGGCACCAATATCATGGCCAAAAAGGGATTTTTGACTTTTTAAATTTTCAAGACGATATTATGAGAACATCAGGAATAACTTGTTTCTCAATTCGCAATTATCTTTGTATTTTTGCTGTAAAAATGTAAAGAGAGAATGAATAAAAGAAAATTACTTTGGCACAATTGACTATACCTTGATCTATCATCCCTGATTCTCTGATTCCTAATTGTATGATATAAATGAATTATTTGAACCTCGAGAATGCCTTCGCGATAGAGCGTAACTGACGCCCATCAGCCACCCGACCCTCAAATCTTCGGCCTCACCGTGGCCTAGGCAAAGCATACCGTATACAGGGATTAAACACCTGAGAAATCCGCAAAACATATTTTAGTATGGTTTAGGTCCACCTTTTGCGGCAATTACAGCCTCAATTCTTACAAGTATTGATTATTTCCAAAGGAATTTTAACCCATTCTTCACTTAAAACTTCATCAAGCTCTTTTGAAGGCGATGGCGACTGGAATGACGTTATTTTTCGACTATATTTCATGTCCCCCTCAGGGAGGACTTCTGACGGATGTCTGTGGTCGTCAGAAGTTCTATGGGATTTCGCGTTCCTAGGGGGATTGTTCCTGAGCGCCCCACCGCTGAGCTCGCGGTGTCTGACTGTAGGTCTCAGTTGTGGGGTTAAGTTATTATCTAGGTAGGATTCCTTACATTTCCCTTCTTTGTCTCTCGTGCGGGCGGCCGATGTCCCGTGTAAGCGACCTCTTGTTCGAGTGTCTTCGTTTCTGTTGCTTTTCACCTGTCCCTCCTTGTCACTTCGTCTCTTTGAGATGCTAACGCTGCTTCTTTCGAGCCAGCTTCAGCGGGCTGGACATCTGAGACCTTCCGCCCCTTGTGGGTGATGAATAATTGAGACCTTCCACCTCTATGGTGATGTTCATCTTGACTTTCGGTGCGAGATAGCTAAATAGCTGAAGCGCTAGTAAACATTTGGCCACTAAACTAAACTAACTAACTATATTTCATGTCACGATCGTCGAGCTTTCTGACTTAAAATCGCCTTATGTCTTTTAGGCGTTTGTTGTTGTGGGCCGTAATGAAAATTTGCAGTGTAACGAAAAAATCAAAGTTAAATTAAAGTACCGTATCAGGATAATTTTCCGAGGGAATTTGTGGTACTGTTGTCCTCATGTTCTTATGTTTTGCAGAATAATGTGCGGTGCACAGGAAATCGCTTGCTGTTCGCCAATGTTAAATCGCGTGTCGTTCACAGCTTCAAAAGCGACTGTGGTACCTACCCTTTTCAGAAGCGCTCGTGAATTGATTGTGGTACCCTTTTGCGAATGCTATTTGCTAATTTATACGAGTTAAGCTATGACCCTAAAGTTTATTCGTTGTGCAGGCTCACATGAGGTTCCCCATGGACTACCCATACTCACCCCCCAGCGTGCGGTTCCTCACTAAAGTATGGCACCCCAACGTCTACGAGAACGGGGATCTCTGCATCTCCATCTTACATCCTCCTGTCGACGATCCTCAGAGCGGAGAACTGCCCTGTGAACGCTGGAATCCCACTCAGGTAAAATCATTTCTGTATATTTTTGTAAAATTGAACCATTTTTGATGGTATAGTCGGATGAATTATTCTTGTCATGCGTGGCTCCTTGCGCTGTCTATAAATAATCGATGCAAAAGGAACGCCAGACCCGGACTTGACGGAATGAATATGACAACGCATGTTGCTTACTTTATTCTGCACCCTACTATTGATCACGTAACCTAAAAATATTGATAAAAACTTTAATCAAAGAAGTTTCATATTTAATGGGTTTACTTGCCCTGAAACATCAACAAAATGTAAACATTATGTCTAAAATTTTCATGAAAGCATACAATATTCTAGTATTTGACATTAAAAGAAAGAATATCTCTTAGAATCTCCATGAATACCATCTGTGATAGGGTATATGAAGCGAATTTTTTTCCTAACCTAGCCAATATCACGCCAGGAAAGCTTGCCGGTTACATGGGTCGCCATGCAGGAGATTCAGTACTTTGACAAACTTGGTGGCATGTTACAATATAGGGCTCCAAACTATATAATTAATCAACAAGTGTTATGAACCTACGAGTATAATTATAATACTGAGTTTATGAGAAGAGATTCAAGATTCTGGGTTTGCTCCAGCTAACAAGATCAATAGGTACTGAAATAGTCCTTGAAAATAATCTGTCAGATAACGGCAAACTAGGTTTGGACAGAAATGTCAATTATTAAAAGCGTAATGTGAGCAAGGTCACGTTCGATGAGACTGTTGCCGCTTCTGAATGCTCAACGGCTATTCCTAGCGCCAAGTATCTCGATAGAAATTGGATTTAAAATAATTAAGAGTATAGAAAAATTATTATCTTATACTAGGAGCACTTCCTGTGTGCACCACAAGGTAATTGAGTTTTTTCGAAGATGCATAAGTTTTCTCTCGCCTCTGAGAAGGGCACTTGCTAGATACCAATTACATTACTCTAATTAGTTATATTTAACGCAACGCAATGCGCTAAAAAATGATGGGGGCGAAAATGGAGAGCGTCAAAGCACTTGTTACGTTTGAAATATTAAAAATTTGCTATGTCGCATCGAAATTGAGGCTTTAATTGTAAGTTTTGACTAAAATTACCCACTTCCGAGCTGGGGGCAAAAAATTTATCTAGCTATGCTGTACCGTTCGATTCGCGATCATTTTTTTATAGTTTACGCACGGAGGCGCTTCGTTAGAAGCCTCATCTGTAAGAAATGACGCTGAAGTACCACGGAAGAGACGTTTCCGTTGCTGATATTTCGCTCGCTATCGAAATTAGCTCATAAATGCAACAGGTTGAACAGAGGCTCCGCTCACCGAACAAACCTCCGAAACTGAACAAGATATGCTCTCAAATTTATTGCAAGATGCACCAGGTTCCAACTTTTAACAAGAACTCTTACACGCGGTCAAACCTCTCCGTTTTGAAGATTCATATCGGTATATTATGTATTCTGAACGCACGCAAGCGCGGCCCTTGCTTGGTGGCTCGACAGCTACTGTTGTTGTCTCGGACGCTCAACACTTGCAGTGCATTTTATCGGACGTTTAACAGCTGCATTGGAAATTTGAAACGAACAGTGCGACCGTTGCCCTCACAGCTCACGGCGCTTTCACTCATAGCGGTTTCGATTCTTTATAGGCCAGCTCATAATTAGGTTACAGATTACAATTTGAGGCTATTTCGGAAATATCAGCCGGATTCGAGAAGAGTAATTATAACGATGATGATTGTAAACAGCTAATACCATGACTGACGATGATGATATAGACCGTGTGGCTAAGGTGCCTGCCATGTTTCAGAACGTACGCACAGTGCTGCTGTCCGTGATCTCTCTACTGAACGAGCCCAACACCTACTCCCCCGCCAACGTCGATGCTTCCGTCATGTATAGGCGCTTCAAAGACTCCAAAGGATCAGACAAAGAATATGAGAATATTATCAGGTAAATATACAATACTTGTTCTTATTAAGAAAGCAAAAAATTTTTGGTTACCGCTGCAAAGAATGTCAATCTCAAAAAGAGTTGCCCATGTTATTTCATGGTGCGAAATAAGTTTGAGAACACAAGTCACTCTATTTTACCCTTTAAGTCAACTGATCATAATAATATCCGTAATTTTGATAAGAATGGTACATTTTTAGGCTCATTTTTATTAATTTAATAAATAACCTCTAAGAACACTAATTGCAAACTGTGCTACGGTGCCACTAGATGGTTAGATTGGAGCCCAGATAGATCATTGCCTCCTGGTCGTTTCATTGCACATGGGAGATCATGGCAGAATTATCAGGTCTTCTTACGCCACTCACTCAACCCTTTATTTACTGACGGTCTATTTTATTAGCAGGCATCTGGCACGATAATTATTGACGAATGTAAAATATTATTTCGGTATGCAAAGGGTCCACTTTTCATAATTGGGTAGATTTCAGCGTATTTATTTTTGCAGGAAACAGGTTTCCCTGTCACGAAAAGAAGCGGAGAATGACGGCGTAGTGGTGCCGCTTACACAAGAAGATTATTGCATCAAAACCAAAGTCAAACCAGAGACAGAAAATGTCGACATGGCAGATTTCTACGACGACGACTACGATATTGATGACGACGACGAAGAGGAGTATTCTGACGACAGTGAGTTGCTACAAGTTACGCCCAATAAATTAATACATTGACTCAAAGATGAAAACGGTATGGTATTTTTTAAACATTTATTTGTGATGCTATCTTAAATGGTGAAAGGAATGAACAGCGACTTATTGTTCGAGTGAAGTTCATTATGTTTGCTGATACTTGCCGCATTAATTCTGTAGTTCGTTTGTTTTAGTGATACCATGCTTTGAGCTGGTGTAGAATTACACTAATTACATGTACATTTCAAATTTATCAAACTAAAACATAGTGCTATGATGAGTTCAAATAAATCAAACTAGATGAGGACCAATGAAGCAAAGTTCAAGGAAGAAAAATAAAACTGCTCTCCCTCGTGAATCTTGCACAATTAAATTGCATTAGACAGGTTAGAAGGGTGTTCAAGTCGCAATCTGTGAAAAATATATAACTCGGAAATTCTCTTTGCATTAATAGCTGCATTGAGACTTGTTCACAACACTACTCCTCAGAAGGTGTGATGTTGTTCCTCTTGCTGCTTTGAAACTCCCATTTCATGCTCAATGTTGAGCAGAGAACTGCAAATCTTAGCAGAGATTTGTAGCTGTGGAGCCTACATAGCAGAGTAACTATATGGCAAGGCACTGCATGCAGTACGTAGAAAGCTGTCTGCCCAGTTAGTGAAGAGTCCAAACCCATCCTTTTCAGCATCGCTCCAAGTTTTAATAACTGTAAACCTCAACCTCGAGGTGCGATCAGATGTCATCTCTAAAAAATTTGTCTTGCAGACAGGCTAAAACCGCCACTTATTCTATGCAGATGAGATAAAAATTATAACGTGATAGCCATTCCCGTTGCGCGCTTTATTCCGCTCTATTATTACAACACTTCTCTTTAACTTCACTTCTTGTTTGTCTGTCTGTCTGTCTGTCTGTCTGCTACAAATCTTGTAATCGAAATTTAATAAACTTCTACTTATCCTATCGATCTGAAATTTTGCACACTTGTGTCAAGTTGGAGACAATGCAGGAACCAAATGTCAGAATAAAAGATTGAAAAAAATCCAATATTAAAATATTGAAAAACTAATTTTGTCAGCTACAAATCTTATAACTGATATCTGACACACTTTTACCTGTCTGATTGATCTGAAATTTTGCGCACTTGTGTGAAGTCAGAGGCAATGCATGAATCATTAATAGAATAAATAATTTTGAAAAAAATTATACACTAAAAAATTTATATATTAAAAAAATTTTAAAAACTAATTTTTTAATTTAAAAATTAAATGAGAAATTCATTGTACATTTGTAACATTGGAGACACTGGATTCTTTGGAAGTGTTGTCTTTAAAAAGTAATTTTTAAACGCATATTATTGTAGCTGCATTTAAAAAAATTCAACTCAAATCTTTATTTTTTGCATTGTATCCAGTCAAGGCTCTGTCGGTGACGCAAAAATGATCAACGACACGAAAAGAACTTTGTGCCTATTTCGTTATGAACGCCGAATCTGCTCCGCTGCAAATATGCCAAAATATTCAGTCGATGGGTTATGAGTATTCAGCATGGAAGTGAATGCAACAGCCTGGGAAATACTTGGTCGAAATGCACTGCTAATCTGAGTGAGCAACTAAACGTTTAGCGTGTTGGTAACTACGTTGAAACCTAACCAGCGTTTTCTTGTGTTCTGAATACTTTCTTTTAGAAAGGTGAAGAGAAACTCATAAAATTAGTGTCGTTATGTAATACATTTTGATCTTCCTGAAGCACGTTAGCCGGAACACGCGTGCCATTAATACTACGTTTGAACGTGGCGCCAAGGCTGCACAGTGTGGGACGCACAAGTATGCTTGCTTACATGAAATTAACTTGGTGTGTTTCGAATGGGCATTAGTGACCGTGATGATTGTGGGCGCCGTAAATACAAAGTCCATCAACGTAACAAAGCAATGCATCTTGATAAAAAGATGCATTGCTGCTACGAGCACAAGCAGCGCTCCTCTCCTCCTGTGATTGCAACGGCATACTGAGCTCTGTGCCCACATGGATGCAGTCTTACTGGGCACTGCTTATTGTTTTTTTTTTAATTTGCCACTTCTAGCTCAATTCATGAAATTCAAATATTTTTCTCCTTAGACTCGCCCTTGAGGTGCGTCCATCATAACGTTTATGAATTACAAAATAAATCGATTGAAAAATAACCTATTAAGTAGCAAGTAATCAAGATTGTACTTTGTTTCAGATCTGTACGACGGAGATGACAGTGGCAATGGCGAGTCGTGATAGCCTTTCCGTGGAGGCAGCCTTTGTGTGCGTGTTTTTTACGAGAAAGAGTATGTTGTTTAGAAGTCTCTTCACCACCACCACCACCACCATGTACGTGCTCATCCTCTGGCGGTGTTCTGCAGCGACGCCTCAACTCGCTTAGTTGACGTCGTCCCTTGTTTCGTTCTGAAAATAGCGTCTGAAGTTGTGTGTGTAATTGCAATGATGATAACTGAGAGGTTTCTTGATGACACCGGATAAAGAGTTCGTAACTTTTCGCCTCTCTCAGGGGAAGAAATTGTGCGATGAGGTTCACGTGTGTCGTCGTTGTCGCCGATCAGACGTCCTTTTCATCACCGTCATCTGCATCACTCGCTTAACTTCCGCATAATGTCATCCTTCGCTACTTTTACTCCTGTGACCACTTCGTCTTCTTCTGCCATTTATTCACATTAATCAAACTTTAGTTCACATTTGTATTTACTCAAGAATAATAATATTGAGTTTGGTATTATTGACGCGTATAGCATATTGTAATGAAAATTAAAGGAAATGCGTTTAATAATGATTTCGTGCAATTCCTGTTGAATTGTTTTACTTGTTTATCTTACTTGTCTTTCATCATTTATCATTCGTTTGTCACCATACTCTTCTGCCAGCATCATGCAGCATGAAGCTATCTAGTAACTCCATTACACTACACTACTATGGTTGCTTTCGCTCACTTCAATTTTGCCAAGTTTTTGACTTCAATTTGCATTTATTTTTGAAGATATTCAGCTTCCTTTTCACACATTCGCCTCTTCATTGTTTAATCTCGATGAAAGTTCTTTATGGTTCTTTCCCCTATGAACACGATCTATTTCTCTATGCAAAGCCATTACTGGTTAGTTGCGCTAAGTTTGTATATTGTTCAGTTCTTGTTTCGTGGTCTCTTCATCCACAGTCGCGGTTGTTTGTTAGCCGCTTCTAGAGTTTAGTAAAATTCTAAGAGCATCACGATGTCCAAATTACCAGGACCGACGTACTCACGACCACGTCGATCTGTAGACAAGATCATGTCCCACGCGGCCTCCTATTTACTACTTCTCTTGTATTGGCCTCTTGTGAGTCCCTGGCGATAACCGTTGGGTGATGGCCGTGGCCTAGAGGCGTGGGGGAATATTGATTGTCCAGGCTCCACACATTCGTCCACTCAGCCACGCCATGGAGGTATTCCCGAAATTATCTCGGTTATGAATTATTGCATAGAATAATCGATGATAAAGATTAACCAACTAGCCGCGGGCAGTCCCAAATTAGACTATTTTATTTGTTAAAGACCTGTAGTTTTTTGCATTTTTATTATTCAGGACATTCTACTCATATTTCGTAGAGATAAATAAGTGGGCACATCGGCATTTATATGTACAAGTGTATCAGGCAAATTGGGCGTATAACATTACTACGACAGGGCATACAGCGGCACTCCGTCATTAGGGTGTGTACTTGTGTACAAGGGCAGCATAGGTTTACAATAGAGACAGGTTCTCGTCAACACGAATTGACTCGACTTTGCCTACGTCATTTATTCTGTTATTTATTTAGACGTGGGTACGCTGTATATTTCTCCTCAAAGTAATGACTCTGAGTGAAATGTATTTTGTACGATCCTCCATCGTGGGTTTTAAGTGTGCATATCCTGTTCTGTTCGCTTGATTATCGTTTTCCCAATTAATCCCCATTTTACCCCGTTACTTTTAGTTAAAAATTTCCCAGCTTTAATATTATGCAGATTGAGGAAAACTCGATACAAGACGCTATCGGTGCGTTAAATATATATTTCATGATACGCCACTTCACATGTTTTCTTTTGTTTACATTTCGCTCACCCTATTTGACGACTTTTCATCCTTGTCAGATATTTTACATTATGTGGTATCGACCCATGTTCCTTAGCTGCCCTGGTAGACGGCCTCTGCCTTGTATTCATATAAACTCGGCAAATTGGTGTCTCGAAAACGTTGGGGAAATGGTGAAAATTAGATTGGTATTATGAATTTTTTCCTGGTAATTTCTCAGACTTGATTTTGTTTTCCTTGGCAATGAATTTGCTGTGTCGTTCTCCCAAGATGAAGGTCCCTCCAAGGCTGGCTTCCTCATCCTCTTAATATTTTTCCTCATTTCGTTGTTGCAGCGCAGCGCTAATTTTTCTTCTTCTTTCACTTGTTGATGTACAATTTTTGCTTTGAAATTCTCTATCCATGAAGTGAATCTAATTCGCTTGTTTTGTTTAAATTTTTTTGATTGACGAGTTTAAAAAAATATTTGATAGCTTAGAAGCATCGTGCGAAGTCTCCTCGTAATAGCGTTGATATGGTCTGGTGTCCGGACTGTAACCGCCCCCCAGTCCTTCGTCTATTGGCGTTGAACCTGGTGCCAGATCTCTGCTTTTGAGAATGTTTACAGCTGTTCAAGTAGCTTGAAGACCTCTTTTTAGGAATACGACTCGCATGTCTTTCTGTCATAACTTGACTGTCTTTACCATCAACGTTGGGCCTGTCGAAAAATTTGCTTGCTTTTTCGTGTAGTGTATAAGTTCATTGTGCGATATATCATTGTAAATAAGTCATCAATGTCATCTTACGAGATTATGGGGATGTGAGAATTGATCCTCATTATCGTTCACTTGAGAGTTAGTGGTGCGACACCGTTGTCACGCACTCATTTGAGGATTTGCAATTTATTAATAGGTTTTCGGTGATAGGAAGTGTTAAACTTGGTAGTATCACATTGTCCTGACAACGGCAGTTACTCTCGCAAAAACAGTCTGGAATGTTGGGCGTCCCATCGGTGATCGACGTCCCTCGCACTCAACTAAAGTGTATTCGCGTTTAATGAGAGCAGTCACCCTTCGAACTAACCAGTAATGCTACACGTATCGAGTCTTACACTTTACTCGTCCAGAAAGCTATATTTTAGTGGCAGCGGTGCGAATGTGGTTCACTTTTCTCAACGGTCCATTATCGCGAATATCGTTTCCTCAGGAGCATTTTCTCTAATATGGGTGCTTGTCATTTCTGGCATCTCCTTCGTTACGGTTCTCAGAGTCGGGTATTCGAGACTCGTTGCAATCATAGTGAATTTAGAGTAACATGTCAACAATTGGCAGGTTACGATTTACCTTTTGTTAAAGGATATATCAACGGTAGACAGTGCTATTCGTTTCTTAAGGTCTACTAACTATAGTTACCCTCGTCAGACGAAGGGTTAAAGCCTGAATTTGGACCCTCGAAAATTACCGTTGTCTCTCTTTTACGATGTTCGAAAAGCTTTTTTTGCGTGATACCGTCCCTACATTGAACTACACACTTTCAATCGTTTCTTGTTACAAACTAACTTTTCAAAGGCGGGTACAAAATATTTTGGGCTTGACTAAACTATTACAGATAAATAGGATGTAGTAAGACCTTTACTGTTTTTTACCCTAATTTTGTTGAACATGACGATTTTTCACTCTCCGTTGCGAAATTTTCCGTACTTAATGATTTTTTAAATATGCCGAAATACCTTGTTGTTCTTATTAAGTTCGTCTTCAATGATCATTATCGTGTTCAGTAAAAAATTAAGTGGGATCTAGGGGTAGTTTTATCGGATGTCCATTTTCCTTTCTAGTGATACCTCTCCTCAAAATTTGTGTATTCTCTTATGTTTATACCATGTGCCCTAGTTTGGTTCATGGGCATTTGCAGGCAGTTTGAACAAATTAAAGGGATTGATATCTTTACGGTTTGACTCTAAGTCACCTCCTTATTGAAGGTTGTATCGCTTTTAGAGGACGACACTCGTATCAGTTCTTAGAAGTTGTCCCTCTTCTTCCGTGGCAATACAACACGACTCTCTATTACAATTAGCCGAGCACTGTAATATAAGAACTCAGATGAAGGACAAAGTAATGTTCATGGTTAGAATATTATCGAATAAATTGCAGACAGGACATTAACTTTAATTTCCCTCCCTCATCGTTTCGGCGCTTTTTTCATAACACCGAGTATGAAGAAGGTAATTTCGGGGGCTTTAATAGCTGATTTATCCGAATTTAATACTTTTTAGTCCCAATGATAATTCGTTTTGATTGACAATTATGAATACACAGTCCTGATAATTGCGATTTTCGAGTTCTTCCTACTATTTTAGTAGAGATTTGTTCATTGATAATCTACCTGCATGGGGCGGGAGCTCCTCGGTCGTGGTCTAGCAGAGCCCAGGAAAGTTAGCGTCACAAATGCCGCGGCACATCATAGTCTATTGGACGCTCTGAGTTGACTTCCATCATCTGTTTCTGTTTCGTGCTGCATTAATAAACTACTGAGTGATGTCTTCAGTCACCGTTATGGAACCAAAACAGATTGTTAAATTTGTTATTGAGCGTTAATCAGCAGTAAAGATGATCAATCGTTCAGGCTTCATCCACCAGAAACTCAACTCCGGGCACAGTGTGACGCGGCCACGAGCTCCTGCTAGGGGCTTACGATCCCCCGGGTGCCCTTAGTCCTCCTGTCGCCAGGTGTCTCATGTTGATGTCGCCAGGTGTCTCATGTTGATGTCGCCAGGTGTCTCATATTGACGCCAGGTGTCTCTTGCTGACGCCAGGTGTCTCATGTTGACGCCAGGTGTCTCTTGCTGACGCCAGGTGTCTCATGTTGACGCCAGGTGTCTCATGTTGACGCCAGGTGTCTAGTCTCTTGCTGACGCCAAGTGTCTCATGTTGACGCCAGGTGTCTCTTGCTGACGCCAGGTGTCTCTTGCTGACGCCAGGTGTCTCTTGCTGACGCAAGAGACATCAGCGCAAATCTTTCATCAGCGCAAATATATCTTACTGAAAACTAGTGTCCAATACTGACATTATTTGTTTCTAGATTTGGCTCCGCGTTCGGTTTAAAGAAATTCGTATAATTTGAAACGTTACAGGGGTGTATTTTTGATCATTAAATATTCGGAGCTAATCTTTAACTTATCTTCATTTAGAACGTACAGTGGATGAGATCCATATATTATCTGCTTGTATTGTTCCCTCTTCTCGTAGGCGGATCTTTGCTCCGAGAATTTTTTCACTTTTATAGCCTGTAGAGATGGTTACCAGCTTTGCGCTTTACTTAAATTCAAATTTAAATTTATTTTTGTGCATCCGTTTGAAGATGTAGCAAGTTAAACATGAAGAATTAACTGTTTGCTTCTTAATCTTTATCATGAGAAAAATTATAATATGTAATGATTTTTCCACAGGAAACTCACGACTAGTCATTACACCATTTCAGCACCGCATTTCAAATAAATTAGTCGTAATGTCTCACAGCCGATTAGCCTATAATGTAAGTGCGCGTTTACTGAGCTCGAGTAAATCTCTGAGCTTTGGATTATTTTATCCAGCCTCTTTTGTGATTGTCAACGAACCCAATCGACAACCTTGGCCGCGTAGCAGACAAACGCTACAAGTCCGACTCCTATCGTCAAAGATTCCCGGAAAGAATTTCTTGCAAGGTTTCATTAAGAAAAAATCCGAAACTGCTTACAGAACCCAAGACGGCTTAGATGCCAGTTATAAACTGGTTCACGTGGGTGACAACGTTAGGTACCTTCAAGCGGCTTTGGGTGGTTTGCAGTCTAGTTATTTGATGTTAGCTGGCGCCATCGTTGGCTGGATGTCGGGTCACACAACCGCCTTTCCTACCGACCACCTCGCTACCTACGAGATAGTCGGATATTTAAGTGCGCTTTCTCTATTATCTTTGGGGGTTTTCTATCTCTGCCGTACGTATCCAATCAGGATGTACTACAACGAAGAGAAAAAGCAGTTCATCGTCTTCTTATTCAACATGAATCCTTTCACCACAAAAAGAATCATTCTCGGAATTGGCGAAGCTAAACGTCTGCCCCGAACTTACATTTCTGATAACGTCCTGCCCTGGCAGAGAAACATGTGTCTCCTGCCCAACGGTCGAAAGTTGCTCATAATTTCGAGTAATTTCACGTTGCCAAGTTATTATAACATGCTAATGGGATATTGATGTACCTCGTAATGAGCTTGTGTAAATAAAGATGATAAAATAAACGTTTATTGTTTCATTCCTTCCTCTTGATACGATGATGTTGTTTAACAACTCTCAATATGTTAATAGCGACAAAAAATTTGAAGAAAATATAACCTCGAAATCCGAACTTCATTTAATAAAAATCACATTAGCCCCGGACGAACCAGAAATCATTTAAAAAATGCACTGATCGCAGCCCGTAGATCATATGGATTATTATTACATCATTTTCGAGCAAGTGGTGGTTACTACACTAACCATCATTGCTGGTGGTTAGTTTGGTGAGGCCCTAACAACGCAGTGTATTGCTCTCTGGCGTGTCTGAGAGCGCCATTGTTAGTTACTGCTGCAATCTTTACCTCGCTTGCCTACCGCCAGCCAGCGTAGGAGATTTAGATTTTAGACTCTCGCTCTCGGTGACTCGGTCGTCACTCGTCAGTTCCGATTGACACATGGGAGTGAGTGGTTCTCTGCTAAGTGTGCGCGTCGAGTCGAGTAAAGTCTAATACCTGTGGTGGTGGTGGTTATTTGTTGTTATACACGATAATTATCTTCATTCATTTTTTTAATGTTTTCTTGTTCAATTGTCTCATTACTGAAAATCTTAAATAATTGTGGATTTGTTTGTAGGGCTAATCGCCGTGTATAAACATGTGGAATATAAATTGAGTGTTTGATTTTACATCGAAGACTAGGTTTTTTTTATTTAACTTGAATCTATCAGTCGATAGCATTAGCAAAATGTCTTTCGGCAAAGAATGAAAAATTAGGCTTGACTGCAGCGCTACTAGAACAAACAGCTTTCACAGTTCACAGTCACACATGTAGCATGAATTCTTCACTTACTTCGACTAATTGTAGCAGCGTTTTAATTCATATTGCTAATTCTGTACGTTTTTTTATTAAAATTTAATTATGTTTTTACATCACTTTGTTGAAGAAACCATCTGCTATTCATTTCCGATGTGAAAGGACGAGTTCAGGAGAACCTGTATTGTATTGGAGAGGGTTAGTAGATCCACTGCCACGACTGGCTTGTGCAACGGTCGCGGCATGGCCGATGGACGGATGGTAAATGTTCAACAATCTGAGAGTCGTTGTCAAAGTTACCTCTTTAAAATCTTGCGCTTATGTTAGCTCTTTAAAACCTTTGTTGAATGTTTCCACTTGTAAACTATTGTCGAATGTTATTTCTTTAATACCCGGTACCATTTATGGCCTTGAAAACCCTTGACAAATGTTGCCTCTTGAAAATCTCTGTCGAATGTTATAAACTAGAAAACTTGTGGAACGTTACGTCTTGAAAACTTCGCGAATGTTATCGCGTAAAACTCTTTGTCGGATGTTACCACGTGAAACTAAAACCCTTTGTCGAATGTCAAATGTTTTCGAATGTCGGATGTCAAATCTTAAGAACCTTTGCCGAATGTCAACTTTTGAACTTTTTTGTCGAACGTTACCGCTTAAAAAATTTTGTCCAATGTTCACTTCGGCTTTCATACCTGAAATGAGCACACTTCTAGCCACTATCTATTAAATTTGGTGTAACTTTTTTCTTCTCTTTGCATCAAAATAGTTAAAATTGAAAATGCAAGCTTTCTATTTCTATCCACTTGAATTACGAAGGATAATCAATACGATTGAAATATTGTAACTATTATCAGTAATAATCATTATTCGACATTGTTGCTGAACAAAATCCTCGCATATCTCCTGTTAAAGAATATATAGGCGCTTATTCACGAGGTAGTATTAGCTGCGAGTTTTCTCCCTCCCAGTTTTGCCGGATGAAAGCCTATACACTGGGAAAGTATTTGGGTCTTTGGGAAACAGTCCAGTGCGTCGTTGAAAGCCGTTGAGTGAGGTGTGATAGGTAATATAGAACGCAATGGTAATGATTATTTTGAGGAGGCGTTTGAAGAAGCAGTTGGTGGCAAAGTTGCAACTCTGGCTGAGGAGGTGAAAAACTTTGTAGATCAGCGTCGAGTGTGGGTGAGAGACATAATGAGGTCTCGTTAAGTTTTGAAACGCTACTTTCTCAATTAGATTTTGTTTGAATATTCATCGTGACGTACATTCCACAGTAAATCTTACTTTTGGAATATCTATATTTACTGCCAATGCTAGACGGCACGTTAACAGCCTCAACAGCTTCAGACGCAAATGCATCAGCTATTCGCATCTGAAGAATAAATCGTCACAATATTTAGAGTGCGAAAACTATCAGCGACGACTCGCAGCTAATATATGCTAGCCCCATGTTCAGGGTCCGCCTTATTTATGGCAACGCACGTTTTTCTTATTTCTCGATAAAACAAACGGGTGAATTCATTTTTTATTGGATGAGCTAATTGCCAAGAACTACCTAAACTATTCTCGAACGTATTTATTCAACATGACCACCATGAACTAACAGACCGTCATGAACGAATGAGACTCGAAAGACGGCAGCACATTCAGAATCTCTTTGAGGAAGGCATGCTGCCCAATTTAGTGTTCAGTGACGATAAGAAATTTGACATTGAACAAAGCGTTAATAGCCAAAATGCCAGAATTTGTAGTCGGGATGGATCTGTGGCAACCTGAACAGTAACGCGTCAAAATACCATGTCCGTGATGGTATGGGCGCCGGTAACAGCAACTGGGAGGTCTCCACTCGTTTTTGTACCATCAGGAGTGAAATTGAACATTCAGCGATACATTTCGGACATTTTAGAGCCGAGTTGTTACTTTGTGGTTTTACTCACTTCAAGGGCTCACCATGGAGTTTTTTAACAAGACTCTGCCCCATCACATGTTTCAAACATGACCCAAAACTGGATTAAGGGTCACATCCCAGCGTTCATTAAAACAAAAATTAATGGCCCTTAAGAAGCCCTTATTCGAATCCTCTCGACTTTTCTTTCGGAGCTGTTTTTTGATAGTAGGGTCTGCAGAACACCTCATGATTATTTGGATTGTGTGACGTTTACTTTGAAAATAGAATGGGACTTGATCCCTCAAGAAATGCTGCAAATCCCATTCAAGAAATGCTGCATGTGAAGCTTTCCAGCGTAGGTTGGAGGCCGTCATTAAAAATAAGGGTGGTCAAATTGAATAAATACGATTGAGAATTGTTTCGGTAGTTCTTGGCTATTAGATTATCCAATAAAAAGTTAATTCATCTGCTTATTTCGTTGAGAAATAAGAAAAACATGTGTTGCCATAAAAATGGCTTACCCTGCATAAGCACCTTATCATATGAACTTTGGACTCAATTATTACTTATAGACTTTTTTAAAAACTTAGAACCATGAGATTCATGTAGCTATCAAATTCAAATCTTCTGTGCGCTGAACTATTATAGGTATTGATACCCGACCATAAAATCACAGTGGTAGGTCGTTATGAGAACTTGCGTATGAGAAAGGTGAATGGCGCCCTGCTGTATCTGGATTTAGTATTGACCGATAAGTGGACGATTAGATAGTGCTGTTGATTGCTATCTAATATTGCCCTAACTGCGTCGTTTAAAAGTCAAGTTGATTTAATTATTGTCGATCGCCATAATGCTATTCTGTGATAAAGTTTACCTGCCTGTTTAGCTTGTAAGTACATTTCCACGTATTTATCGCGAACTAGTCGGAAAATATGCATGCATTATTGACAAGACGGCGTGAAGTACTACTTAGTTTTTCGACCTCGTCTTAAACAGTTGGTGATGTGTACGTGATAGAGTAGTTTATTCACCACGATGTCATTCACAAGAAGAACATCTAATAGCGTCGTAGACCAGAAAATCTACCCTGAACTTGATGACCTGCCAGACTATGGGCCAGAGTCAGGCCTGCAACAGGTGCCTGTTCATGTCAAGTCTGCTGACGGCAGCTCCACCTTCGGCCTGATTCTCTCCATCGTTTTTGCTGCCCTCGATATTTTCACAGATATTTTACTGGCTCTTGCCTTACATGCTCAGGTAAGCTAACTCGTTTTTTTTCGTGATACATGGGTGGAAACTCTACTAGTTTGCACTATAATTTTTCGCACTATTCGATAAAAGGATAATTACAAATGGTCTGAGCGACAGAATATCAGGAATTACGTTGACTATTCAACAGTCGTAAAAATTTAATCTCGAATTTGCATTGTGCCTGTAATACTCTAATGATATCCTTACTACTTTGTTTATACAGCATTCTGACGTAAGTATGTGGTAGGTTTCCTGAAACACACCGTGCCAAATTTTTCTGAAAGATTATTGGCTGCATTGCTAAAATGCGGGTTCGTTCAATGCTTGTTATATTCATTTAGCAGAGTCGAGAGTGAAAGAACGGGTCCAACAATTTTTTTTGGACATTTGTTCTAACTAGTTTTCTCTTTCTCGTCAGGCATTAGCTGAATCCGACGATGGAGCTGCTCGGCAGACGCGATGGTGGTTTGTGGTGACGGTCATCATCATCATCGTGCCAATGGTTGTCGTCAATTGCTTCAGGTAATGAGGTCAATAACATTCTGTCAACAATAGCTGAAAAGAGTTCAGGGAGTCCCACCTTAGTGCATCATAACGATTAAATGTTGTCTGTGTAAGAGACCCATGGTTTCCTTGCCCAAGAGATTATTCTCGAATATTTGATTATTATTCGTGCTATTGTGCTATTATTTAAAGTTTTGAAATAATTCATATCGCTGATAATATTATTGTATGTTTAAAAAGCTTATTAGACTCATCATCGTTCTGTCAAAAATTACATTTTCCACGATTGAAGAATATCTGATTTCAAGTCATATGTAATAATCAGTGTCAAATAGCCTGATTCTAGAACCATAAAAAGAGAGTAACCGGCTTAACTATAAATTATTATCGTGTGGGTGCATTAATTCGACCTCTGAAGTTCCTTCTAATGTTCGCTTGCCTTGCGATCCCGTGCTGAGCTCTGACTTTTGAAGGTTCCGCGTCGATGTGTTTGGTAAACACGTCTGAAGGTTCCGGGTTGTTTGGTTCCCTGCGTTAAACACAAGAAACCGCGTCTGAAAATGAGAGGCGTAAATACTGCAACTAATGAAATTGGTGTAAATATTTGGGACAAATACCTAAAAGTATTTTAAAGCTTTTAAGCTATACTGCTGTTAAGTATTAATCAATTTTCAATTTGGTCAATATGATAGAATCAATGAGTTGAAATGTTCTCTAACTTTCGTTAGATGATCTCAAGAAAAATTGCATGTCTTGTAATTTATTCGTGTTTTATTTCAGCTGATTGACTATTCTGGTTCATTGGTGTTAAACTGAGAATTTTTTAATTTATGCAAATCTTCATTTTATTGTTAAGATTAACATGCATTTGGCGAAAAGCTTCAAGCTGCCCGCAACATTCGGGACAACATAAACCACAAATTGACAAGACAAGAATTAAATATATGAATAACGTTAAGAATTTTTATTGCATTTCTTCCTCCTTCCCTGCTCGGTACGCTATTCAGTTCTCATAAATATAAAAAGGTTCTTCATGCATCCAGTTCCCAACTGTATGTTTTTTTCCAGTTTGCTGTGGTACTTCCAGAACCGGAAATGTCTGGGGGATTACTGCGTGCTTCACAAGATGTCAACAATGCGCAAGCTGTACATCGTCGTCATGCACACCATCCTGCTGGGACCCATTGCGAGGTCAGATAGTGGGCAACCTGGCCAAGCAAAGCGCTCATTTTATCTGTTTTCTTTGATTTCAAGCGATTTATATTACCACATGAAAATAATCCAAGTCTCATTAGTACCACGCTCGTCCGTGTTTCATTGAATGAATCAAGGAAGCAACTACTGTTGAAGATGTTCTCTGAAAAAAATATCCTCTTTATATTCACCTTACCTTCAAAATATGCTTTGCACTTGATAAAATTGTGTACTGGTACACATATCAGGTTCTATGATGTTGAACCAGATTGTTTTCACCGTAATTGAGTGAATGAACATGTAGCTATACAAATGAAAATCATATTCGAGTGTTATGAGCCATATGGAAATAGTTTAAACGAAAGTCTATAATGGGACCGAAACGAAGGAAAGTATTTCAGCTCAATTAGCTGTTAAGAGCGAGAATACGTTTAGAATTTTACTTCAACTGAAAGATAGCGCGCTGAAAATATGTCAACGTAAATTTAGTCTACCTCTTCCCGTTGTGATTCAATTAAAATCGAATTTCAAGCCTGAAGTTAAACGGAATCCGATGAAAAAGGACATTATCATAGAAAATCGGCGCGTTTTTCCTCCTTTTCCATGCTTTATATTTTGGAGAACATACAACGTTTCCAAACGTTGTAGAATGATTCACACTTTTTCCTTAATCTAGGCATTGGAAATGTTATTCCGTAGTATTAATGGTCAGTTAAATGTTTTTGTATTATTTTACGACGGTCTGTATTGCAGGTACATAGACTTGCTGCTATACAAGTATAAGCGATCTAAGGAGAACCGCCAAGTCATGATGGATGAGCAGGGAGCCCTCGTCAACAGACTCACCCCTAAGGGTGAGGTCTTCGCCGTCATGCAAATGGTGAATAAAGAATGGCAACAGTAATGATTTTGGAACTTATGATTAACAAAGATCTGAAGTATACTGATCTTTATGGAATATACATGGTGGGTAATGCTGGCTTTATGTATCTTTGTTGTACATCAAGGTGGTGGATACTCCTCTGCCACACACTCAAATCTTATGATACTCGCATTCATGCTGAGAACTCCCATACCGCACACATTCGCGATGCCTATACGCTCTACATGCCACCGGCGCACTTTCATGCGGTCATGCCGCATGCACACTTTAATGCCCCATGCACACTTTCATGCCGCATGCACACTTTCATGCCGCATGAACACTTTAATGCCCCATGCACACTTTCATGCCCCATGCACACTTTCAACTTTCATGCCGCATGCGCACTTTCATGCCGCATGCATACTTTCATGCTGCATGCATACTTTCATGCTGCATGCACACTTTCATGCCGCATGCACACTTTCATGCCGCATGCACGTTTCCTTGCCGCATGCACGCCGCCGGGTTTGATGCTGCCGACGTGCCGCGAAATTGATGATCATACTAAATTCGTTGTAGTTCGCTGCATCAACAACCTCTCTCTATTAATGACCGCATGAGCTACCGATCTAATGACTGAGCTTAGCTTAGGAAAAGCTTAAAAAATACATTATAAATAGTCGTCTCCAAAGCTTTCAAATCGGCATCGCATTCGCGATTAGAGCCACGGCGTGAACTGAACACGTCATGCACGGGTGCAATTATCTAAAAGCTGGCTCGATAAATCGATTGGGGCGCTAGTGACCACTTCTCTACCTTCTTTATTGCACGAATTGCCCATTCATTTATCTCCAAATATCTGTTGCTTGGATACGGTTCACATCGTGAGCGAAGTATTTTAGTCTGAATAATTGGTAGATGAGATGGTCAATAAAGATGGTCAATAAAGACCGTTTAGACATAGGCTTTTCTAGGAACTGATCGAGACTACTGAGGTACATGAGAGCAAGAAAAACTTTTATGTATAAAATTTGTCTGGGGAAATCAAGGCATATCCTAAAGTATACAAAAATTACTGTGACAGAAATAAGGCATGCAAGAAAATATCGACCTTGGCATTAATTCATTTACATCTTCTCTCGTAGTCCGTGACCGAAAGAAATCGAATCAACCACTCTAAAATAGAATGTCCACCCGTTCGAACTTTCCTACTTAATTGGTAACGCTATTCCGCAGTGCGATCATGTAGAGTGTGGCCATACGTTACAACGACCGTATCGATCACGCTAGTCTTCTACCGTAATGACGGCCGTATCGATCACGCGTCCCTATAGTAACTTCACTGCGCCTGTACGTCGCAGTTACCCTGCCTTCATATTTGTAGGTCTCGCTTCTTCGATGTCTCATGCTCGGTCTGATAATGGAATTGTTGACGGCCTAACTTCGGAACTGTTGTGATGTCTTCCACTTTTATTACGTTGCTCCCAGCTCCTTGCCGTATCGCTGCTGCTATCTCCGACCGTGCTATCGATGTTTCTTTAATAATCAGACAGGCGGCTTCTTAATCGCCACAAGCCGTATCGTTGCTTCTTGTGTCGCCATTGAGTCACGACCGTTGCTTTCGTGTTGGCCGTAGATCAATGTAGCAAAATGGTGGTGGTTACGTGTGGATTTTCGATGATCTTATACGGGAGTCGTAGTTGTATTAATGATTCGATGCTTCGCTTAGCCGTTGGAAACCTTCAACTTTTCGAAAACTGGCAAAAGCGCCGGCCCACTGACGTGACTGTCACGACGTCCGCAGTGTTGCGGACTGTGACGAATTAATTGCCAGTAGCTCTAATTGCCGCGCACAGGTGGGCTACGTTCGTTTAGACGACACATCCCTCGGTAACGTCTTTGGCATTTCTTCGGCGCCGCCCGATGTAAACAAACTCGCCGTCGGGGTTTCAAACTCTCTCGTCTTGCATACCGTGCAGCGCTTCATCCCAAATTCTATACCATCTCAGCACCAGAATCGTAGCTTTCAGTTGAATTTAGAATTTATGGGCTTATTAATTTGCTCTCGAAATGCGTTCTATACGTGCTAACGTTTTACTCTTAATGAGGATGTCGTAAATCATTTTGTTCTGGCATCAAGATAAATGAATTATATTAATATGAGCGAGATACATTATCAATATAATCTCATAGCATTATTTTGACAAAATATGGTGCTCACATTTAGTACCCATAGCATCACTGTGACTGCGCATGCTTAGCTGAGTACATCGCTCGAATCGTTCGGCTCTGTTAGACTCATTACAAGTGGCACGAACTTGAATTCAAATTTTCTGATCTATTGGATTAACAAAGAATGGAAAAGCTCTGCCTGTGGTTGTTTAGATTAAAAAATACCTGATGTTTGAATGTTTTATGATTATCATGGATACCATTGTTCTGACAGAAATTGATTAGTAAAAATTGCCGGTTTGCCGAGACAGGATAATTGTGTGGTAAATCATCGTAGCCACAAAATCACACTCACAGTACTGACCTACCGTCAGGTGATCGCCCGAGACTCCGCCATGCTGGAAATGCTGCACGGCTTCCTGCAGGACGCGCCTCAGCTCGTATTTCAAATCTTTCTCCTCTACAGGAGTCCTAACATCATTGACGCGGATCTCTCCGACACTAAAAGTGAGAAAAACATTGAGGGCCCAGTTTATTTAAATGAAAGTTGTGACATTATTTGTAAGAATCGGTTAAAAACACGAGTATCATATGCATTTTTCGACCCGAGATAAAGCATCATCTTGATCATTACTCTGTAGTTTTGTTTTAAATCATTTATAGTCCCATTTAAAGCATTTAGCTCATTTTTCTACAAACATGATCGCATCAGCCCTGCTCCATTATTCGTACCCAAGACACTCTCCGTACGAGCATCACTCGTGAATTTTGAGTACCGTTCCTATTATACCAAAATTACTTCAACATTAACCGATTTAGAAAAAGTCTTCCTCTACGAACAGAAGACTTTTGTTAAAATCTAATTCTATCATCGTAGCCCTGGCGATCCAGGTGCTGAAGACCGCCTCATCGCTGCTATATACATTATGTGTACACAAGACTGCCTCTGTTCATGTACTCTCGGAAATTTCAATAAGAGTACCCCTTAAAAAATTAGACATAGATGGTTAATGACCAGAGAATTCATTGATTTCAAGTTTCAGGATCAAACAATATTTTCCAGCTGATGTTGGTTGATCAAAATGCAGGTTCAAGGAAGTAATTTTAATTTATTAACGAAGTTTCGAATGTGACAACATTCATTTTCAAGTTATAGGAAGCACAGAATACAGAAATTTTGATGGAAATAATACATGATACACGTAAATATGATAGAATACCAGAATTTGGAACCGTGAAAATTACTCCGAAACAATCTCAAAGTTCGTCAAATTCCGGTACTTATGAGATGGATAGCTGAAGTCCAATGCGTAGAGATGAGGGCTTCAGTTATCGTCGGTTGGATGATGTCGGGCCAAAGCATGGTGATGCACGTGTATCATCAGTGTTGAATTTTTGTATTCAATGATTCCTATAACTTGAAAATGAATGTTGTCATATTCGAAACGTCGTTAATAAATTAAAATTACTTCCTTGAACCTGTATTTTTATCAACAACGTTATCTGAAGAATATAGTTCGATCCTGAAAATTTGAATCAATGAATTTTCTGGTCACTAACCACCGGTGTTTAAACAAGCTTATTATTCTCTCTTTTACTAACTAAAAAATTACTCGATAAATTACCAATTTATGATTGATATTTTTTCTCGAACACAAGACGTTTGTAAAAATATAACTCTTCGTCGTAGCCGTAGCGATACAGCTGCTGAAGATCGCGCTGGCGCTGCTGTCGCTGGCGCGGTCGCTGGTGTCGTACCAAGAGGAGCTGCGTCGCGGCCTCGTCGACAAGCCCAGCATCGGCGTCTTCGGTGTGATCGTGTGCGTGCTGTGGCGCATGTGCATGGTGGCAGCCAGGGTCATCGTCATCGGCTCCTTCAGTGCCATCGTGGTCAGTCTTGTTGCTTTTCATTTTACGATTTTATGAAGGAATAAATCGACAGGAAACTAGCCACGATTGTGAACTAATTCCGTGATCTAATTTTTCCCATGAGAACCTAACGCAGAGCATTCGTGTTTAACATGTCTAAGTTGTTGTACTTTTACGCTCTGAAAAAAAAACATCTTTTCATATGCGAGTCCAAAGCAGTGCTAATATAGTCTCGCTGTATTTTAGCGATATTTGCTCTGCCTCTATTGTTTATGATAGCTTGAGGCCGCTCAGCCAGCGTGCTGCACAAACTATGACTTGCTAGTAGATTTCTACGGACATTAGTCATGGACTTGAGCCACATTTGTGTTTAAAGTTAAATCTAGACTTTTATAGCTTTGTGTAGAATTTTCTATGACCCGTAGTGATAATGACGGTTACACCGCCATTTCATCTTATAGCTCTTTTCTCACGTATGATTTGCACGAAATGTGAAATTTCAAGACCCCAAACAATCCAGACCTCCATTCTCGTTAACATCATATTCAGTACAAACAACATCATCTTTAAAACGAAAAACATCATCTTTGATACGAACAACAGAAAGACAGTGGGCCGAAGAACAACAACTCAGGCTGGCTGGGGTACAAGGACATTGACCCGTCGGACGACCCGCTCACCTACCCTGTCATCACCGCCTGCATCTTCGGCGGCCACTGGCTCGTCATGGCCGTCTGGATCCACGCGCAGGTCAGCCGATCGCTTCAAATATAGAAGAGCATTTCGATCACTTGCCAATCATGTGATCAATATCTTTACCGTCACATGATCGACAATTTTCAAATCATGAGATTGGTAGATTTTCAATCATGTTCTTTATAGATTTCCAGCTGTGGTTGACGTTTCACCGATGGGTTTATACTGCAGATGTATGACCCGATATTTATTCCCGGTACAGAAGAGCAATTTCTGCGGACGGCCTGGGGACGGCCGACCTCGGCCGTGCCTGGAGCTTCTCTACAGCGTCGTCATGGGCTGGGTTCATATCTTCTGCTTCGTTAACCACAAGGAAACTCCAGCCAGGGGGCGCATGGGCTTTTATTACCTGCTCAACCTCATAGAAAACACGGCGCTCATAGTTTGGTGGTTCTTTAAGGCAAGTATTGTTTGATAAGTGACACGATGTTTAGGTTTGTTCAATAACTCTTAACACCGATACTACCATTTGCGCCCTCTACAACCTAACTAAAATGAAATTAAGTAAACTAGGAATTAAATTTCTGTTTTTATATGAAAAAATTTAATGGAATTCATGTAATATTCAATGTTTACAAAAGTATGAACTCAGAGTAAATTAACCCAGTAAATGAAGTAGTTTAATAAAATGCACCTTGCGCAGGTTATTGTGGTGACGGAACTGTGGTTCCGAGCCTCCATCGTGTTCACTGTAGAGTGTTCCTTTTTGGTTGGAGTTTGCTGCCTGCTCCTCTACTACGGCTTCATCCACCCCAAAGCTGAACTGCCTGAAGAACAACATCTTCGCTTCCACCGCTGATATAAAAAGCCGATCACAAACGTGACACTTACGCCTGTTTACTTGTAAGATTTATGAACAATGGACATGCAACTCATCCGCGTCGAAGAGTTGTGAGCCTGTCACTCATCAATGTGGAGGTGGTGTGAGCCTGTCAGTCATCCACGTAGAAGTTAAGAGCCTGTCACTCATCCACGTGGAGGGTTGATCGTGTCATACATCCACATGAAGATGTAACTATGTCACTCATTAACGCATTGATTTGAGAATTGTGCCGTACACCACTCGAGGGTAAATCAATGCCAGTAACTCGTATGCATTAATTCAAGCCGCATCAATCACCCAACTTCATCTTCCTAGGCTAACAGGAAGTTCAGTAATAGAGGTTTCGCATGGGCGAAAAGGAAAGGAGAAGAAAAGCGCTAAGATCCGACTACAGGTTCAACGTCGGCAATGTTAATTCTGTTGCAGAGAAATCGATGGAAGTACTTACTTGTGATCTCAAATGTAAATAGCGTATTTAATATGCAGTAGTGTTAATTTTTAATATGTTACAAAATAAAAATTTCGGATCGATGTTACGCAGATTGATTTTAAACGAAAATGACTGTGAGTGTCTTCTACTGTTGGCAGCGAGCCCGTTGTCAGATTGAATTAGGCACAAGAAATTTGGGTACGTGAGAGGTCCTCGTCACACTTGCCAAAAAACTTTATATCTGAGCTTCAAAAAGCTCTAATATGAACCGGTCCCACAAACTAAGACCTCCCGACTTATGTTCTGTTTGTCCTCTTTCTGACGACCACACAATGATTATGACGACATAATCATTGTGTATAGTATATAACATATATATTCGGGCTTTTAAAACCAAAACCCATGGTTTTGAAACCATGGAAAAAGGGTTTTCGGGCTTTAAGACCGAAACCATTTGTCCTCTTTCTGATGTGTCACAAACATGTGATGGCAGCGCACAACAATCATTTATTAATTTTATGTCAATTCTAATAAAAATTATGTTGGAGTCTCTGAATGTGCAAGTATGTCTGTTTCACAACGATCAAGAGGTTTACAACGTGGAAAATTGTTAAAAACAATTCAATTAAGACCTTTGTGCAAAGCAAAATTTATATAATCCAATTTAATTACTTTCTATGGTTTTACTATCCGAATCTCATCCTATTATCTATGGATATTTTGTCTGATGCGTAACATGCTAATAAGAGGTTTTACACGGAGGCTGTTTCAGGTGATAGATGAACAATGAAAATTCTCGGCGTCTTCAATGTCAGATGGCTTACTGATGTAGTATTTTATCTTAGCTAATCAATCAGTCTTTGCGTCATTACCCATTCTACGTATCGCGTGAGATCACGCTCAGTGACGTCATGGTAGAAAGACTACATAAGCTCGTGTCTCTGCACCGCCAGATCAGTAGTAGTAGAGTAAGTAGACTAACCGCCGCCCATAGCCAACGTATGAGCTAGCGATCTCGCTGCATCGACACTGTCTCAGATGCCGTTCCCGTCTTGAACCCTGTATGCCAAGTTACCCTTGCTCACTCACATATTAATACAATTAAAGACGTATTTAAGATTTAAGGCTTACTAAGATTTAAAAGAAAACCCTGTTCTCCATAGTACAATGATTAATTTCATACGTCATAACCACAGAACATGTCATGACTCAAATAACCTAACTGCGTATATTTCTTCGCGACAATGTAAATAACCTAACTAGAGATAATATGGTGACGATATTGTCACAGCTCGTGTTTTGACTACAAACTATGCTATCAGTTCATCGGTTCAGGGTTCTTAGAAGTGGTCTGGTCTTAGACAGCCAAGGGGACTGAAAGACAGAGTTGACTTTAAGTGAACTATATTTATATTACGGAACGCGTGACAAAGAGGGGTGACTATATTAGCAAGGCTTTAGCTTCAGCCAGCAAACGTGTTGCTAGGGTGGCTGGCGAGTGACTGACTCTCGGTGCTGAAGGCACGGCAGAGAACCGCAAGTGTGATGTCACTGAAGGTGGCTCATACCATCAATGAACAGCTGAGGATGTCGGTCAATACCGGACAATATGCATCTTTTGCCAAAATCCGTCTCTCGACATTAGAGTCAAAGAGTGCACCTAATAGATACGCTAATTATTGACGCATAAGGCATTTTATAACGCAAAGAATGATCAATATTTATAGCTAAAATGTAGGATTATAGTACGCGGTGATACCTGGTGGTACCTGGCGACTGAACGGTACCTCTGAATGACCCTTGGTCACGAAAAGTTTATTAACCGCTGCTCTACAACATCAATCCACGATATTTTCGTGTCCAAGATATTTCAACTTGAAAAAACTGAGTCCAGAGTTATGACTCGGGAATAAATATGCCGTGGGAAGTCCAGGTGACCGCACCGGCGGCAGTGAACTCGACCCTCGCCAGGAGCTTCATGTCGGCGGCGCTGAGGAACAAGAGCGTCCCGAGGCGAGCGTCGCGCGACGACAGGCAGAAGCTCACAACAACACCGTCGTCTTCCGCCTGAACAAATGGTGTACAGAGAGATAACATGTTAATTGTGTACATATAACATAGCAGTGGTGTACGTATAATATAATAATTGTTTACATATAACACAAGAAAACATTGTCAGTTGGCGAACAATACGTGGACAGGGCACATTCGCAAAAAACATTGTCTGATATTTCAATAATATGACATTTCTCGACATTCCAATAATCGAAAATTGCTTTGAGAAATAAAACTGCGTGACACCTGAAGCTCTCCCTAAATTGCAAACAAAATGTGTTGATCTCCGTTTAATCGTGTGTACATTTGTGACGGTTTGTTTGTACGTGATTGAAGACTGGCACCACAAATATGGGTGCTGTTTGTGTAAATACTAATGGCTGTTTGGACGCGTATCTGCGATTCTTATTATTTCGGGACATTACCAGAACCTGAAGTTTAATTTTTAGTGGGAGAAGAGGACAACATGGGAAGAAGGACAGAATTATATAAAATATTGTTAAATTTAATTTTGCAATTGGTAAAATTGGTGCGAATGTGTGGAATAGCAAGTTGACCCAACGTTGCTCGCGAAAGACGATCTTTGAAATTCGAGTATCCGGTTTTCCGAATCCAACCATCCGAGGCGTGTTTTCCCGAATACCATTTTTATAAATTAAAACAATAATTTTTAAACTAAACTACGCTAGTTACAGTGATTCCCGTTAAACCCACGTTTTGCATAGAACTCCCAAGTCATGCTCTGTTTTTAGCGCATTTTCCCATTTATGGAAAAAATGCACTATTGTGCTCGCCATGTCCGTCTGTCTGTCCGTCCGTCTGTCCGTGACCTCAAGTTTTCGTCGACGAGAAAATGCGCTCTCTGTCACTCACTGCAGTGAGTACTGAGTTATATTTTTGAAATTTAAGGGAAACCTATGTAAATAAAAAGTACGTTTCAATTCTCTCGCTCTTTCCCAATTATTCAACTCTTACGATTCTATCACAATGTAGTGGACTGTAAGGACCAGCAATATATTGACATAAAGTAGGTAGGTCTCGAAAATACACGCCCAACCAGTCCTTACATATCTGCAGTGACGGTCTTCAAACAAACACAAAAACTTTGACAAATAGATAAAAGATAAAAAAAATCAACTGAATTGTGAATGTTACCGTATTTCTTAGGAAAGCGACAGAAATAAGATGTTACCTTCTCACTCGGGTTGGGTATGTACATCAATTCGGCGGGATAGAGACCCGGCTCGGTGAAGTGAATGACCTCTCCGGTGCTCACAGTCAGCTTCGACACCTGAGGTAATAACCACACAAAATGAAATAAATAATCGTTAGTTCATGACCATATCACAATTATGGATCCGTACCGAATGGTCTAGATGTAGACGTAAAACCGAGTTTGAAGTTCTTGGATATGTAAACACTCTAGAGAAGTATTCATGGCAGACACGACAATACACCACGCAATAATTAGTGATAAATCCTATTATGATATCTATTGCTTTATTCAATGAAATAGTGCACCCGCTGTTCCTGCAATTTTTTTTACAAATTTCTTCATGCCGTAACCAACACACTGATATCGCCGCAAACTCATGAAGTCGTATTAAAATGTAGTGCACTATCAAACGCTACGAAAAATCGACTGCATTCCTTTCAATTCAGTAGTTTCATCATTTACCAGTCAAATGTTTATTCGAGAAATCTAGCTAAGTTTAAAAACACCTGTTGACCAGATAACATCATTCAGCGAAAGCTCGCAATGTGAGCTTATTCTGCCTCAAATCAATGACCCACGTTGATCATTTGAGAAAGCTTCACTTACGTACATGTAATTATTAAATGGAAATTATTTTAGTAAATTTAGACTTACGCTCCCTACTACTCACTCTGCCGTGATCGTGCTCGGTGTGGGCCACTCCGTAGGCATAGCTGTACTCCCGGCCCTCGTACTTTGGATTTATTTTAGATTGGCCGAAACCAACCTCCGACAGCAGCTTCGCCTCCAGATGAATCTGAAATAATTTTCCCACGACCTTATTGCTCCACATATTAACCTGAAGAAGTGACTATGGAATTGTTAGTCTTAACCATCGCGATCGCTAGCTCAGACAGATGTAAACAACTTAATGAAGAGTAATTAATGAAGAGCAATTTTATGCCATCACAAGAGGTGATTATACCCATGTGAAAAATGTCAGTACAGTGAAAACATGATATAAATTGTACAAAAAATAAGATCGTGGTTGCGTGCTCATACCAAAGCAATTTAAAACACACGAGAATTTTTTATCAAGTGTCAGACCTCGGCTGAGGGGCTGGCTGTTGACAGAGGGACGATGACACGGTACAGACTTTCAGAGAAGTCGGCGTCCAGCGCATGCCGATCTTTGGGTTGCTGTAATGTAATTTTAATGACACGACGTAGTAGAATGTTAGCATAATGGACGATGGGGTAAATTTTCAATATGTAACATTTGATTATCTTGGTATTTACTTTTCCCGTAATGAATTTATTGTACCAGGAATTTGCTGGTTACGTTGATTATTACAAAATAAATGCGCTGTGAAATCGCCAATAGGTAGAAACGTCGAGCAAAAAAAAATAACTGCTTCTAAATTCTGAAGGTCTTTTTATAACAGCGACACTTGCGTCATACAAACGTTTATCATGACAAATTAACAATGCGCATTGCAGCCAATGCCGTTCATCCATGAGATCGGTGGCCCGATATGCTTTGAGTGCTCAGAATAGAAGGTAACTCACTCGGAGGTTGCTGATGAAGAAGTCCGTAATCACATCTGGACTCGTGAAGCTTTCGAGGTCCAAGACGAGGTCACCGCATTCGGTTTCGAATGAGTTGATGAAGTGCGATACGAGCAAAGATTCGAAAGTGAATTTTAGCGATAGTGGTTTCCATGTTCGCTGGTCGATCACTGTTATTGACGTCTGGAAAATAAAAATAAAAACAAAATTGAATACATTTCCTTGACTGATTTTGCTGTTCTCTTTTATTAAGACCCGTTGGAAATAATTATGACAGTAAAAATAGATCTTGTAAATGACACTTCAAATAAATTTTGGTAATTTCAGCGTGTTTAAGCGATAAGTTACGTTACGTGTTTAAGGGAGCATATAGAGGCTCCAGCATTGAAAATTAGTCCAGATTTAGCTTTTCATTGTTCCTAAACATCGCGAAATTATCACAATTTGCTGCGGACTTCGAAACCTCTACTTGCTGATCGTTTGATCTTAACACTTAGCCGTCCCGCCGTAGTTTCAATTAATTAACTGACTTCACCTCAACACGACGCGCAAAAAAGTTAAAAAAAATTTCAAACTTGCATGCATTACGAGCATAAGAGCCAAGGGGCAATTATTTGTAGGTTTATGAATGAAATTCAAGTGTTTCATCACTTACATTAACAAAGAGCCATTTTCAATAAATTAAAATGGCATTCCATTACAACTGTTAGTTGAGAAGGCGTTAAAGAATTAAATTAATCACTCACGTTATCCTCAGGGCACCACTTGAATGTATCAACGTAACATGCAGATTTAATCACAGCTTTAATGACTTCTACGAATCTGATGTAAAATGGATGCTCGATAATAATTAGGTAGTTCTGTGTGAGGCCAAAGTCGTGTAGCTGACTAGCCGACAATTTCCAGCGAGGATTGGTTCTTGCCACTACAGAGGGCGGTTCACCTGCGAATAATTGATCAAGTCAAGCCAGTATTAAATAGATTTATACATTGGAAGTCACCCTAACGTGGTTAATTTTATACAGTAACATTTCTTTGCACCGATAACTTGAAAATCGAATTATGATCACGAAAATGAAGAGGAATGACTTAAAATAAACGTGTGCTACATAATATTTTCTCAGGCGTTACCGTCGGCCGGGAATTCTATGACGTTATACTTGGGGCCGACGGCCGTGATGCTCTGACCGACAGACACGACGTTGCCGTTGCTGGACCGCTTGAAGTGGGGGCAGCAGGTCACCAGGCCGGCTTTGTCGAGGTCAGTATTCTGTAAAATTATAAGGTAAAACTTCTAAAATAGACGCAAATGAGGAATAAATCCATGTTTAATTTTTATCATAACATTAATTATTGCAATAATAAATTAGGAGCACTAAAGTTAACAATTCTGCTGTATTGCAGCTTACGTGAAATCAGTATTAATTTACAATTAAGACCGAAATTACCGAGCTGTGCGTAGTCTTATAACTGTAATCAATAACTAAAATATTCTAAAAAACAATATTCTGTAAGCGCACTTAGTTTTGATTTGTTCTTTTTGATTTCTCGTCTTGGTTTTTTGAGAGATGCACAAACAGTGCATCTCTATTAAGTTAGTTTAGTGGCGCAATGTTTACTAGCGCTTCAGCTATTTAGCTATCTCGCACCGGAACTCGAGATGAACATCACCAAAGAGATGAAAGGTCTTAGTTATCGAAAGATTCTCGAATCAAACATTGTTCATTACCCACAAGGGGCGGAAGGTCTTAATTGTCCAGCCCGATGAAGCTGGCTCGAAAGAAGCAGCGTTAGCATCTCAAAGACATGAATTGACAAGGAGGGACAAGTGAAAAGCAGCAGAAATGAAGACACTAGAACAAGAGGTCGCTTACACGGGACGTCGGCCGCCCACACGAGAGAGACAGAGAAGGGAAATGTAAGGAATCCTACCAACATAATAACATAACCCCACAACTGAGACCTGCAGTCAGACACCGCGAGCTCAGCGGTGGGGCGCTCAGGAACAATCCCCCAAGGAGCGCGAAATCCCATAAGACTTCTGACGAGCACAGACACCCGTCAGAACTCCCCCGCTGAGGGGGCATCTCTATTTGGACAAATTCACACTTATTCCAAAGTGCACGTACTCATTGAGATACTGCTTTAGTATCTATATTCCTAAAAGAATAGATTAAATGTTAGTGGATAAGCTTAGTGGAGAGATAAGAAACTTTATTTACCACAATAATGACCTTGCATATGACGGTAAGATCTGTTGCGTCTAATTCATGCCACGTCGACGTTTCACCGATGGCGTATACCTTGTCGTTCAGCGCCAGGACGTTCACAGCTGCGTTGTCTGTCATATTGCTTGAATAATTTGCTATCTTCGCAATTCTGGGAGGAGAGGTTCGATTTTTTAAAAAGGAAATGCAATTAACTCACAAGCGCTGAACTCGTCCCATTTATTTTATTCTGAGAATCGTTGTCACCAACTTGGAAGAGCAAACCCCAGAAGCATCTTTCGCCAAAATTGTGGAATTGTTGCTAACTCTCGCAAGAAAATGCGCATGTAATGGAACAATAAATCCCACTGCCAATGGAGAAAAAGTTGAATCTACTGACAAGCATAAATGAATAGACTGAAATGTATTGCCTTAGAAGACTTTGGGCGATGAACGAGAGAAAAAAGAACATAATATTTATCACATGATGCTGTTTTAAATCATAACTAATCATCATTACCAGCCTTTTTAGCAATAGCTTTTTGAGATGGAGCTGTTTGTAGAAAACTTAATTCTAAATACCGTTAGTTATATTTGAAACGTCAACTTGGGAGTCAAATTCTGATCATTAAGGCCGAAATCACAATAAATATTTACTATAAATTGTGTAATTTTGTTATTTCTAAAATTTCATGAAAATTCAAACTTAGCGATTAAATAGCCGCTCGTACTTCCCAAAGAAGCCTCCGTTTCCGTTCAAGTCGACGGCCTTGGTGCCGAACTCCGGCACGACGATGGTTCCTGCTTTTTGGTTGCGTGCCAGCGTTGACGTCTGCAGGTAGCGGGACATGTAACGGCTGCCCGAGCTGGATACGCTCACTCTGCAAGCAGAAGCAACTTTTAAGCACAAGTGCGAATTCATGGATCCAGTTCAGTAGATAAATTATGCCAATAAAATCAAGAATCTGCATAACTAGACTCAGAGAAAAGCTATAGCCTGATTTATTTCTTGCTACTAGATCGAGAAATCTCTTAAAATTACAAACCGTCGATTATTGAACTCGCTGGCTTCCACTTATGCATTACGTATTACCCTTGTGTTATTCACATCAAATATCCATCCGTACTGTATTCATTCGTACTCAGGAATTAAATATGCTCCTCCCAGGCATCGCATGGAGGATATAACAACTTTATATAGTAATATATACCTGAATAAATGGCCCTCAACTTTATGTTAGAATTCACTTTAAAATTTCGATCTATAACACAATTCGCAACTAATTAATTTATGATAAAATTTGCAATCTTACTCCCTTAAAAAGAAGGACCAGAATTTCTTGGCATGAAATGATAGGCAAGTTTGATTTCATACTAACGTGCCTATCCCATCCTTCCTTTTCGGTACATCCATCTCATGCTGAACTACATTTCTAGGCGATCATTACACTCCTTAAGATTAGGGCGATCAAGAAATGTTAAAGACATTGATTCCATATCCCGATCAAACTCCATATCCCGCTGTGCAAGAGTTTGATCAGACGAGCCGTATCTTTCCACTATCAATTGTTTAAAAAATCATCCTAGCGAAAAAACTTTAATAAGCAAGCAATTCCTCGACCTGCGAAATTTGACTTCTGACAAGAAAGCAAATCACATTTATAACTACGTCTCTAATAACATTCTCACTGTCACGACATCATATCACATGCGTAAGGGATTCCTGAGGCAGGTTCAAAGAAAGTTCGTCCCAGAATTTCCGTTCTACTTTCCGTTCCGTTCTACTTTATTGAAAATCTTGGGGCGTGCCACGAACCTAAACGTAATGTGCAAAATTACAACGAATAATTTCGAACTAGGCCTGTTCCCTGTAGATTTTTATCGACAACTAATAGTTCAGTTGGATTTTAAATTCGCCGAAATTTGAGTAAAAAATAAATGAAGCCCGATTAACCTCGCATGGGTGAACAAAATACTATATTTAATGGTCGCTGAACAGTGGATCGAAATAAATTCACGCTAAACGAACCTCAAGCAACAAGCTAAATTACTTACTAGGATTACGGCTCTATTATAATGGTGAGATTCAGTAGTGGGCGGAGATTGAGCGGAACACAGAATTCTAGTAGGCCAAAGAGAAGAATAATGACGTGCCAAGAGATAACGCTATTAACTTATACGATTTAGACATGAGGGCTTCGGGTACGTATATATAACACCTCCAAGCCTGAGCACATCTAGGATTTTAAATACCTCACATAACATTCAGACCACCAAGCTCATTCATTTTCTTTTGCAGCACTCCTAGCAGCTGGTGCGGCAGTGGGTAGCCTATAACGCTATGGCGTAGAGCTGTCTCTAAAGTGAAGTAACAAAATTATCAATGAGTTATTGTTGAAAAAATAAATAAATAAATGCTGAATGAAATTTTCATTCCCATCTATAGCCGCAAACAATTACATCAATCAATAAATAAATCAAATATATATAGATTTAGAAAAACGTCGCGGCTATTGACAAAAAGCATATCGGAGGATGATTTGATCATTCTTCAACGAAATCGCAAGTTCCATTTTCAGAGTGTGAAATTATAGGATTCATATCAGATAATAACGAAGAACGTTGTTTTGTCTCTGGTATAATATTTCAGAACAACATGGAATGGAATCCAGCATCTCACTTTTGCAGGACGGCCCCAAAATCGAAGGTGTGTTGATACTCGGCGTCTCCAAATTTGCCGATGCCCCCGCCATTGAAGAGGTAGTCTCCGTAAGCGTACTCTGGGATGCAGCCTGGAAAACATTCGTTAAGTAGTAACACCGATGTAAAAAAATCTGTTGTTAATAAAGGTTACTTAAGTTCGTCATAATAGGATGATAACTTCTCTAGAATGTTGTGAACACCATTTACGAGGTAGTTGTTCGGGGGTCGTTAATAACCCAAACTTTGGGGCTATTAACGAGTAACATCCTGCACTCATAATATCAAGTTTCCAAAATAATAAGGGCAAGCAAGAAAATTAGATTAATATATTTGTACGGTTGTATTAAGTATAAACGAAAGGAATAGATGAAAATATTACTTGTGTCATGTAGCATAAATGTAGCCAAGTTAACATGTTGCTACTTCTTAGTTTCAAAACAACCACAAATTATAAAAAAATAGATAAGCTTAAGATTACTTACTGCATCAGTCGCTGTAAGGCCTAACAACACACACCTGTGACTGAGGCTACGACGGGTTCAAGAGTCTCTACATCGCAGTGGCGACAGCGAAGACTAAAATCATAAACATGCATGTCTCTTATTTTCTGAGATAAGGGTGAAAAAATCTAACTGATTGGTTGAATTGTGTTATTCAGTGCGAGGCTAAGAAGGAAAAAGTTTGAGAAGACCAAAACAATACGAATAAAGCTGGGAAAAGGTGGTTACTTCAGTACCCATGCCTTCCATGCACATTTTTGCATCTTCTTTGTTATCAAGGAGTAAATCATATGCAGAACGAGAGGGTATTGATGAATTTATTTTAACTGTTGAATATATAGATGAAATATCAATTTAATCCTATATGTAAATAAAATTGTAATAACTCATCAGGCGCATTAAATAATTAATTCGAAAGAAATAGAATGTGTGATCCTAAATTCATAGATATCCCAAAAATTAGCGTCATATTTTCATATGAACTACCTAACAGCCAAAAAAATTTAGGAGGGTAAAAGACACCACAGACTACCACACGTTCAACCTCCTCAAACATATCCCACACACTGGCGAGTTAACCATGGATACGAAAAGTTGGCTCTTTGGGACCAATTTTTCCTGAATGTAGGACTAATCTCAGTCTCAAGATCGGGCCTACTTCAGGCAAACTCCGACCATGCCTGGCAAGTCCTTTTAGCAATGGAACGATTCTATCTAGGAGCTTTATTTAAACAGGGGTGGTTCTTTACTATGCGATTAACTGAAAAGGTGGAAGAGAATTTACCGTGTCAAAATTATCAACTATATTACTTAAGAGTTATCTTTTTGATAATTACTTATTATTTAGCTCATGCATGAGAGATCAAGTCTGCTTTTAAAAATCAGATTTAGAATTATATTAACATAAAATAGAATTATCGAGCATTACATTGCCTAGCATAGAATTGTTCAGAGACCTCACCGCTGCTTAATTAGCAGCAAAACGTTCCACTGAAAACCAAAAATATAGAACTAATTCTGTGGGCCTGTGCACTTCAATAATAATTTCTCAAATGCTTTGAAAAGTTGTAAAAAGCCCAAGACTCTCCGAGGCCGGTTGACCTGAAAACGCGTAAACGCGTTTCATATATACGCGTTATATATATAATATAATATATATATTATCCCTATAATTTATATATTGTAGCTGCAATTTTCCATTTCTCTGGAATTTGCAGATGTAGAATTAGTCTACTAGACTTAGTTTATTTCTGATGCGTCAGAGCATTCAGGGTTTGACCCTAGATGCCTGTATAGTACCTGAGGAACCAAGCGATTCAGTCAGTTAGATTTTATTACTTGAATTATTGATTATACCGTTTCATGCCTATATATTGATTTATCTTGGTTCATGCATTGTCATTTCTTGAATATATCATGAATAATTCTTTGTATATTTGTCATGTATTTTCTTGTCATTTTCTTTCTAGAAACCGTACATCATGGAATAATCGTTTTTTACCCTGCCATGATGGCGTGTCTTTGAATAGTTCAGCAAACGTTCCCAAACGACTAGGCAACAAGAAAGTCCTACACATATATATTATTATATATAATATATTATATATATTTATGTATATTATCTTTATAAATTATAATTAAATATAATATATCTGAAAAAATATTGTTCGCTATGTTGAAAAAATCGTCAATAAAACAAATTCTCTTGTCTTAAATGAAACCTGCCTAAAAGAACAAATTCTACCAGCCTATACTAACATTCTGGAATATATACATTCCTGGATTTATATGCATTTTTCCTGCTTCGCTTTTTAATTCCTAGAGATAATTAATAAATTTTAACAGACAATTCTTGCCGAGAGCCTTCAGCTGGAAAATTTCGCAATTTTTGTTGGTCGCCTTGCATTGTGCTGAATAATAAGCAATTCATAGTAGGGAGCAATTTATTTATAAATTAATTATTTTTCCTCATTCGACTGACACAGGCTGACATCGCTTATAAGTTACTTATAATTTTCAACATGGTAAAACAATTAGTAAACGCGTCAAAAAGTACAACTTGAGAACACAATTAACGGTCTTCGCAAGCAGTGGCTATAGCCACTGCTTGCGAAGACCGTTATATATGTACGGGAAATCGCTGTAACACATCATTTTTCCTGCAACGTGCCTGTGGAGCTGACAGAGCGCAGGGAAAAACCATTCAGCGTATTTTTTTCCGTGTAAATTTTGATTCATGTAACTTTACATTTCTGCGTGAAAATAACACAGACGAACTTCCTGTTTTTCCCATATGAGCCGTAGACCACGGTGAGCATACTCCATATCATGATGAGTAGCGAGTTTTGATAAAGTGATTCTTCAATAAAAAAACAGTGCAGTTGTTTAGCACTGAAATTACGCAGCGACTTAGAAGAGAGACTGAGCAGGATTAGATAGAATAGAATAGAATAAAAGTGTCGGCACTGAAGAATAAAATACTTAAAAAAACTTAAAAAAACACTTTTTTCTTGTGGACTAGAAAATAGAAAATAAATTATGACTCACCCCAAAAAAACGTGTGTCGGGCAGATTTTTGATTAAAGCGAAAAGCACACAACACACGAATTTTGGAAATTTGATGGTGAACGTACAGCCCGACCCACGTTTTTTGTGGCGGGCCATAATTTATTTTCTACTTTTTAGTCCACAAGAAAAACGTGTTTTTTTAAAAAGTTTTTTTTTTTACAACACTTCTCTCTAACTTCACTTTTTGTTTGTTTGTCTGTCTGTCTGTCTGTCTGCTACAAATCTTATAATCGATATTTAACACTTCTACCTGTTCAATCGATCTGAAATTTGGCATACTTGCGTATAGTTGGAGACAATGCATGAATCAATTGACAGAATAGATAATTTTATAAATTAAAAATTTTTTTTTCATTATTACAAAAATTAAAAAATAATTTCGTCTGCTACAAATCTTATAATCCATTTATGACACAATTTGACCTGTCCAATTGATCTGAAATTTTGCATAATTACATAAAGTCAGAAACAATGCATGAATCAGTTGACAGAATAAATAATTTTGAAAATTTAAAAAATTTTGATATGTTAAAAAATTTTGAAAAATAATTTTTTTTTTTCAATATATGAAAATAAAATTAGAAACTCATTGTACATGTGTAACATCCAAGACACTGGATTGTTCAGAAGTGTTGTCTTTAAAAAGTAATTTTTAAACGCATATATTAAACTATAATATATAATATATAGTATATTAATATAATATATATTATAAACTATAATATATTAAATTTAATTATTAAACATTATTTATTACGCATATATTAAAAAGTAATTTTTAAACGGTTTGCCATTTACAGGTTTGACATTTTTATGCTAGGTTATAGACACAAAATTCACTAAAAATATCTGTGCAACGATAAAATAGCAATTAGCAGCAACAATGAATAATAAAAATATAACTCAGTACTCACAGCAGTGAGTGACAGAGAGCGCATTTTCTCGTCGACGAAAACTTGAGGTCACGGACAGACGAACGGACGGACAGACAGACAGACGGACATGGCGAGCACAATAGTGCATTTTTTCATAAATTTAGGAGAGTGAAAGGAAAACAGAACAGTAATAAAAGATAAAGATGGAATGAATTTTATTACAACACTTCTCTTTAACTTCACTTCTTGTTTGTTTGTCTGTCTGTCTGCTACAAATTTTATAATCGATTTTTAACACACTTCTACCTCTCCAATCGATCTAAAATTTTGCACACTTGCGTAAAGTTGGAGACAATGCATGATTCAATTGACAGAATTTATAATTTTAAAAAACTAAAAAAAATGTAATTTAATAAATTTAAAAAATAATTTTATCCCCTACAAATTTTATAATTGATGTTCAACACATTTCTACTCGTCCAATCGATCTGAATGTTTGCACACTTGCGTAAAGTCGGAGGCCATGCTTGAATCAAATGACATAATAAAAAAATAATTTAAAAAATTTAAATATTATTTTTTCAAATATTTAAAAAAGATAAAAATAAGAAGTTCATTGTTCATCGGAGACACCGGCCTCTTTAGAAGTGGCTGCTTAGAAAGTAATTTTCTAAACGCATGTTTTTAAATAGTCAAAAGAAGGAAATCTGCTCATTATACTGGGCTCCGTATTCTGAAGATAATTCCCAGAAGTTGAGACGTTCAGACGCCACGAGCCAATATATGGTCTAGCGTGCCGATGGCTGGATTGCATTGAGTGGGTAAACATGATACGTCGCTAGCGCTAACCTCAACGCACCGGGCACACCCTGTTGTACAAGATCCTTCTTCTATTTACTAGCTTCTTCACTATCTTCTGATACTAAGGCCATTTATCTATCCATTTTGCAATTATATTGATTGTTACGGATTCCATGAGACTGAAAATAATAAATTGTATGAAAAATTAGGGATTCATTGTCCGTGTGTTAAATCGGAGACACCGACTTCTCTAGAAGTGTTGTCTTTAAAAAGTACTTTTTAAACGTATATTATTAAGTATTTTATTTTCTCCTTTTTACTCCGTTGCTACACATGAAAAACGTTGTTGCGAGCCAATTTACTTGACTTGACGTACGTATCGATGATACGCAGCGTCAGCGCCTGCTCGTCTATAACGTCAGCACCCGCACGTCATACTATATATATATATACTATATATATATATATATACTTTACTCAATTAAGCTAATTTAGGTCTCTAATTGCTAGTTTTTATGATTGTATCTGAAATTGTTAGGCGAAAATAGCCTGCATGCCGAATTTCACATCTCTAGAACAATCAGAAGTGGGCTAATTTTCGTTGTCAATGTTAACAACAAACAAACAAACAAACAAACAAACAAACAAACAAACGCGAAGCTAAGCTAAGAAAAACGTGTTAATAAAAACGTGTTAAATAAGCACATGGCCTCTTGCCGATTCTTGAATTTTTCGTGACTTGATTCGCAAGGGATCCGGCTTTGGAACCCGACCTTTCTATAACTTAATTACGATTGATTCAGATAGCTGCTGGACTTATTGCCTGGTCCTTAATTTGCAAGTCATTTTAAGACTGAACATATGCTCCTGCATAGCTTCGTCTGGACTTATTGCCTGGTCCGTAATTTGCTAGGCATTTTAAGACTGAACATATGCTCCTGCATAGCTTCGTCTAGACTGTTCTTGAAGGCGTTCATACTCGGAGCGTCAACGATGCTATCAAGGAAGCTGTTCCACATGTCGGTGACTCGAAGCGAGAAGAAACTTTTGTCGCATGGATGTGTTACAACGCAGTTTTTTTTATTTTATAGCGTTGCCCCTGGTGTTGGTTCTTGTTTCAAATTCTAGTAATCCTTTTGGGACCTTGTATAAGTCATGAGTATACTTGAATGCTTCAATGAGTTCCCCACGCAGACGTCGATTACTGAGGCTTGGAAGCTTCATAATCTTTAATCTTTCCTCATAGGACTTGCCTTTCAGGCCCGGAATTATTCTTGTTGCACGTCTTTGAACACTCTCTGTTAAATTTTTGTGTTTTTCAAGTTTCGGTGACCACACGACGTTTCCAAACTCTAGGTTCGGGCGCACGACAGCAACAAACAACTGCTTCATCGCTTCTGCATCTAGGAACCCGAAAGAGCGCCTGATCAGTCCATGAGTCGTTTAATGGCTTTATTAACTTGACCTTCAATATGCGTAGAAAATTTCAACTCATTGTCGATATTAACTCCTAAATCGTTTTCCATTGTCGACTTCGACATCACCACTCTGTCGTTGCAACCGTGCATGTCTTCTCATACTGTAATCTTGCTGTTCATTATTCTTGCCAAGGTGGATTACTTTACATTTGTCAGCGTTAAATGGCAGCTGCCACTTATCAGCCCAGTCAACCAGCCTGTCAAGATCACCTTGTAACTGTACTTTTTGCGACGTATTCTTCACTGTATTATAAATTTAGTCTTCAGCATACATCGAGCACACGCTTGACACGTACAGCTTCTGGCAGCTCGTTTATGAACGCAACGAATAAGGACGCAATTTCTCAGCACTCGGTAAGGTAAGCGACGTCGTAAAAATTTGACTAGTAATCTTATATGCAACAGAGTCCAGGTGATACCCTCTTGTACGCTAATTTTCAATTAACGTTTTATATTCAAACCAGAATAGTTAAAAGAGGTAATGATACACTGCTCCAAATTAACCCCACGTATTTCTAGTGCTTGACATTCGCTGGTACCTATTGCGATAGCTAACACGTTTTGATACAGTGAATTATGCGATGACCTCTAAACGAATATATACGAGGAACTGGGTACTTGAAAAGGCAATAGGACCTTCTAGGCCACGCGCGATGCGAGGCAGCCTTGTATGTTGTTCACATAATGAGTTCTATGTGCTTGCCATTGAGGGTAGATAGAGGTTTAAAATAAGGTAACCCTGGAGTCACATGACTTTAGTCAGGCTATGAGAAAAAAGTCAGCTTGAGCGAAACTTCTATGCTTGAGTGATTATAGTGAGTGAATCAAGTTTACTAGAACAAGAAAGCTCCTTTCAATACGATTTTTTTCGGAAAGTGAATTTCCCTAATATAATCGAGGTGCTTTCCGCTAGAATAAATTGTTACAAAATATTCAAACCTTGTAGTAACATTTGGATTTTCGAACAGCTCATCGACTTAGGTGGAATTTACCTTGTAATTATGGAATAGTAGCAGGCTGCGAGTAACATATTACTTGTCATTAAGGAAGTGGCCTCGTAGTGGCCTGTCAGTAAAAAATAATCTTATTTAGGTGAACATTAAACAAGGCTCAGACGCAAGGACAAGTAGACTCGATGCAGCTGGGAGTTTTAAACTTCCGCTAGAAGCGGGATCCGTAAATATTGGTAAAGCATGACATGGGATGGCAACATCACCTGCAAAATCTTGAACTCTGCATTTGAAAACGAATCTTTGAGCCTGGAGGCCCTCATTCAGTAGTGACCAACTATATACTAGACTTCGGTTAGTCCCGTTCTCCAGGGCGGCTAGATTGTGATCGTGCACACAAAGGCATTCACCGAGATTATTATGAAATTTAAGCCCCTAAAATGATCCACTTAAAATTCCTCTTAGAGCCTTGCATTGCGTCTGCATTTATTGTAGCGTTAAAAATTTCATAGAATATCTTGGAATGAATGGTGGTGCCAGCAAAAATCTAGTCGGAAAGAAATAATTTTCATATTAAATAAACATGAACTACTTCTTGAGTGGGTTGAGCTATTCTTTGCGAGTAGTGGTTATAATTTTAGGATAGTCACTAGGAAAGAAATTATAAAAATTAAGTATTTATTATATAAAATAACCTTAATATGGTACAGAGAATTGTTGTTACAAAAATATGATCGCCGAAGGAAGTTGCAAATTTAATTTACCTAAAGAAACGTTTCCGTAAACCAATCAATGATGTAATACCAAATGCTCGGCATGTGTAAAATATTAAAGCAATGTTATGGAATCTAATTGAACCTGAAATAAATCACGCATAATAAAGTTTGCATGCAGAGGAATATTAAACAGTCTAAGTGCACGCGAGCCAATTAGTAATACTCGGGTTATCAGCCATTAGCATCTCGCCACATGCACTGATAAGTGAAGCTATGAACAACTATAAGATCGAAATAATTAAATTTGATCTACAATAAATAAAGTTATTTTAATTTATTTTAGACAAATTTTGCTACTCGATCAGTTAATAATTCGAAGCTTTTCGCCGTAATTCGAAGCTTGATTTAATAATTGATTTAATAATTCGAAGCTTGATCGCCGTAAATTTTGTTTAAAAATTAATTGAACTATAGCATCCGATTTATAATTAATATAACCGTAGAATGCTATAATTTTATTTAGAAGTGGAAAACGTCATTTCGTGATCCTATGCGCTCTATTAACAATGAATTTTAGCAATAACTATATTACCTATTAACATAATCGGCCACTAATGAGAAATGTTTAGCCTAAAAGAATGGGTTAATCATATTATAGCTTTATGACTCGGGAATAAATGTGCCGTGGGAAGTCCAGGTGACCGAGCCGGCGGCAGTGAACTCGACCCTCGCCAGGAGCTTCATGTCGGCGGCGCTGAGGAACAAGAGCGTCCCGAGGCGAGCGTCGCGCGACGACAGGCAGAAGCTCACGACAACACCGTCGTCTTCCGCCTGAACAAATGGTGTACAGAACTAACATATTGTGTACATATAACATAGCAGTGGTGTACGTATTACATAATAATTGTGTACATATAACATATCAATTGTGTACATATAACATAATAGTTGTGTACATATAACACAAGAATACATTGTCAGTTAGCTAACAACACGTGGACGATATGCACCCCTCAGGAATCCTTGACTGCTAACGTCACATTGATACGAGCACTTGGTACAACTAGTTATGCTATTACAATTAGCTTACAACAGAGAGACTGGCAATTAAAAAGAAAAATATGAACACTTTTTTTATATTTCAATTACGAGATTAAGATCAAGTAATTCGCGAGCAGATGAAGAATCTTTTCGCGAATTAAGTTTGCTCCTGTAAGCTTCGTGGTATGGTTTTGCTGTCTATAATGAGTTTCGTCTATTTGAAGCTTAAGTAATTACGTTGATAATTTTGTTCAATTGTTCTAATACAATTTAGTTACAAATTCTTTTACTCCCCTGTATTAACTGTGGAAATTTTTTTTATAAGTTTTCAATTATAATTTTTGGCTTGAAGTGTGTATAAACCGATCCAGAGTGTCATGGAGTATTACTGTAATAACTTGATCGGGTTCTTCACCAAGTCAGTTTATAAAGAGTTTTCGTCGGAGTATTAATGAAAACTTGTTCCCACAAGCATTTATTAAAATACATTTTATTTACAGCACAGTTGAATAATAGGTTGAAATTAACATACGGGACACGCATCTGAATAGGCAGGAGGCTAACTAACTCGTCGCACACACTACCACCTTTTAGGTAACCTTCGGTCTTGACACTACATTATGGAAAACCCGCTATTTTGTTAGAAATAGTCCTTACAATTACCGTATTTCTAATGAAAGTAAATGTGATGCCTCACCTTCTCATGTGGGTTGGGTATGTACATCAGTTCGGCTGGGTAGAGTCCAGGCTCGGTGAAGTGAACGACTTCTCCGGTTCTCACGTCAAGCTTCGTCAACTGGCGTAGTGCCCATGACAAGTAAAACAATCGTCATGCTGAATTCATGCCATATCGCACTTATGCATTCATGCAAAATCATCTAGATGTAGGCATAAAACTGAGTTTGATGATCGTCATGAAATAATACAAGAATTCAACAGCTTGCACGACAACACACCACCCATGCAATTATTTCTGATCAACTCGATTGTGGTGATAATCGCTTTAGTCTAGTAACTCTAGTTGAATCGTGCAACTGCTGTTCTTAATTTTTTTTTATATTTGTTCCAGCCGCAGCCGGACATATATATTTTCACGAACCCCCGTAGTCATTTTGAAATTTAGCGCACAATAAAATGCTATGAAAAATCGACTGCATTCTTTTAGGTTTAGTAGTTTCATCATTCAAGAGTTAAATATTTGTTCTAGAAATCTTATCTAAGTTTTAACACACCTGCAGACTAGATAGCATCGATAGCATCATCTCAATCTCAATCGGAACAATATCACTCATTTATTGATCCTTTATAGAAACCTTCTCTTTTTGTAAATGTAATTATTCGTGAAAATTCTGTGTTAGTAAATTAAGACTTATGAGTAAATTAAGACTATTACTCACTCTGCCGTGATCGTGCTCGGTGTGGGCCACGCCGTAGGCATAGGTGTACTCTCGGCCCTCGTAATTTGGGTTGACTTTAGGGTTGCCAAAGCCAAGCTCCGTCAACATCTTCGCCTCTAGATGAATCTGCAAAGTTTTTGGACTTCATTCTATTCTAAGCCTGTAGCATTGGCTTAAAATCCTAATCCACGCGGCTTTTATCCCAAGTCCAAAGTAAAAAACTGAATGAAAAGAAATGCGTCTTTATACGACGTTATAAGGATATATACTTCTATAAAAATAATAATGGGAACAAAAAATAATCCCAGGCAACTAAAAAACTAAGGTTGCATTTCCCAAGATAATAATGTACCTCATGGAAATGTATTTCAAAGTGTCAGACCTCGGATGAGTGGCTGGCTTGAGACAGGGGAACGATGATACGCTTAAGGTTGATGGAGAAGTGGACATGTAGTGCTTGCCGATCTTTGGGTTCCTGTGTAAAGTAATTTATATTTCTAGAAGGAAAAAGAATCGTTCATGTCATTATGAATGATTATGTAAGGACTCATTGCGTAGAAGGAAAAATTTTCTGCTCCAAATCTCTGGGAAAATTTTTTGAGCTCAAGGAAAAGTATCAAATTATTTCTCACGTTTATTACATAAACTGAAATTGTCATTGCAGCAGTTAATTATTCTTGTCAGCTTTTTATTCTCATCAATAGCAAAATTGTGCCATGAAAAAAGCCTATTTTTTCGTTGCATAAAAATTGAGTTTTGAGTCTATACCATTATTGTTAACTGAGGCAGATCGAGGATCTCACCCTGAGGTTACTGATGTAGCTGTCCATAATCAATTCTGGACTTTCGAAGCACTCTAGGTCAATGACGAGGTCGCCACCCTCAGTTTCGTAGGAGTTGACGAAGTGTACGATGAACATGGGTTCGAAAGTAAATTTCTGGGTAATTGGTTGCCAAGATCGCTGGTCGATCAGAGTTAATGATGTCTGAAAAATTCAATAAATTCACTATGCATTTAAGGACCGTGCTCTGAATTTCAGTTGCATGGATGCATTTCAAGTGTTCTTGAAAATAAAAAATAATGACAAATAAATAATAACAATTCCACTGACGATATAACATTGAATTATTTCATCTGGTGAGTTATGATTATAAACTGATAAACTGAGTGATCTACACGAGCAACTTTGGTGCTTGCTTTATTAAAAAATCGAATTAAAATTAAAAATTTGTTGACTACCGAACTTGTGATGCTCTACGACAAGGCAAAAAATGTTCGCGGAAATCACAAGATCCCTCCATTCGTGAAGGAATGTGGTAACAATTGTTTTTCCATGCATGATTGAATATTTATCCTGAGTGTTGAGCAACACTTTTTTGAGACCTAGACGACTACTCCATCAAGCAAAGAAAACCCATTGATCAGTTAATACAAAGACAATTTCTTCTTAAATATGTAAATTAATTATGCATTGATGAAATTAAAACTCTTACGTTTTCTTCGGGACACCATTTAAATGTGTCGACGAAACACGAGCATTTTAGAACAGCCTTGATCACTTCAACGAATCGGACGTAGAGCGGCTGCTCGAGGAAAACCAGATAATTTTGAGTGATTCCAAAGTCGTGCAGGAGACTTGCCGACAATTTCCAGCGAGGACTGGCTCTTGCTAAGACCGTGGGAAGCCCACCTGCAAATAATTCGTAATTAAATTATGTTATGTCATCAGTGGTATTATTTTATTTCTGTAAAATTCACCCTCACCCAGTGAATTTTGCAGCCATAAATATTCGACCAATAATTTTAGCCCTGCTGTAGTTGAAAAAACAAATATTCTGGAATTATTCAGAGCGCTTTTTTCGGAATTGTTCAGTGCGTTACCGTCGGCCGGGAATTCGACGACGTTATACTTGGGGCCGACGGCCGTGATGCTCTGACCGACAGACACGACGTTGCCGTTGCTGGCCCGCTTGAAGTGAGGGCAGCAGGTCACCAGGCCGGCTTTGTCGAGGTCAGTATTCTGTGATATGACATGTTCACAAATTTTGCAATTTTTTGTGAATAATGAATTGGTAGTGGCTCGAGTGTTATATCTTATATCAATCTGGCTTATGGCCAGAAATTTACAACTCTAAAGATTTAAATAATTTCAAACTTCATCTTAAACATGTTATTACAGCAGCTTATGTTGAGGTATAGCGGTATACCTCTGTTTTTTTTGAGAAATTTTAATAAATATTGAATCGTCAAATGAACAAGCAGTATTTGATCAATTACTGCAAGTGGTCTGTGGAATCTTCTCCAAGAAGAACTCACCGATTCATTGTTGTACGAAAGGAAAGGGTTAATACAATTGTATTTCAATGATTAAATAAAAAAATGTAACTAGAGAAACGCATTATAAAAAATCTCGTTATTTAGAATATAGACTTGAGCTTGATTATTAATTTTTTTAATATATTACATTTTTGTTTGCAAGACAATGATTAATTATATGAATGATTTTATTGAGACAAAGTTCCATGGGGATGAACGGAGAGCAGAAATTCAGGTGGGACTAAATTATTTTTAAAATACCTATTACGAAATATTCATGCGCATTGCAACTTTGCTAATTGGATGGTAATTCACACCCACGAACTCTCATCGGGATTTTGAATTTTGTACTATATGTTAAAATAATATAAAATTATTTTTTGAAAATGAGTTAAAGTAAATGATTAGAAAACTTAATTTCAAAAATAATGACCTTGCGTTTGACAGAAAGGTTTTGCACGTCCAATTCAAACCACACCGACATATCACCGATGGCGTAGACCTTGTCATTGTGAGCCAGAATGCTTACAGGGGCGTTATCGGACATGTGCTTTGAATAATTTGCCATCTTCGCCACCCTGAAAAAATTAAATATAGGAAAATTGGTTAGTACATTGTAATCCTTACCTTTCGCCCAGTTGGAAAATATTAAAAGATATTTAAATCAACCTCACATTAGTGACCTGAATTTTCATAAAAAATACCTTTCATGTATAAGAAAAAGAGTTTTGTTTGAGAGCCGTGCCTTTTATGAGATATCTTATGCTACAGATGCTGAATTACTGAAGGACGACCAAGCATTCGCAAGTGCATACTTATGGGATGAAAAGGCATTGTACGTTCATGACCTCGGGAGCAAAAAATATAAATTTTTCTCTTAATTATTCATTTCACAAACTTTGATTTAAATCTGGGATGATAAAAAAAATGATACAAATTCTTTTTACGTCCTTGCCTGACATCAGAGCTAAAAAGTAGACACCCTTGCGAAAAATTTTGATATGAAGACACTTTAATTTCAATTTTCTATGTGACGCTCTATTGCATAGAAACTTGAATTTACAGTCAAATGCTTACCCAACACGCTAATTTTTTTAAATTAGCAACTTAAATTTTAATTTAATACAAATGCTGTCATCAATTTAAGTGTTATTCGGGGCATCGATCGTATCAGAACTTGAGATAGTTCTAGTTTTTGATAGTTGTTAATTTATTGATGACCCTCTGAACGCAAGAAACGTCGTAGTAATACGACAACTTGGTTTTTACCAGGTGTCCAACCCAATCTAATATTTTCATTCATTCAAGGAGCTTCGATTCAGATTTTTAAGCAGACACGATACTTGTTTTCTAAAATGAATTAATAACTACCGATCCATAATCTTGCATACATCTGCTATGCTCGCTAGATAAAAGCACTGCAGTGATTTCATTTCGTTACACTCTTCTAAAAATTTCGATCTCTCAACCTTTCAACACATCCAGGAAACAAATTATTGCTCGTACTTCCCCAAGAAGCCGCTGTTTCCGTTCAAGTCGACGGCTTTGGTGCCGAACTCCGGCACGACGATGGTTCCTGCTTTTTGGTTGCGTGCCAGCGTTGACGTCTGCAGGTAGCGGGACATGTAACTACTACCCGAGCTGGATACGCTCACTCTGCAAGGAAAAACAATGTTGACGCTCATTCAGAATAATATAATAAGAGATAATTCAGATTTGGTGGATATAAAGCTCTGCCATATATGATATGCATTGAGGCCCTGTGGAAGTAGTGTCATAAATTAATTAAATAATTAATTTGAAGTATTCCTTGGCTTGAGGACTTCAATGAAATACATAACATGAATGCTTGATATCACTTGTTTCCGCTCAACTTTTTTGGTTTATTTCAAAATTTTCATATGAAATTATAAAAAGGAAATTTTATTACTTTTTTGACTCATGAACACCACGACAATAAAAAAGGCAGGCAGGGTTAGGACCGCTGCAATTAAATTTTTTTGAAAAGCATTCCGCTTTTTATTTTTTCGAAACTTAGGTTCGAAAAATTTTCATATAAGTTACGACCATCGTAAACAAAGTCATTTCAATGGTTGATGCGCCATCACGTTATTACGGAAGAAGCTTCAGGTTCCATACGCATCAAAAAGTTTGAAATGTGATTTCAAAAACATGCGAATAAAATTAGATAATAATTATGCAAAGGACAGTATCGCTTTGTTTCTGGTATTATTCTGAAATTGACATTTCAGAACGACATGTAATGAAATCCAGCATCTCACTTTTGCAGGACGGCCCCCAAATCGAAGGTGTGTTGATACTCGGCGTCTCCAAATTTGCCGATGCCCCCGCCATTGAAGAGGTAGTCCCCGTAAGCGTACTCGGGGATGCAGCCTGGAAAACATTCAGTGGGTGTTAACAATCCTGAAACACAATTTAAATTAAACATGATACAAGTTAACTGCCATTAAAAATAATTTTACATTCTGCTTGATCAAAAATTTGCCCCAAAAATATTTGGCGACCACTCATGTAGGGCATGAAAGGACACACCTGTAACCGTGGCTTCAACGGGTTCCAGAGTCTCGGCGTCGCAGTGACGACAGCGAAGACCAAAATCATGAACCATGTCGGCTAATTATGTGAGGTTAGGTTTCTGAAAAAGTTAGTTAAATTCACTTAAATTGTTAATCAAGATACGGAAGAAAAATGAGTGGAAATAACACGTAAGCAGAGAGAGGTAACACGGCAAAAAGGTGTTATTCTTCATATAAAGCAGATTCATAATTGCTATACGGCCACCTTTCCAATCTACTGGACAGACAAGGAATTGAATACTTTAATAAAACTGCAGTTTGATAAAACCGCAAGAAATTTTCGCTAAGAGGCGACTTTTCGGAGATTCTTCACAATCGGCCTCCAGCTGGTCCCCAGGCTTTACTTGACGTCACTAGTATGATTGACAACGTACCAACGGAAGATACTAAAGAAATATTTTACTAAAAATGTATATTCAAATGAATCTTGAACGCCTCTATCAATCCCTACAATTGATCTACTTTATATCCTCCGCCTTTGTACTTTAGAATCGCCTTTCCGGACCCCAGAAAACAAAATTAAACAAATTAGCGGTGCAGGTAACGATGCTTGCACCATCATCGACAGGCATATCCAATTCAGGCGCCTGCACAGACAGCATCGTCATGCGGTGCCCCGACGCTTGTACCAGCATCGTCATGCGGTGCCCCGACGCTTGCACCACCATCGTCATGCGGTGCCCCGACGCTTGCACCAGCATCGTCATGCGGTGCCCCAAGCCTGCTCCAGCATAGTCTTCCTGTGCTCCAAGCCTGCGCCAGCATAGTCTTGCTGTGCCCCAAGCCTGCACCAGCATCGTCATGCTGTGCCCCAAGCCTGCACCAGCATAGTCTTGCTGTGCCCCAAGCCCGCACCAGCATCATTATGCTGTGCTCCAAGCCTGCACCAGAATCGTGTAAACGGGCCTTTAGGCGCGGTGCCCCAACGCTACTTGACTGGCGATAGCTGAGGCTCTCATCGTCAAAGCTGTCTCCAGCTATCAACTTAAAAACCACTGGATTCGTCTGAACGTTGCAATTTTTTGGGTGATTAATTTTAAGTTTTGATTTTCAAACTGTATCCACAATAGGACAAACTGTATCTTCAATACGGTAAATGTTATTTCAAAATTTCAAGTGTTGTAATTAACTCCGCATTTACTTGATAATCAAAATTGCATATTCAAAACGTAGTACAATCATAACTAATTATCCCTTGGAAACCTTGTAATTGGATTTTCTAATATTACCTAAAGCCTAATTCGTAAAATCGAGAAAAAACAATGTGTATATTGTTGATTAGGCATACTCTATGGTCTTCAACGAAACGTGCCCTAAAGTTATTTCTATATACTCCCAGAATTCATATTATCTACGTATCCTTAGTTAACATGTCATAAATAACATAATGACGAGTTAACATTAATGATCGCAATTATTAGTTGAATATGGCTTCACTTATTTTTTAATAACACTTCAACATGTTTCGAACAGTTCGTGGTCGATCAAATAAATACCAAACAATTAAAATTTCAAGAATACAAATGATATAAAATATTGACGCTTTAAGCTGTTTCGCTTTTGTCGTAAAACCTTATGAAAAATATGAAGCAGACTTTGAATTTTTGAAGCATTAAGGCCAATACACTTAATTGTTCGACGCGAAACATGGCTTATTGAACACGGACGCACTACACCTTCGAACGCCGCAACCATCCTTCACACACTGGCACGTTTACTTGGTCAATTCTGTGCGAGACATAATAGTTTTTTGCTCGAGTGTGAGGAGACTTATTTCCGTCTCCAAATCGGGTAGGTGCCTGCAGCTGGATAATTCCGCCCTTGCTGCTGCTCTCTAGACTTCCAGCTGCATTGAAACATGTACGATCCCTGGCATGGAACAATTTGTAAGCATTCGGTTGCACAATCATTCCAAGTCGAATTAATCTGTCAAATTCGGCTGACGTTTGGATGGTTACAAAATGCTGCTGACAAGCAAGTCATATTTTTACTAGAGGTATATGGATGCGGAAATATGTATAAGGAAGCACGGCATAAAATCGCAGTTCAATGCCCTGCACACGCGTGGATTACCCAGTATTTTTCAAAGAGCATCCGGGTTCACTCAAACGTACGTATAGGTTAACGTGCAGACACAGAGCAGGAAAAAATCGTTTGCGGTATTTTTTGTCCTCGAACAATTTTTAGTTCCTGTAACTTTGTTCCCTGGACGTGCAATAAGAAATAGGTCTGCTTTATTTTTCATAATGCACTCGTTCATATAGGGTGCATAGCCATTTCAGGAGCCAATTGATAATTTTGAGCTGGGAAAATTTAATACGATTTATGAGATCGGAAATACAGGAGATAAATTACAGTGGTCAAGTTTCAACTAAAACTGTCCACATATCATCATGCAGGAATTTCTGATCGATAACGTAGAAATTTATTTCACCCAAAAACGTGCAGAAGTCGTGACCTTGTAGTTGAAGATAATGTCGTTAGCACGTGCCAAGCTGCTGTAGGACGCTGTAGGACTTTTTTAATTGAGTCAATCAGAGAATTAGGTAATGATACATTACTCCAGCACATTAGTTATTAGAGTCAAGTAAAGTATTAGATATCTGTAAATTACTTATTAATAGGCAAGCAGAGCGAGGAAGTTACTCCTACGTATACAAGGAGTTCCCTTAGGAAAAAAAGTCTCCCCAACCTAATCCGGGGTATTCCCACTATAAAAACTTCTTCTCACCTTGTAATGTCATCATCAGGACTTTCTGAACAGCTCCTCGATCTAAGTTGAATTTCCCAGTCATATGATATATCGAACTGTGCTGAACTCACGTCAGTAGCAACCCGCAAGAAACTTAGTTTTTGCGACCAGAAAAATGGCGTCATCATGAGCAAAAATAGAGAAAAAACATGAAGCTGCCATGCTCGACTCCATGCATCTGCTACGTGGATTTGGGGAAAATGCTGAAAATTAAACCTGTGCAAACTTTGGTACGTAGTAACAGCTCTTGAAAGGAAAAATGAAATCGCTGCAATAAAGTCGACTCAATATTGATAGTTTCTTTCACTCGTCATTATTTGGTTGTCGCACTCGGAGGGGGGGGGGAAGATCCAAAAATTGCCAGCTTCGTGATCGTCGTTATTATAAACATTCTGAAAAGATGTCGGCTTCGGTCTTTTCATTATTTTGCTAAGCACATTTTGAACCCATTAACTGTAATAGATTTATGGGATTCATAAAACCTTTAACTCGAGGAAACCTCATTATTTAAAACATTAAAAATTGATTCGTTGATATAATACTCTTAAACACTTTTAATTCTCACAAGTAAATTAAGGAAAAAAATTATCAGTTTATTTAGCAGTGAGCTTCAAGTGACCGAGAAATTACTAATTCTTCTGACGGGTACACATGAAAGAACTCTTACTGACAAATTATGTTTATTGGGGCAAAAAGGGCGAGTAATTTTACAGAAAATATAAAAAGGTATTTCAACCTACTGTCAATGAACTATACCCGCTATATAGCGATCAAATAGTTGACGAGCCGTAATACAGTGATAATGAACAAAATCTCTGGCTTTATTTCTTTCAATAAATTTGACATTTTCCAAGAACTTGGCAACATCGCTTAGGAAATTTACATCTCATTCAAATTAATTGCTTGGTCATTAATATTGTCTGCAGACCAATCCTCACAACGGGTTGGTTTAGCATGAGGTCAAATGACTAGGATCCCTGGTGATCATTTGCCGAATTGCTGTCATATTTTATACTTTATATATTGAACTCACTACGATTGCTCATAAGATTTACTTGTTCACAGATACCCTAGTTTCCAATAGTATAAGTCCTTTATTTATATCTTATTCAGAACTCCATGACTATGTTGTTGGAAATTTTTTCTTCAATAAACTTCTTTGATCTAGAATAATCTTTCATCATGCGATGAAAACTTCCCTTTCACCTCATACCTCGCAAGCACACACAGTGGTGGTAATGACAGGAACTAACTCAACAATTACCTCAAATAAACTCTCATTATCACCTACTTTTATTACCATTACGGACACTTATAGGCCCCTTTCACACAGGGCGGCAATTATCGTCAGCGTAGAACGGTATTTACCGCCGAACCTCAGCGGATATACAAAATGTGTAATGCTATTCATACACGACGAGTTTTAACGCATCGTAGAATTTGGGGCCTGATGCCCGCGTGTGTACTGCTAACACTGCGGCGGTAGATTTGCCGCGACAGTTTATTTTACTATGGTATTTAATGTAATCTTTCGCACTAGGCGGTTTTTGACGCCACTAGCTAGTATGGTACAGACAGTGAACCGTATTTAATGTGCATAATAAACAGCACTGTAAGACTGATAGATTATAGACTAATATTGTTACATAAACATAAATATTGATAAATATATATTTCCATAAAGTGACAGAGATATATTTCATAAAAGATTTATAATATATTTCCACATAAAGATATATTGTTACATAAACAAAAACATTGCTACATAGAGATAAAATGATGGCGCATAAAACTGATTGCAGTAAGACTGATTCCAGCGTTATAAACCCCGTCGTGTGAATGATTACGCGGTAAATACCGCGTAAATTTTAATCTGGCGGTATTTGCCGCCGTGTGTGAAAGGGGCTTTAGTGTTAATATTGTGATAAATCTAACATATTCCATATCAATGAAGTAGTAACGTAAGGTGATACGGAACCGTTATGCGGAGTGCCTCAAAAACTCTTCCAGACACCAAAATTCAGGAGGAAACAATAACAGTGATTGTATATCTAGCGATTTTTTATTGCAATACTCTTAACCCAAAGTGTATAATGATCACTTAGTACATAAAGTAGTCTCTTAAGAGACAGTACAGTCTCTTAAGAGACTGTACTAGTCTAGTACAGTCTCTTAAGAGATGCATATTTTAGCCGCTTATCGGAAGTACGACGGTGCACGATAAGGAATTGAAAATACTAAGAAGCCCTTCAATAAATTCAAAATTGCGTACAATAACTTTGTATAGCGATTGAGAAAGCAAATTTTCAAAGCCTATCGAGGATCAACAGATGTTGATTAATAGTGTTTGATCTAAGTTGAAACAAACAAGACAGATTCTTTAACAAGACTTTTTTTAACTCCAGTTAGAAGATACTTTATGAGAAACAGAATGACACAGTGATTCCGTGTAGGTTGACGTATGGTGGTTCATATTGAGCCCTGGTCTGAATACATTTGAACAGGAATGAACATTGAAATCAAGGAATGAATGTACTTCTGATATGTGATATCTGGGCAACACTATCATAATTCGATCATGTATAACGAGATCAATTTCTCGCCAGTGATTGGCAGGATTAGATTGAAGAACAGAGTGATTAGCTGAATGAGTTATTAACTCTGAACGATTTTTGACAGTACAGCCTCTGACCACCATGATGCGTAGTCAGCGTAGAGAGGGCTCAGTCGACGGAATTATTTATGAAGGAAGATTATTTTACCCTATTAGCTTCTAGATTAGTTGATAGGAGTATTACACCCTTTAAGTCTTAATCTAATTAAGATGAGAAATGATTACCATCTAGCTCGTATGTAATTGAGAACTGCAGAATGTCTTGTTATCTCTTTTTCAATGAAGAGGGATTTATTTGATGTACGTTACAGTTTGATAAAGATCACCATTTGACTAACATCATAATTTATTTTTTCCTAGAATTATTGTACCGGAGTAACTAAGACATGTGGGACTACAGTGCTGTGACCGCGCGGCGGGCATAGTTGTAGTCACGGGACACAGCTCGTCTCTGTCGGAGATACGTGTCGGCCTGTTACTGGAAATACACATCTCTGCTTGTGTCTGTGTTTGTATCCTGGCTGAGCCATACACCCTTCTCGATCCTATTCGTTCCGTTATTGCTGCAAGGTTCGTCGTGCTGACGGTTTATAGCTGACAGCTTGATTAAAAGTTTCGTCACGATACGAATGCGTGAGCTTATATTAAATATTCAACACTTACATGAATTTCAGAGAGCTGCACATCGCTTAATCTAATTTTTAAACTATCATAAAAAATAAGCAGAAGTAGGATATATTTCACTTTCACTTGTGAATATTCTCAGCGTTTGGAACTCAAAATTTAAATTCTCCACTTTATCAGCCGAAAAGGTCCAGGAAACATTGTTCGTTCACATGCAGGCACTGCCACACGGGTACGTGGAACACTTGACAGAGATCACCGTAAAACTTGCGATGAATCTCCCTCAAAGCTGCCAAAGAATTCGACCCCGAGTATAATAACTAATCCCTGCTAATTCATTTCCACCGGATGAATTGTTTCAATTGCATTTTTTACGAGCTGTCTGTGCCGTTTCATGTAGGTTAGTTTGAATAATTTTCCATGCAAGTGTTTCTGACTTTCCATACGAGGTTACTGGTGTAGTTGTGAAGATGATAGTCCCTATCCTGTGTTGGTGTTGACGTTGTTGTCCAAATTTGAGTATTTTTGCTTTATCTACGCGGTTGCTGGGAAGAACTGTCCATGAGCTGGATTGGTGATGGTGTCCACAGCATTGAAGGTTATTCTAGCCACCTCCGTGAGGTCTGAGGCTGACAGTAGCAGCAAGCAGCCCAGGTCCTTCTTGGCAGAAAACAAACAGAACACGGCAAGCGTGCCGTCATCTTCAGCCTGGCAGGAAAAAGAAATAATAATAAATAATGTGGTCCACATACATGATTTAAAAACAATAAATAGAAACTGTATCTTCTACTGGAATACTTTAGTATTGCATCTAAAATTTCTTTCATTTCTTCACCTGAGCTTTTGATTCATATTTTTATTCAATTGAGGTAACTGCACACTCTGCTTCAAAATGTCACAGGGGAAGTAAAAGAGATTCCATGAAAAATGTCATATATGGGATGCGTTTACCGAAACCCTAATAATTTTGGTTAAGCTTTCCATTAACTATATTGTCGCATGTTTCCTTTAAACAGTCGTTTATTCATTGCAGTTGAATCCAAATTTGATATGGTACAATGAAAAAAAAAACATGAGTAGGCTAGAGATGAAGTACATTTCAGCCACTGTGATTTATTTCAAATTGAGACCACTCTAAACATAACTCGTTATCGTCAGTAAAAAACATTACACAGAACAGATAACCCAAACCTGCTCTGAAGGCCTTGGTACGTAGATCACTTCGCCAGGGTAGATGCCGTCCTGCACGAAGCGTTTCTCTTCCCCGGTCATGCAATCTACCTTACTGACCTGCGGATCAAAACACAATGTTTATTTGAATGAGTAAAAATGGGTATTTTTACAGATATATAACTTAACCTGCATACAAGAACACGCATTACCATTTACCGTATGGTTTAGTTGACCTTAAAAATCACAAAAGATTCACAACAAAGGTCTAACCCTGGCGCAGTCGTCGTCCGTGATACCAACTCCGTACACGTAGCGGTGTTGGCGCCTCAGGTAGTTCGGGTTTATCCGCGGATTCTCCATAGGAACCTCTGCCAGCACCTGCGGGGTCACCGCTATCTGCGTGGCAAAAAAAAATCCATTACCAAATTGTTTAAATTGATCTTAATAATGTATGCTGGTTTAATCTTAAAACACTTAAAAATTCTTTTTCAAATAGAGATTTTGCTCCTTGGTTCTGTGAGCAAATTGAGCTTTGTAACTAAATTGATAATTCTGGCATCTAAGATGAAAGGCTGAAATATAAAAACTCCTAAACTGTTTACTCGGACTGTTTTTCTAACGGTTTAAGAATGGATACTGATTAAAACATGGCCGTTTACAACACAAAACAGAGCCTCAGTATAGCGGCTACAGGAATCGGAAGCGTGTGCCTCACTGAACATTGTAACGGGTTTCCTATTAGAATTTAGAACAAGTTTTCTATTCTCGACACTTCAACTTCCACCGCTACCTAACTGCCACAAGAGCTAGCAGAGCTCTGGGTTTATGGGCGACGTGTCATTCAATGTCATGAGAACACACGGGCAACAGCAGCAATTGTACCGTCGGAAGTAACTGCCTAAACGTTACTTAGGTTCAACAGACATTGGAATGAAAGGCAAACGGTTCTCTCCCAACATTGTTCTTAAATCACTCAGAACAGTTATTGTACAAAAACCCTATATTTGATTTGTAAGTCATATTAAACTGATCAAATCTACCTCCGATTTGGAGTCGTCTGCTGAGAGCGGCAAAATGATCCGCATTAGGGAGCTCTTGAAATGCTCGCGGATCTTCTCGACCTCCTTGGGCGCCTGTGAACAGAAAAGCTCAACTTGGTAGGCAATAAGAAAGCTTGTAAACAGAAAAGTCTACAGTGCTTCGCTGGTATATTCCTACCATGGGCGGTTTGACTTCAGTGAACGTTTGGCAATGTCTCGGTTATTCGAATACCTTCCATGTTCAATGAACACAACAATTGGTGACACTATGTAGAAAATAGGTTAAAATATGCCAATAAACGAAATGCAATAAATCTATTTGGAAAATTATGCAAGTCCGCTAAAAGTTGACGATAATTTAAAGTATTTCTACTTAAATGCTGATCACTAACATAATATTTGAAGAATCATCAAAAAATGTATGAATTAAAAAAAATTGTAAATAATTTTACATCATCAATTCTCATTCAGGCCAGAATGCCTCGTAATAATATCACTACTTCACTCACTTTTCCTTTTGCTACCACTCCCGCTCGGTCATCAAAGAGCTTCCATTAATTTTTAATTGACTTTTATCAAATTAATACCACTTATTTACCGCCCCACTACAAGAACACGGAGAACCGACATTCATACAAACCCTCATGACATCCAAGTAGAAGTCGTGCAAAACATCAGGTCCTTTGTAGCTCATGAAATCGACCACAAGGTCACCGTTGGTGTCCTCGTAACAGTTGCAGAAGTGCAGAATGAACTGCGGCTCGAAACTAAACTTCTTCTTATACGTCTTCCATGTTTTGGTATCCAGCAGCGTCACGATCACCTTAGATTTTTGAAGTTGAATAAGAAGGCGGAGCGTAAATTCACTTTACTTTATCGTCGTGATGGCATTTTAAAGAAGGTACAGGATGTATGCAATCTTTCTTCTTTTTGATGCTACGATAATGTTTACGTAGAAAAGTTGTAAACGTTGACAATAAATTATGAGATTGCATATTAAAAGGCAACAAAAATGCTTCAGATGCATAATAAATTTTTAAAATATCCCAAATTGATTCCTCTGAGAACCACGCATGTTTCTTTCAATGAAGCTTATAGCCGATATCTTCTCTAACGTACAATGATGTTGAAGCAAAAAGGTACCCAACCTTGACCATGAATAATGAAAATGAATCATCAAGATCTCAAACTCGATTCACTTACCGATTCCTCCGGCAACCACTTGACGCTGTCCACGAAGCAGGTGGAGTTGATGATGTCTTTGACCGCATCCACGAGCCCCACAGACATGGGCTGCTCGAATAGAACAAGGAAACGCTCGCTCACGCCGAAGCTGTGCATGAAGCAGGGATGAAGGCGCCAACGAGGGGATATTCTCGCCACCACGCGAGGGGAGCCATCTGTGTGTTGATCACATAAAGGTTTTCAGACATTTGAAATAATTTTAATGATGTTCTAGAACGTATGTCATTTCGAAGGCTCCTTGGTTTTTATGCATCCTATGGTATGGCTTTATACACTCCTCTGAAAAGCAAATGGCAACACACTTCAAAAACATGGTGAAAGAGAAACCCGCTACATCAGGTTACCTGCCACGCTGGGTGACCCAATTAGTTGCTTATCACATACAACCTCCCGAGCAACGCTGAGGAATGTGATAAACTTTTCATCAAAAATCTATTTCTGTGCCGATCAGCTGGTCGCCATTTCTTTTGAACTTAGTTAATTAAATGGTACCCAATACGATGCATTCTCTTGCATTAAATTATAATTTAATTGATGGCATCTAATTTTTGAAAATGATTTTACGTTATTTAAGATGATGATCAAATATTCCTGTTGTCATCACCTCCGTCGGGGTACTCGATGACACAATACTTGGCCCCCGTCACGCCGATGCTCTGCCCAACGCAGGCGAGGGCACCAGTGCCCAGGCGCTCGAGGTGAGGGCACGTCACCACGATACCCTCATCTTTGTACAGGTTCACCTGATGCAGCATAAATGTGCGTCAAGTTATATCTGAACATGAATATTATTCATTAAACCGTTAATTACAGAAACTTGTCATGGAAATATACTCATGATCATCAGTAATGCATCTAAATACAAGAAGGTTTTGTGGATTGCATTTATGTATCCGAATGAATAACTGCATAATTTTTTATTGGGTTAATATGCTTCGTTATTGACATACTTCGGTAAATAACAGAACAATTCTGTTGCGAGCTTTGAGATGCACTAAATAAGCGCTAGGCCTGCCATTGGAATAATGTTTGAAAACCATAAAATTGTGACCGAGCAAACGATTGCAGGATGTAGACATTTTAATTATTATTCGTTGGAACAGATAAGTCGATTTGGGGTATTTTTTCCCCGTAAGATAATACCTACTAAATCATTATTACAAGGGTAGAGCGTCCTAAAGGGTCCTTTAAAAGGGAAGAGCGTCCTAACGATTAAACCCACAATATAAACTATACTATCCATGCCAAGGGAAGAATTCCCATTCATGATCTAGGATGAGAACGAGTAAGTTATCAATCATCATTCTATCGTGATTACAACTTTCGTTCTATTTCATTCTGGAGTATAAAAATCTGTATTTATTCTTGGGTTGTAATGAAAACGCTCTCACGTGTAGATAAGAACAAGTGCTAGTAAATGTTGTGGATTTTGCTGAGATTTACCCTGCTCTTTGTCTCGAGAGTTTTCTCGTCAAGTTCATGGTAGTACGGCGTCACTCCAATGGCGTACAATCTGTTGTTGAATCGACCGACGTTGATAGCTGTGTTATCTGACATCATACTCTCAACATCCGCCATCTTTTTCAGTCTGAAACATAAATAGATGGAAAAAAACTAAAAACATACTCTCATTAATTCCCACGAATATAATTTTTATTTTGGTATAATATTAGGAGACAGAACATTGGCATTTATTGCTTCGTTGCAGAAATTAAGAAGATGATAGATTGGCGATGAGGTAATGTTCCAGGATTCATCGACGTCGAGTGTTCGGTATAAATGTTAAACGATAATTCTGAGACAAATTACTTGCAGCCCACAGAGATCTTGTGACGATGCTTCTATAGCCGTCTTATCATCTAATAATAAAATATACGAAAAAATAAATTGAAGATCATTCGAATACTTGAGATACCATGAAAGATTAGAACTTTATTTCTGAAGTGAACATGCCATTTTAGCAAGTGAAGTGAACATGCCATTTGTTGTTCCATTTTTTCAATGGAACAACATTTAAGAAAAACATAGATAAGTGATCTTGCAATAGTGCATTGTAAAAATATTGATTTCGACGAGAAGAACTAACTTTGTATAGAGCCAATAGTTCATTTGAAATCATTGAGTTCCAGAATAATATTGAAATCTGTGTGGGAAAATTTTTGAAAAATTGTTGTTAAGCGTACAAGTTTTTGAAAAATATATCTCACTTGCCAACGATACTCCACCTACCGCGACCTGCACTCGGTTGCCGAACTCAAAGATCTCTCATTCTTTCAATGAACACAAAGGTGTCTCATTCTCTCACTCTCTCAAGGGACTCAAAGATCTCACTCTTACAAACAACTCAAAGACCTCTCACTCTATCGAAGAACTCAAAGATCTCTCACTCTCTCAAAAAAACTCAGAGATCTTTCACCCTCTCAAAGAACTCAAAGATCTCTCACTCTCTCAAAGAACTCAGAGATCTCTCACTCTCTCAAAGAACTCAGAGATCTCTCACTCTCTCAAAGAACTCAATGATCTCTCACATTCTCTCAAAGAACTCAATGATCTCTCACTTGCCAAAGATGCCACCTCCTCCCGCAGCCTGCACTCGAGTGCCGAACTCCGGCACGACGATGGCACCAGCCTCGCGGTTGCGCGCTAGCGTCGTCGATTGCAGGAAACGCGACATGTAGCGGCAGCCCGAGGGCGACACGGTTACTCTGCACGCAAATTCCTCTAGAGAATGTTATGATATCAAAAATTACACAGAGGTTTTTAATTCATGAAATGGGATTGCGGTTTGGTTATTCTATGAAAACTAGATTAGATTTGATTATAAAAGCACAGGACAAGAAGTTAGCTCATAGGGTCAGGAAGTGTGAAAAACTGACAATTTGCGTGAATGAAATTACTACGCTAACTTCATACTGATTTGGAAATAGCATAATAACTGAGACAACAGGAGGTGAAGCTTAATCGGTGAGCCAGCATTAATTAAGCCATGGACACCAAAGTTGTAGTAAAACTTATTCTACTTACTTTTGCAATATGGACGCCGGATCAAAACAGTGACGATAGTTCGAGTCTCCAATTTTTGATAAGCCATTTCCATTAAAGATGAATTCGCCATACATGTAGTCCGGGATTGAGCCTGCGAGGGGAAACATGAGAATAGCCTGGATTTATAAAGGAGGGAGAATTTTGCACTAAATTCTCTTAACGGGCCGATTTCTAAATCATTTTCGGTTGGAAATTTTGCCCGCGAAAAATTCAATTCGAAAAATGCATCATATTGAGTTTGATTATTGCGGCATTTGATGAGAAGCTTTGCGAAGACAGATCTTTTGCGGCTACGGAAGGATTTTTTTAGGAAACATTCATGGCATCTTATATTTACGATGCATTTTGTGGGTCATGATGATGCTAATAAATATCACTAACCAAAATTCTTGCTCGCGTGAATTTTTACCCTAAAACAATAAGTTTAACTCGTAAACAAAATGGTATTACTGCTACATGAAGAATATTAGTGCAAGCCCCTGAGTCACGCCGGACATGTCGGTAACACGAGACGGCATCACTCACCGGACACTGTGGCGGGTACGGCTTCTGTTGTGTCCACTTCACAGTGACGACCGTACGTGCCGAAGTCAAACTTCATGTTGCCTCCTTTGTCTGAAAATAACAAATTTGTTCGATTTAATGACACAAGTTCAAGTTTCTAACCCGAATTTGATACTTCAAAGTGCAGCACATACTTAAAGTTCCAGATAATGGTACAAATTTAAAAGTCACGGATACAGGCTTCAAATTCACCTTGATGGAAGAAATGTAGACTTCTCGAGTACTGACTGAAACAGAGGAAACTGCACGGGTACGACACAGGGTGGTAATAATGTATGGATAAAACATTTCAATTGAAAACGCTTGATGTGGCAAGGGTCGATGCTATGATTACATAAATAAATTTCAAAATAGTTTACACAAAATGAATAAAATTGGTACATCATAAAACAATAGAGTAGTTCAGAACTGGTCACCACATATTTTGCTTTCCTAAGAACGAATTTCCAAACAAAATTAGTCCTTACAGAATTTTCTTTATACATGAACCGCCAAATAATTGTTTACAAAATACATTTTAAATTTCAAGTGAAATTAAACCAGTAATTCATCTTAAGGAATATTGTCCGAGATATGCCGAATAGTAAACTTGTAATATGTATAATATTTTACAGTCAAGCCAGGCAGCAAATTATACTGTATGCAATATTTAGGATAATCAGCCATTTAATAAATTCAAAAGGAATATTTGTCGAGTATTTTTGTTCCATTAACCACTGATAACCGAATCGTTGCATGCGGTCGGTGCGATTTCGGCGGGTGTGTACTGTTGTAAGCAGCGAATTCAATCGTTGTAACAGTGTTGGCAACATGACTGAATCAGTCATTCTTGCCAGTATACTGAGGAGCTATATAATCGTTCTATCGGTAGCAGACAGTCTAGCTAAGCCAAGGGTCAGTAACAGATAGACGGAAAATCAGCAGAAAAACCTCGACTGGACTACCAGTGCTTAAGGACTTGCAGCTAGCTTACACAACGGCGGATGGGAGTGTCTTCATACTTTTTCGTGGCAGCCAGGTTATGTAACCTTTTCACAAAACTGGCAAACTTATAGATGAACTTATAATTTGTTGCTATATGAGTAAATTCTTTGAAATAACATAAATTTGAGGTGTATAGGCGCCATTCGAGCGATGGTCAAACAAAATTAATTGGATCAAAACTCGAGTGACAGAACCGATTAACTCATTACGAGCAGATCAAGATCACCGCACTCAAAAATTGTTACTGGAAGAAGGGACGGTTCTAAAAACAACATTGAAATTATTTACAACTAAATTCCAAACATGATAAATGTGTAAACGATACATGTTCTATGTGAATTCCGCTTGCATTAACTAACTATAAATCAGTATTTCTGCTCATATATTCAATATAAACTTGTTACCCAGGTTATCTCAGATTAATTTCCTTTGCATTAGGTACAAGTTGTCTTTGGAGGCTCTGAATGCTAACTCAGTGAAATGTTTCTTATTAGACAATATTTTATTCGTAGGAGTAGGATTGAATTAACGTTTGTGTAGGCTCCGCTGACAAACATACGAGTACAATTTTCCAAATAGGGCACATTTAACTCCTCAAATTGTTACAGAACACCACCGATTATGCACGATCTTGGCCATTTAGGGTCGTCATCTGCAATAGTGCAGCTATTGAGATGTTGCATAGTGAGTGCACTACGGCATTGTAGCATTGAATGGCTTGGAGTGGTGCGAAATGATATGATGAAGACTGTCAATTGTGGAGACAAAATCGCCTTGTTGCGTTAACTGTACCAAACTTTCACAAACTCCTGCCTGGGATTCTCTTTACACGCTATGCGAGCTTCGGTGTACAATGTACACATTTATGATGATATGAGTGAAGTTCGTCATTTGTTCTAGGTTTGATTTAAGACCGGAACAAGCTTTTTATTAACAATTTTCTTATTGCTTTAGCGCATTTTCTCATTTATTGAAAAAAGGCGCTATTGTGCTCGCCATGTCTGCCCGTCTGTCTGTCCGTCCGTGACTTCACGTTTTCGTCGACGAGAAAATGCGCTCTTTGTCACTCACTGCAATGAGTATTTGTAGCAACCATCCATACTTCTTAATTTCATCCACTAAAGAAATAGGTTCAATTTTTGTCAACCTGGTCAGCTAAGTTTTAGGAACGTTCAGTTCATCACCAGCCCTGTACATGTAAACAAAAAACTTGCCTCACTCCGTACTCCAGCCTCTCCCCAGTCTCTGAGTTTCAGTATACTTTTTTTCCAGCATTGTCAACTCGGTCTTTACATACTGAGTTATATTTATTCTCATAAAGCCGAACAAAATTTCTTGCTGGTGTTGGGAGATCGAAAAGCCACGTTTCAAAACGACATCGGAAAGGAATACAATGTTTCGAATATTCAATATTAACTCTCAAGTAGGTGAAGAGTTTTACAACACTTGAAATTTGGAAATTACATAAGCACATACAAAAGGTATCGTACATACGGTTCGAAATCAAAACTTAAAATTATTCCGAGAACATCTTCAACGTCCTAACAAATCCGGTGATATGCAAATTGACAGCAGGGGACTCATCCTTGATGATGAGAGCTTCTGCCATCGCAAGTCTCGTAGCGTCTGTGCAGCGAATCCCCTGATGCTGGTTCAGGCCTCCAAAATCGCGCTGGTGATGGTTTCGTTATGAGCCTCCCACATATGAATATTAGTTTGATAGTAATAATTTAATAAAAAGCATAGTCTGGTCTTCAATCAAACCTGCATTCATGATGATGTATACATTCAGCCATCACAACTGAAGAGGCCACTAAGATAGGATGCAAAATTGTTCTTCCCTCTATTTCGTCGCTCGCAAGTGCCCATTCGTTCTGGTCTAATGATGAAAACGATTCAACCCGTGCCCATTATTATACCAGGTAGTTATCAAATAACATTTTCATTAATATTAATCTTAGTATGTAACAAACCAGATTATTTAATTGTTGCAGATAACGACGATTCAGAACAGAAAAAGATTCAGAACGATTTGAATGAAAAAAAGTGAAGTAACTCTGTATTAAACACAAATTTATTATTTGCGAAAGGTTTTCGGACGTTCAGCAGCAATCGAATTAAGTCTCACAGTATGTTTTGAACAACCGAAAAGCGAAGAGTGCATGTCACAGAGTGCACGGACGATCAGATTCTCATGGCAAATAGTGCATGGTTGCCGCCCTACGGCCCTCTGGCCATGCAGAGGGCCAACCGGCCAAGTATAGCTCAATGTACACGTGATTATATGGCATTATGACATATAATGATATACACCCCGCGTTCACAATACAAATAATGGCAATTTTTTCCTAATTAGTCCTTGAGAGAAATAACAGAGTAGTAGCACGGAACATATGAGCATCACAAACTGGGACTCAGGTTCATAATCACATAAAGAAAATTAGCTAAGTATGCACAAATGAGAAAAACTGAAAAAATTGTCCAATCGTAAGATGAATCAAACCAAGTAAAGCCGTTTACACCAGCCAATAAGAATGCATAACACGCGGTAAATTTCTCACTCAGGCAAACGCACGTGTTTGTAAAACGGGCTGATGAGACAAGGCAGTTCAGTCTTATCAGGCATCTCACCACCCCTGCTCAACACCCAGTCATAGAGCCTGGGAGTCGGAATTTCGTTCTCACTGGGTCAGTGACATAGGAGAGCAGACTGGCAAACACACGTGTTCAAGAAAATCGGATGCTTCATTGTCGTGGTGCACACGTATAGCCGTTTGTTTAATACGGAACCTGAATATAATTCTAGTGAGAAATAATTTAAATAAACTAAGAAAAATACAGATTCAAATATCGAATAAAATTAAATGCAAACAAAAAAAATAAATCAGTAAACAAAGAAAAATAAGTCATGTTCCTTCAGAACATTATGAATAATCTTCTGGCACGACGATATTAATTCCCAATTCGATAGTAGAGGGTCGACACTCGACAGGTATAACCAAACACACATTAAATGGGATTATTTCACCCGGCTGAACACCCGGCCTTTCACTGTGTCACCTGATATATTCAGGCCAAGAGATATAGACGTGTACACACATCTGCCGTATAATCTATCTCTCTATTTCTAAATTTGATAGTCCTGCGCGAGATATCGCCATTGAACATATTTATTTTACCTACTAAATGAACATTTACTTAAGTACTAATAAATGTAATTGTCTCTTCCAAAGTTATTTTTAAGTTAAAACTGTTACTATGAAGTTTATGGGTGCAAATGAAGGTGCTGTAAGAAGGAGAGGTAGAAATGAAAACATCATTTGAGGGATATGGTGGTACTAAAGCCGCTAATATTTCTCGGCACGCGCTTTGTAAAAAACGAAAATTTTTTGCATTTTTACACTCTCCATCTGCGACATTGAATTTTTCGCTATTAATAAGTAGCCAGACATAGGACATAAATTTGGTAATACATAAATTTTCTGCATCAGTCTAAATTTCTAAATTCTAATCGTGTCTAAAACGCGGTTTCTTTTATCACAACAGTGGCTCGTCTGATGTTGCATCCGTTTCACAACGATCCAAAGCTCGCCCCACAGTCAGCAGTCAGCCCCTTTTCTACAGTGAAAGTGAGTGAATGATCTTCCGAACGAGCTTCCTAAACTAAAATTGTCATTGCGCATGTATTGATGAATCGTTTAAATTACAGCTGCACTAAAATTTATTGCGCGATCATGACGACATAATTAAAAATTTCAGGATATATTTTCATCGAGGTGATGATTAGTACAGTAAGATCTCAGCTAACTATAATAAATTGCTACTTATGAATGATAGGACTAATAGTATGATATGATAAGACTTCTGACCGTTCAACGTTTGACGCGTAAAACTACTACTTACATTTGATCTCCTTCAAACAGTAGTATTTAATAGACAGAAATTATCCACTTATCAGACTCTCATTGATGCCGACACAACCTCCCTCTACCACTGCTCGCGTCTACTGCCAAGGCTGGAGCACTGGGGCCTGGGCTCAGTGGGCTGCTTGGGAGCTTGACGCCTGGCGGCAGCGTGTCACTGCGTGTGGCAGCGGATGGTTGGAATCGAGTTGGAGGCGGACTGCTGGGCAAGCATGTGTTGCTAGACTGGGCCTCATATGATGGAAACTGCGGTTAATGGCGCTTAGATGAAGTGAGACTCAAGAGTGCAATCGCTTACCTTAGACGAAATCCAATTATACATTTAAGCAGGTTAAAAAAGCGTTATTGATACTAATTGTTATTAAATATATCTTCGGTACTTCTATTAGAGACGAAATATAACAATTTAGCTGTGGTTTAGAGTCGCGGTTTAGCTGTGTCCCAAGACAGACGTACGTGTGTGTTGCGCGGGCTCAAAACTGGCCTTGCACTATGCCGGTTTACCACTATTTCTGCATTTTGTACTGAAGCCTTTCAGTAAAAAGACTTTAGTGAAGTCAGGGAAAGCGAATGCGAATAAAGAAAGGAAGTGAATAAAAAGTATTTCCCTATTTATTCTTGTGAAGAAACGAGGGTAAGCTTGTGAGGGCACAGTGCTGTACGCTTGGCTTTCGGTTGGGCCTAAATTTCTTGAGCAGACGCTGTCACCTCTGTTCTGCCCCACCGTCTACCTTCACCATATCCCTCCCCCTCTCACCGGCCCGTCGCGTCGTTCCCTCGACTCCCCCAGCCCACCCCTGTCTTTCTCTCGCCAGCTACAGCTGTTACATCAGCTGAGGCTCAGCTGTTCCGCCCGTCGAAATTTTCGAGGGAACTTTAATATACTCAACTCAACTCAGTTTTGAAATTTTCTCCGTGCTTTTCTCCGTTCAAAAGGTCTAGTTCATGCATTTCACAATGGCTGGACAGAAAATAAAAAAGATGGCGGAAAAGCCCTCTACGGCCTCTAGAAAAAAAAAGAAACCAAATCAGCCCAGCTAGAGACGAAAGTTTGCAAGTAGTGTAAAGTGATCTCTCTGAGCGAAGTCCAGACGGTCACCTGTGAACGATGTGAAGATCTCATTTGTATCAGCTGTTCGAAGTTGAGCTCTAAGGAGTACTCATTTCTCCAGAAATCTAAATTACTGCATTGGTTTTGCCGTGATTGCGAAAAACCAACTCATGGTGCTCGAAAAAGCGAGGAGTCGGTGGAAGAGCACGGCAATGAGTCGAAATCGTTGAATGACGTAGGAAATTACTTGAGTGAGATGGTGCGCTCGCTGCGTGACAAATTGAGCTCGTTATGCAATGTGCTGACTGAAGTGAAGGCTCAGCTGAAAAATACGGAAGAAATAAAAATAAAGCACATGAGAGCTGATTTATCTGAAGTCGCTAGCGAAAGCTAGCGTGAATTCCTTGATAGAGAACGTAGGAAGTCCAACCTGATTTGGTTTGGGATTCCTGAAAGTACCGCATCTGATGCGAAGGACCGAGTGATGGATGACAAGCATATGTTGTAGATTGTTGCAGCAAGGTACTCAACACATCGATTGATGTTACATCGTGCAAGAGGCTACGCTCGAAAGAGGCTGCTGCCAACACCTGCAGGCCTCTTTTGGTGACTGTAAAGGATCCTGCTCAGGTCTGGAGAGTGCTGAAAACAGCGAGAAAGCTTAGAGAATCCGCTGATTACAAATAAGTTTTTGTATAGAAAGATTCCACCCCTTTAGAGAGGGTGGTTTTTCGCAAGAAGTGGCAGGAGAGATTCAGGCGGAAAGGCACGGAAAATCAGGTCAATCACTTCCAAGCTATCAAGACAACACCGGCCGCTCACGGTCAGTCAGAGGAGATGGAGGACAAGTAATTAGTAGGAATGATGTCCGTAGATCAAGACCTGTAAATAATGTAGGAAGTAACCGCATACATCAAAGTGAAAATGTACAAGAAGTTTTAAAATCTTTTACACGAACTCGGATTCCGTTTTGAACAAAAAAAGGGAACTGTTAACTGTGATCGCAAACGATTGTATAGACATTATTTGAATTTCAGAAACACTCCCTAAAAATCACGGGGGGAAAATTGTACCTGCTGATTCAGCTGCCAGGTTTTGATTGTTTTCATAACTTCAATGAAGAGTATAGTGCAGTATAGAGGTGTAGCTCTGTGTGTTAGAACCTCTTATGGGGCCCAGCAAGTTAATTTATCTGCAAAGCATCAATCAGCTAGAGAATCAGTGTGGTGCGAACTCGCTCTAAAAGGCAAAGATAGCCTCCTCATAGGGGTCATTTATAGATCACCTAACCGCACCTCTGATAACAATAAAGTACTAAACAGCCTTTTACCGAGCATGACTTTCAGCAGGTCGCATACGTTGATCGTTGGTGACTTTAACCATCCAGAAATAGACTGGGCAGATGAATCTTCTCCAAGAGATGGGAATAACCCAGCATCCCTGTTCTTGGAGTCTGTGCGAGACACATTTTTAATCCAGAACATCACCAAGCCAACCAATTTTAGGGGTAAACAGACCACAATTATTCTAGATCTAGTGTTTACTAGTGAAGAATCAATGATAGATGAGCTTCGCCACGAGGCTCCGTTGGGCAAAAGCCACCACCAATCATTGTTTTTCAGTATTAAGTGCTGTGCAGAAAAGATGCTTCGGAAGCGTGAACGTTTGAACTTTGCGAAAGGCGACCATGATAGACTCCGTGAAGCGGTGAATGAGGCGAATATTTCGGACTGTAAGGACATGAATGTGGCTGATTCATGGTCGTTTCTCAAAGACACGGTTGTGTCAGCAGTTGATACCTGTGTACCTAGGATTACGCTTGGAGGAGTCAAAAAGCCCCAGTGGATGAACAGTACAGTTAAAGCTCAGCTAAAGACCAAGAGAGAAGCCTACAAGCGTTATTTACGAACTCGCAGCGATTCTGATTTTAGCCTGTATACAAGAGTTCGAAGTAAAGCTAAAAAAGTCTGTCGCACTGCAGTGAAAAACTTCGAAAAAAAATATTGCTAAAAATGCAAAAAAAGAATTCGAAAGCCTACTTTTTGTACGCTAGTTCGAAGTGCAAGACAAACTACAGAATATTTGAATTGAAAGTAGACCAACGAATGTTTTCCTCTGATGAGGGCAAGGCTAACATTCTTAATCAGTTCTTCAGCAGTGTGTTCACAGATGAGGACTTGAACAGTATTCCAGATATTGAGGAGCGCCCAGTCGGCTCGAAGTTAACAGGTTTTGAAATACACGAAGAAGAGGTTCTCAAGCGCCTGGTAGCTCTAAATCCCAACAAGTCATGTGGACCAGACGGCTTCCGGCCCAGATTGCTCAAAGAATTAGCAACCGTTCTGCCCGGCCCATTGACAGAATTCTTTCGAAAAACCTTGAACGAAGGAACATTGCCGTCCGTTTTGAAAGAAGCTCAAGTAACACCATTGTTAAGAAAAGGCGACAAAAGTAGCCCGGTAACAATCGCCCTTTCAGTCTGACAAGTGTTGTTTGTAAGGTAATATATGAGGGATAGGATTATCGATCACTTGACTGTTCACCATCTCCTATCAGATTGTCAACATGGCTTTATTGCCGGTAGATCCTGCTCTACTAACGGGTTGCCTGCCGAAGACCACCAACTGCCCTGGATGTAATGGACCGTCATGATTCCTGCCTTCCGGAACGTAGCCTTCAACACTTCAAGCCGTCCGTATCTAGGCCGTGGGTCGAACCAGCCCGCGGTCGAACGGTCACTTGCCGAAGGACGATAAATTTTGGACCTGAACTATGCTATCTGAAACCTAATCTCAAATGCGGTGAACGTAAAATTACGTAATTGTACGATGCCCGGAAGTCAGATTCGATCCGCGGCCTGGTGGTGCATGGCACGTTCTATGCGAGGCCGGAGGAAGAAAAAGCCGAGTGGTTCACGGCTGATTGGTGGATGTCCGGAGAGATCCAAGGCATTCGATTTAGGGCTTATTGGTGCACAAAATTGGTGGTGCACGGCTGCGCTCTCCTACTAACTTATTGTCTACGTTGAACGATTGGACTCGCCTTCTGGACGAAAGGGAGCAAGTAGATGCATTGTACCTCGATTTTGCCTAAGCATTTAACAATGTTCCGCATGCATGAGCGGCTGTTGCGTAAAGTGCATGAAGTCGTTGGGAATTGAGGGAAACGTACTCCAATGGATCAGAGACTTTCTAGTAGGTAGACGACAACGTGTCAGTATTCAGGGGAGCGTCTCGCCAAAATTTTATCTCGGCTATTTACTGACGGATCACTTTGAAACTTGGTACACATATGTAAAACCGAAGAATAGACAGCTTTTATTCATGTCTATTTTCGAAAAAATGAAAGAAAACGTGAAGTTCTTAGAAAACGGCCAAAAAAAGGGGTACTGTAGAAATATATCTCATCCTAGAGTTTTGAAGTTACAGCAATGAGATATATATGTACCATTCGATTCGCAATTAAAATATCTATCGATTCGTCGTAGCTTTTTTTTTTAATTTCGAATTTTTGTGGAGTGGGAGCATTTTTCCAAAAATTTTCGAAAATTTTTTCTATTTTTCCCCATTCCCCCCCCCCCGTTTTTTCAAAATATTTTCAAAACTATAACGAAATTCGAAAAAAGCTACGACGAATCGATAGATATTTTAATTGCGAATCGAATGGTATATTTCCCATTGCGGTAGCTTCAAAACTCTAGGAGGAGATAGGTTTGCCGTGACAATAAGTTAACCCAGGAAAGCGCGACAAAGTCCCGCGCGTATCGGAATAGCCACTCAATGTAGCAGGGATACGAAACTAAAAGTTACTGGAGCTCGATTCCAGTCAAGGATGGTGGGAGCGACTGCACGTCAGACGATCCCCTTTATGGTGCCCGGGCGGGTAATTTCCGCCTTAAATTTACTGAAGGGTCCGGACACCTCCCCCCTTACGGGATCTGTCGTGAACGCATAAATCAACGTAAAGAGATGGTTATGGTACCGTTAGATAGGTCAGAATGTCAGCTTTAAGATGAGACTATAAACCGGAAAAGCCAAAATCCAAAAATTTTGGCCAGACGCTCCCCTAATTAACTGAACCGTTTCAGACTGAGCAATAGTGCCCAGCGGCGTGCCACGAGGAAGCGTTCTTGGGCCTATTTTGTCCATTGCTTTTATAAATGATCTGCCAGAAGTAGTGTCCAGCGTGTGCTCCATGTTTGCAGACGACACAAAAGTTTATAATACAGTGAAGGATGCGTCAAATAAAGCGCAATTGCAAGATGATCTTGACAGTTTAGTTAACTGGGCTGATACGTGGAAGCTGCGGTTTAATGCTGGTAAGTGTAAAGTACTTCACCTCGGGAAGAACAATGAACAGCAAGATTACAGTATGAGAAAACATGGTTACAATGAGGGAGTAATTATTGAGAAGTCTAGTGTAGAAAAAGATCTCAGAGTTTATGTCGACAAGGAGCTGAAATTTTCTATGCATGTTGCTAATACATCCAACAAACTTCTTGTTCTAATCAGACGCTCTTGCGAGTTCCTAGATGCAGAAGCGACGAAGCAGTTGTTTGTTGCTGTCGTGCGCCCGAATCTAGAGTTTGGAAACGTTATGTGGTCACCGAGATTTGAAAAGTGCAAAAATTCATGCAATAGAGAATGTTCAAAGACGTGCAACAAGGATAATTCCAGGCTTGAAGGGCAAGTCCTATGAAGAAAAATTAAAGATTATGAAGCTTCCAAGCCTCGGTTATCGACGTCTGCGTGGGGACCTCATTGAAGTACCGTGGGGGCCTCGTGAAGTACATATACTCATGGTTTACTTATACTCATGTCCACGCGACAATGTTTCTTCTCGCTTCGAATCACCGGCATGTGGAACAGCCTCCCTGATTACATCGTTGGCGCACCAAGTATGAACGCGTTCAAAAACAGACTAGATAAAGCTATGGAAAAATATATGTTCAGATTTGAAATGCCTATAGCAACATATCGAACCCGGTGGAAGTCTAGTAGCTATTTCAAACTATCGTCAGTCTTGAAAATATCCGGTCAAATGACAAGATTTTAGATCTTCTATGAACAAGTCACGAAAAGTTCAAGATTCGGCGACAGGCCTCATCAAACCTATTCTTTAGCGCCGACATCATTATGTAATGTTATGTTATGAATGGCCTACATGACACTCTCGCATCCGCGTCTTCTCAGTCTGCAGAAGCCGATGGTAGGCGAGGCGGATGAAGATGGAGGCGGGAGACGGGGTTAGAGTGACGGTACACGAGGTAGAATGAAGATGGAGGAGGAAGACGGGATTAGAGTGACGGTACATGAGATAGGATGAAGATGGATGTGGGTGACCGGATGAGAGTGACGGTACACGAGATAGGATGAAGATGGATGTGGGTGGCCGGATGAGAGTGACGGTGCACGAGGTAGGATGAAGATGGATGTGGGTGACCGGATGAGAGTGACGGTGCACGAGATAGGATGAAGATGGATGTGGGTGACCGGATGAGAAGATGGAAGTGGGTGACCGGATGAGAGTGACGGTGCACGAGGTAGGATGAAGATGGAAGTGGGTGACCGGATGAGAGTGACGGTGCACGAGGTAGTGCTCCTAGCTCTCTGGGAGAAGCCCGTTAGGTTTGGGGCAGGGACGCCCCCCGGAGGAAGAGGCATAAGAATTAGGGGAGTGGAGGGAGAGAAAACACATGTAATATAAAGTGAAAGTGCATTCGTAAATGCAGTTAAATGTTAGAGACAGAGGCAAGGAAATGAATAAAATAAGTCATCATTTTTATTAACACGCACCTGGGATCAGAATAAAGGTGCTTGTACACGGGGATAGTGCAGACGACTAGTACATCTGGCAAGTGTTGCTCGCTTGGTGACTATCCAGCTAGTAAGCCTGTACACACGTGGAGAGTAGAAGGTGACGCTATCTGCTCTTTCGCGCCCGCCAGTGCGTCATTAGAAGCCGTCGAGTGAGGTCTGCGAAGATGGTTAGTGGATCACCTTCAACAACTCGATTCTGTACGTCGTTTTTATACTATTTATTCTAGCCCTTGAAAATGCAGCGTCGGGAACAACTAAACCCTGACTAATAAGGTCTTCTTTCCGTTTCAAAATACTCGTTTCTCCCTTCATTTTGTTGGAGTAACCATCATGGAAAACATTATACTTTAATTCATATCTTTGGAATATTTAAAAAATAATTGAATATCGTCTGGAATCCACTTAGTTTGTTTCTTCTTAGAAACATTATCGTTCAAACAAGCCAGGATTCACTTGACCCAAGATACTTCGCAAGAGCGGCACAGATGCTCTCACAATGGCTGCATCAGCGCTACTAGCCACTTCTCCAGCCAAGATATCAACACATCGTTGTCCCGCTCGGCCGCATCTCGGGCACTTGCCGGCGCATGCCTCTGAAGCGGCTGAACCCCTATACACGAGGCTAGTAGCGTGGACAGTTCATGCGCCGGATGAACTAGCGGCTAGTACTATCCCTGTGTACAGGCACCTTAAGGCTTCAAGTCGGAGTGGCTAAGAGGGCTCTAGACACTAGAGACTAGACAATAAGCAATAAATAGCCCACGCACGAGAGCCAGAACCCCTGATTCAACCGTCAACCATGGGAGGATCATACTCCTCAGTGCCGAGCGTATTCCTCCGCACGCGGGAAAGCGCGTCACCTGCCTCGCCTCTAGGGCTGGGCTGGGTACGAAGCTACGAACATGCCCATGCGGGTATTCGCTGGCACTTTCCCGTGGACCCTCGCAGAAGTACGTTGTTACCTTTCTCGAACTCGCCCATCCCTTGCACACTGGGATTCTAATCGTCCATAAATCAAGCTAAAAGTTTGAATAAGACGGTATAGGCTACGAATTTGGCTGTTTGAAACCCAGAAGCAAATCTTTTTACTTTATTTAAAATATCGTCAATCAAACTTAGCGTCTAACTTTGCAACGGCCTCGCTATTAAGGCGGATCATTATTATGGTGAGTTCAGATATTTTTCATTTGAAAAGAGTTGAATTAATATTTTATTTGTATATCAGTAAGTTATAGCTCAAAGCGAAGAATTTTACCTAATAATGGATTGAAGATAAAGAATGATTCATGGAAATTTCCTAATTAGAAAGCTCATTATAAAAAAGGAATAGTATAGATATAATTACAATATTAATTTTATTGAAAAATACATTACCTGAATTTTTGTATCACTTAGTATTAAAGATGATATCGGACAAATAACGGCCCCCATTGTTCATGCATTCATTTAGTCGATTTTTAAATTCCGTTCAACTCGCTGAAGCATATTGACGGGTATGTTGGCGATGGCTTGGCGTATGTTGTTCTTCAAATGATGTAGGTTCCTTGAAAAGTCATTGTAAATAATGTTGATACTGAACCGGGTATGTAATGCTCGTTTAGTAGCGATAATGGAACGGCCATTAGAAAAGTACGCCTAGACAGCAAACGCCCGCTGCTCACTTGTCCAATGCATAGTTACAACTAACCAGACGGAAGTCACGGAACACAAAACTTCATAACCTACCTTGCCTTTCATTTGAAATACTTTCCACCTTTTACCTACAACATCTTGCTGCTTGGCGCAAAATACAAAACAGGAAGTTTTCGTGAATCACCCTATATTAATAGTCCACTAGATTTCATTATTGCGTTTAGGATCGGGTCATATTTTGACTTCATACTTGTGTTAAAGCATTGTGAGACTAAGACGAAAAAATATGAAAGATGAAATCAGCTGAAAATTGTTAACAAAGCGGAACCAATTGCATATATTAACAGTGGAGTGAAAGATTTTTTAATTTACTCCCACTGGCACCAAAAGAGTGCAAAACCTAAAACATAGTAGAGTATGGCAGACGGACTTCTTTTCATGTAACTAGTTTGCACAAAATTTAATCGACATTGAATCGATGTTGCCATTAGATATTTATATTTCTTTTTGTGAAGTTATTGGGAAAATTTGAGTGAATGAATGTTTATCGAAAATTTTCCCATTCACGAAAGTATCCCCCGCTCTAAATGTTGTGAATTAAATTAATTAATTTTGAAGCAGTAACACTTTTTATTTACACATCCGGTTTGCCAGTTTTTCTCACGGTCGACACTTGATGCTTTCTTAAGCATGATCATGTCCTACACAAGAACGATGAGAGCAGCCGCGCTCTCGCCGCTTTCTCTAACCCAGCTCGTGACGCGTTCGCACTTGCAATGCGGCTCTCAGCTACATAACTTGCGTGAAAGTTGAATGATACTACATGCTATCATATCCATTATCAAATTTTTTTATCAAGTGAGAGGCTGTAACTTATTCGTTAAATGGATCGTTAACAAATCTTTTGCAATACGGGTTTGGGTATTTTGCAGTTCACGCCTGCACTCAGATGTTAGTCATGTAACACAATTATTGTGTACAAAGTGTTATAAAAATGTAAGCGAATTTTTTCAAAATTGTCGACACTGGTGCGGGCGTAAGATTTTTAGGCTCACTCTTAATTTTCAACAAAATTTTCACGATTGTGCGCCACGTTAAAGTTTTCCGGCATAGGAGTGGTTGACTTGCTATTGCCGTTCGAAGCCGAAAATTGTGCAAACTGCTCTATCGAGGTATTTAAAGATTTGACCTCTATCTCATTGATAATAATAAGAAATATCTATACAATAAAATGAATTAGCCTTGAAAACCATCCCAATGATGAATTACGTCAAGAGTAATGAGATGAATTATCTATTGGCTGTAATTAAAAAAATTGAATTATTCATATATTTCACTACATATATTGTAATCAGTGATGAGAAAATCTCATGTGCAGATAATAGTTATAGGTTAACGGACTTTGGTTTGTCCAGCTTGGCGATTAGTCAGTCTCGATTAAACGATGAACAATACTCTACTGAAAACTTGGCTTATTAACACCTTAGAAAGATTTTTGCCTCAATTAATTATTGCTCTAAAATCCTCTAGGAGAATTATGCAATTGATAAAGTTCATTGTAAGCTGACTGACTTTCAAAGAAAAATTATGTGCACAATTGTATAATAAACTTAAGATTATAAAATTAATATAAGATTAACGCACTCGACGTTTAACTCTTACACTTATTAATTACACTTATTTATTGAAATGAATAAAAATTTCTGAAATATAGATAGATAAGCCTCTAAGTGTGGCTTTTCAAAAATTTTAAAGCTCAATTCCACGGCTATATTGAATGAACGAAGGACCTATTATGAATAATGTTTATTATGAAGAGGCTATCGCCCCTTTATTATATAAAGAGGGTATACTGAATACATTTATTGTGTATTACGTGATAAGTCAACGCTACTTTCCTTAATTGTTTTTTTTTCTGAGAATAGCAAGCAATTCACACCACGGCTGTTCTTTCACTCACGATAATCTTGATGTTAAATAACTCAGGCTAAACCTAATATCTAAACTACATCTTTAAAATAAGGCACTTTGTACCGGTTACACAATAACAGCTTCACCGGATACTCCTCACACAACAATGTGTGTATAGTTGTTCTATTGTTCTATTGAAAACAAAGCAAAAATATAACTTTCACCTGACTGACCTGATGTAGTATCTATTTCAAAGAATGTACTTTAAAGTTAACCATAATGAGTGGCGACTCTACAATCTGTTCAATAATGATAAGTATCTTATTGAAGATTATCAGATTTATTTTTCCTGTTCAGATTTCGTCGGTAGCCATTAGTTGCTGCATCGCGTTGGTGACATGGGCCCTGCTCTCTACTTCAGCAGCGTCCATGATGCTTGACTCTCATTCGGATCATGTCAAGCTTGGATCTAAGCTTGAACATGAGGAAATCCTTTATCCGGATTACCAAGAGTATCTTGGCCTCAAGCCACCACCTGCAGTGCTCCACGATTTACCTGAGAGCCTTGAACACATGTCATGGCATCTTATCAATGAATACCAGGCGCGGGATATTACAAATGAACACATGTCATGGGATCATACCAACCGGTCACTCGTGATTGACCAGAAACAAAAAAGGAAGAAAAGACAAAGATGGCACACTCGCCGAAAAAATGGTTCGCAACACAACTACAGTACTTCTCCACTCATGACTTTCGTCGCTAATCCTTTTTCTTACATACGGCAGACATGGAACGAAGCTTGGGGTGGAACTTCTCGTTTGATGAGCTCTTCTAACGTAGGATACGTGTGGGCAGTGCCCCTGGCGGGCATGTTTCTCTACGATCTTTTCGTGCCCAAGATTGTGCGGGTCAGGCGGAGCCTGGGGCAGTCAGGTTTGTATTTGAGATTATACCGGTATTTAAGATTCAACTCATCCAAGTACTTAAGGTGTAACTACTTCAAGATTATACCAGTACAGGCAAAATGATCTCTTTCAGAAGTAGCTTGCGAGAGTTGAATGTGAAAGAACTTTACTTGAATACATTTGCCTCGATCACTTGGATTAGTCAAGAATGTATTCATTATACGTTAGTATTAAAAGTGGTTATTAGAGGTTTCGTACACAAGGGTTATTAGAGGTTTCTAAATAAGGGTGTGGAGGGAGGCAGTTTAAATTTAGGGAAGCGCCTCAGATTTGGCCGCCGGAATTCAACAAGCAAGGCAGTAGGGATGGTGCAACCATGACCTTTCGTATTGAATTTGATAATTTCGATTTAAATGGAATAGTAAATTAGGTTCAGTAAAATGATCTCATTTAATTCATCTATTGTGAGTTAATTTAATTTTTTCAGACGTAATGCAAAACTTGAGCTACGTTGACGAAGCATTTCAGACAGTGAACCGCTTATTGTCAGAACGCCGTCACGACAAGCAAGATACAAGTTTAGGTTCGAAAGATGGTGCATGGGGCGTCACGGCTCAATGCAAGCGGATCGAAAAAGCTTGCTATCTATCACGATGGATCCGAATGAAAACGAGTGGCATGGAAAGACTGGTCATGATCTGGTGAGTATTGAGGTGTCCATTGTCTATGTCTGATTCAGGACCTGTTATATCCACATATGCACAAGATATCGTCTCGCTGTTTTATGTCAACAAATCGCGATTAAAAATATGAACGTGCAAATGTACAACATTGATTGAAAACGTAAAAATCGTGCCAACGTAACATTGATTGGGTGGTAGTCTTACGGGAGTGTACATACGTTGTAATTCGATCTGGTTTTTATTGCCACGTTCTACTGCCTCAATTGACTGACGTGTCGTCATTCGCAGGCTTGAGCAGCAGTCGCCAGCGCTGCGAAGATCCCAAGTATACAAGGCCTTCACTGACGGCCTAGCAGGAAACTCGTGCGGTAAATGGACGTGTCCGTGAGTGGAAAAACGGTCGAGTTACATTATGTCACTAATCGAAATGATTACCTTAGTCGTCAAGTTCACCTATCCGTTATAGTGAAGTAGGGAAGTTATTTATAGTGTTATAGTGAATATACAGTGTTATAGTGAATATAGTGTTATAGTGAAGGACACTAGATAAACTAGCAACAAAATTTCGAGATAAGGAATGGTGATTTTGAAACTGTCGGACATCTAGAAGAATGTCAAACGTGAACTTCAACAGCAATTCTGGACTTTTTAAATCTAAAAATCTTCTATCTACCAAATAAGTAGATTCAAGTCAATAGCAGTTCTCTAGTTTATTGTTCATGTGTCTTACATTTAGCTACTTCTATCAGACATTCATTCTCAATGGTAATTGATTTGAAATGAACTACACACAAGTACCGACGAGTGCACCAATAAAAGTATTACTTAAGGAATAAAACGCTACTTGTTCAACACTTTATTTCGTGCAGTAATCACTTGCAGCACTATTACAATAAAAGGAAAATCCTGCATCTGCATGTATACCTTACATTTTATAAATGCGGAAGCAGCAAAATCTACTAAGCTGGGCAAGAAAGTTCATAGAAAATTTCAAGGTGCTTGTCAGTTGTGCCTAAATAAGGATTTCACACCTCCTAATGGCAGGTGTGATTTCAGGTCTTTAGTGCTAAAAATAACGATGTTTATATAACGAGTACTAAAGTAATGCAACCAAACGAAATTAAAGAACAATCCGTTTTCATTTATCAAAGACATAAAATAATCTAACAATTGAGACTTAGCTCTACTGCTCCCGTCGATGAGGCAGTCATCAGTTAAATCAAGTGCAGTACAGTCAGGCTTTTCGCGTACAATTGCCAAATCCTGCATGTGAAGATGAAGTTAATTGGCTAATACATTCACAATATTGCAGGGATTTAATGTTTTTTGGTCATTGTCAAATTAGTGGGTTGAAAAATTTTTCAACTTGATAAAGAATAAAACGAATAATCTTGAAATACGGTGAAACGACCGATATCGATAAGTAGCAATGCATCAACATAAAATTCGCTTTATAGAACATAAAATAGGTAAAGATTAACACAAAAACATGGCCGCAGCCATGGACAAAAAAAAATAATAATCTCGACAGCAATGGAGAATTTGTAGACCTCCGTAACGCGCAAAAAATCAAAGTTGAAATTGAAAACACAAATAAGGATAGAACGTACAGATTTTTTTTTGCGAGAAATGATACTAAATTCAATCGTAGTCACAAACAGAAGAGCTTGCGTACACATAAAAAATGCGTGGTGCCGGTCACAGGGATCCTCTACAACCGCTAAATCCGTTGGAAATGACATCGATATTCATAAGTTTCCTCGCGTACAGAACGGAGAAATAAGATAGAACATTAGAAATGACTGATGATCACCGAATACAATAAAATGGAACGCATTATAAAATCTCGAATATGATCGACCACGTCAGGAAAATGTGGAAAAAATTATAAAAATATTTTTTCTCTCAGTGGCACAATGGGCACTAATTTGTACTAACCATACGTTCAAGTAACAGTTAATTAAATAGATATTAAATGGCAAACTTAATAAGATTCCAGTTGTTCAGTGTTCACATGAGCAATGAGACACAAGCTGACGCTTTGGCGGCTGCTCACAACAAGTGCATTGAACAAAAATAAAACTCTTAACTGAATACAGGATATTAGTTTAGATCATCACAACAGTTCTTAATGCAAAAAATGATTTACCATAACAACGCCTCAGATATTTGCGCGCTGATGCTTCAAATTAATCAAGGGAGATTCGTTTAGATTCTTGCAACATGACAACCAATAATAAAAATAACAGCAATAAATATGTCTTGGAAAGTTCAAAACTAACCTAAAATAGTACAAGCGTAGTAACAGACTATCCCATTGTCTTTTAATACACACAGTAGGACTATATAACCACTACCTATACATTTATAGGGTTAAATCCTATAAATAGGGTCAAGTCCTATAGTTAAGGCAAACGACAAATTGACCAACCAAGCCGCTTCAGAGAGCCGTCACGTAAATAATAAGGAATTAACTCTGACAAAAATAAAAGAGGTGCAAACTATATAGAACAAAATGTAGGGAAAGTAAATGTTAATAACAAAGCAACAGCACTATTGACAGCCAATTACTGCGCGACGACTCGTTTGGCATAATGCGAGCAGACAACAACAAAGCTGCCAGGTGAGATAAGCCAGTAGCACATTTGACGAGATCCAGCACGGCCAGACGAGATAAATTGTATGGATTAGTTCCATGTATATAGGATATTATAAACACCATCGATGTTACCTGCTAATTAATGCTTAGTTAAACATAAATTCCTTTGTAAATATATCAAGCCCCTTGACGCCCAAGTTAAAAGCTAGAACAGCGTGATAGAAGCATTTCTTATAAGCTTTATACGTTTCAGCTAAAATCATCATGGCCTTATCAGTTTATAACGAAACATTATTTTTAGATGGCCATCAAAATTCCTACAGCATTTTAGTTTTCTTTTTGCTCGTGACTATCATTTTTGGGTAGAAATTAATCGCACAGACTTCTAGAAATCCATGAGGGTTCAGAAATCAAGATCAACACAAGCTTGTCAGTGCCGATCAAGTTATCCAACAACAATGCGCATGTAGAAAAATCTTAATCTTGACTAACTTGGGAGCGGATAGCTATGTTGAACAGTCGAGATAGAAACTTGCCACATTTTTTTTGCTCACAATAATAATTTAATCGTCAATGAAGCTTACGATTCACAACCAAACCATGCGACCTGGCAATTTGCGCTCTTGAATATATCATTAACGGTTGTTTACATGGAAAAAATGTAAGAAACGGTGCTGCTGATTGTCTTGCAAGACTAGCAGCATCTCGCTGGAGTACAAGAATTAAATTGTAACTAGTTAGGAACGAACTATAAAAGGCACATCAATAATGACACTTCACAGCACAGTGATATTATGCGCGCGCGAACGATCACAGAAAGAATCACGTTCACTGTATGCGATGAGCTTCCAACATAGAACGGATTTAATAATATAGTGTTGGACATATTGCACACGGTTAAGTAGCACTTTACCTTAAGCAACATGGAATTGCAAAACCAACGCTCAATTCGATTTGAAGTTTTTTCTAACCAAGGAAGGTTTAAATTGATCTCGACCCTACACGCGTTAGAGATGGACGGGCTTCTTGAAGGCACGAATAATATCAATAGATATAACGTGGACTGGGTTAAGTCGCGTGTATATTGAAGTAGCAATCACAGCCATGATTTAAATGAAAGTAAATAAAATCAAGCAGTTAAGAGAGTAGATATTGTAATTTAACATCCATGCTACCGATCGGCAAAATTTGTCACAGAGACTAATTCTAATATAAGATCAGGAATGCTCATTTGAGTTCAGTTTTCACAAAATAAAACCAACATGCTAAGCTTCTTGCTTTCCATTTGGGAGAGCATCCAATTGATGAAAGAGATAAATGCAAGTAATAGAGGCTTCCAGGCACACCTTTAAAAATATTTTTAGTTGCGCTTTAGCACTTCAATAACGGTGAGACGTAATGAAGCCGGAGTCGTGCAACAAGAAGTTAGAACGCACCAGCGCTGGCGCTGCGAGCATCAAAATATCAGTGCGAGCATCGGTCAGTTCGCCATGCAGTGGTAGCTGTTATAGATTACGGCTGATCTGTAAATACTCTACACGTAAAGCTTGCAGGAATAAAGCAGGAAAATGAGGCAACCTTATCCGAAAGAATAAAAGTTGAACAGTGGGACATAGCTAAACACCAGTTTTATAAAAAGAAGCTAAAGCGTGCAACTAGGAATCTATGATAAAGGTGCTATACGAATGAGAAGAAGCAGAAACCAACAGGAGGAGATACCAGTTACATTTTTAGTAACTGCACTTGACCATGCTTTGGAAGTCGTTTCAACTAGTTCAAAGTTCAACTCTAGTTGAAACGACTTCCATTGCTGGGAACTCTTCGCACAAATTGCAATTATGAAACGCACCAGTAGCCGATTATGGACTGAAGTTTAATTTAAGGCTGAGACACCGTAAGTAATATGCATTATGGTTAGGAAAGGAGGCTTGTAGCTTCAGAAGTCTATTATGAAATATATATACGTTGATGGAAGCAATGGAACAATCGCATAACCAATAATTGATCAGTAGTTCAGACAGTTACTAGTCGAAACAAAATTCTTCCGTGGTATTTTACAGAAAGTTTAACCTGTTTCAAAGTTCATTGTATACCTACCGTTTTATTTCCTTATATAAACAGAATTGCATATAAATTTGATCAGACCACAATTAGCTACAAGTTGTAGTAGGGCTGTGCAGTCATGGTATTCTAATATGAAATCAAACTGTGTGTGTGGACTTGACACTGTGGATGGAGTGCCCACTATGTAACTTTTTTCAACTAATTTAGGTCAAATAGACATGTTTTACATTAACAAGTTACTGAGATTCGTGAGAGGGAGAGACATGATCAAACAAAATATTTGATACACACGTTTGCTCCAGATTAATAAAAGGAACACAGTAAACTTTTTCAGATACATATTTCTCGGGGTTTCAAAAAGTTTATCTCCTCACTGTAAACATTAGTGGCTTATCTATGATGGAAAAAAGAATAGCAAGAAATAAAATGGAAGCTATAAAATCCTCCTGCTTGCCCCTAGTAGCCACATGTCCAACAGACACACTAGCCATGCATCAACTCTCGCGGACTTTAGAAGGCTCAAAGTGTGCGGTAGTTGACATCATAACGAGTCTTGTAAAATTTGTAGCCTCCAAATCCTACAGCAAGCAGGGCCAGGGTCAGTGTGATGCCACCTGGAAAATGCCGTAGCTTCAGTAATTTAATAAAGATGATTTATCTTGCTAACGTATCAAGTGATGGTAGATCAAATTACTTCATAATCATCATATATACCTCAAGGGCGTTTTATCATTCCTATAAATACAAAAAAATCGAATTAAATTTTTTGGCAACAAAAAATTAATTTTATTCAAAGCTACAGAAATAATTGGTCGGATCAAGAAAATGTCAATATTTATTCATTACATTCCATTCCTAGCATGAGACCTGGAAGGCATTTCATTCAAGTCAAAACTCACCAAAGAAGCTGCCAGCACTGAAGCCTCCAGAAGCAGGAGCTGGAGCTGAAAAATTCAATATAAAAAGGAATAAAATAACTAAAAATAAAGAGTTTCCGGTATATGGAAATACGGTAAAAAAAAAGGTACGAGATGCTCAAGTGCCAATCAAGTCAGCAAGCCCTCATTTGGTCTAATAATATACATGCAAAGTTCAATTATCAATTAAATAAAAACAAAGTAAAAATCTAAAATTTAAAAACAAAGAAAATTGCAGAAAATTCATCATTTCTTAAAAAGGAAAACGTTTCAGAGTCCAGCTCCATCATCAGTTCAAAACCTAAAACACAGGTACAAACAATTAGCAATAAATTCACATTAAAGCATAAATCGTCAAATGAAAAACAAACCTGAATCAAGCAAATACGGGCAGACAAACCTATCTATTAACAATTTCGAGGGGATATGAACTGCGGGCGGCATTTAAAATAGGCTTTTGTTTAAAAATATAAAGGGACTCTAAAATTCGCAGGTCGGGAACACCGGTCGTAGAGGCTAAAATTAAAAAATCACTATCGGACACTGGAACGTTGCACTGCTCGGCATGGACGGGTACTGCTGAATGAGGGGGATGCGCAAGCAGGTTTCCTGTTCTAAAACTCCTTCCTTTATGCTTCTCCAGCCTAGGATGAGTTAGTTTAGTTAGTTAGTTAGTTTAGTGGCCAAATGTTTACTAGCGCTTCAGCTATTTAGCTATCTCGCACCGAAAGTCAAGATGAACATCACCATAGAGGTGGAAGTTCTCAATTATTCATCACCCACAAGGGGCGGAAGGTCTCAGATGTCCAGCCCGCTGAAGCTGGCTCGAAAGAAGCAGCGTTAGCATCTCAAAGAGACGAAGTGACAAGGAGGGACAGGTGAAAAGCAACAGAAACGAAAACACTCGAACAAGAGGTCGCTTACACGGGACGTCGGCCGCCCGCACGAGAGAGACAGAGAAGGGAAATGTAAGGAATCCTACCTACATAATAACTTAACCCCACAACTGAGATCTGCAGTCAGACACCGCGAGCTCAGTGGTGGGGCGCTCAGGAACAATCCCCCTAGGAACGCGAAATCCCATAGGACTTCTGACGCGCACAGACACGCGTCAGAAGTCCCCCCTGAGGGGAGCCTAGGATGAAAGTTGCAAGATGTCATCCCGACATACGCAAACACACACTTCAGTAGAGTTTAAATTTGTGTGATAGTAATAAAATTAGCATAACCATACCATAACCACTGCAGAATGCATAAAAATGGCAAAAAATTAAGTGTTTAACTAGTAACTCATAAGAAACTTTGGCTGCAGTGAGAATTAAATTGATCCAACCAATAAGAAACTAGTTCTAAATCAATGTTAAATTTTACAAAGTTAAATGTTTTAGCTGCGACTACATTGAACTGTTATTCAGAGGTGGGCAGTAGCGCGCTACATGTAGCGGTAGCGGTAGCGGCGCTACATTTAAGCAATTTAGCGGTAGCGGTAGCACCCGCTACATATTTAAGTAGCGATACGAGGATTTGCCACTACAGCGCTACCGATACATTCAGAGATAAAGCCTTTAGATTTTACTCAATAGTATTAGATATTATTTAAAAACCAGCATGATACCTCCATAATATAAATTACAGAACAAAACTGTACGAAAGATTTCGGTATAATGTTGTCAACCTCAGCCTATTACTAGTGTCAACATGTTAGTTGTTACTTGTTTAGGGGAGCGTCTGGCCACTTTTTTTTCGGCTGTTTACAGATGGATCACTTTAAACTTAGTACACCATTGTAAAACCGAAAAATAGACAGCTTTTAATCATGTCCATTTTCGAAAAAAATAAAAGAAAACGTGAAATTCTTAGAAAGCGACAAAAAAGGGGTTACTGTAGAAATCTATCTCCTAGGATTTTCAAGCTACAGCATTGAGACACATATCATTCGATGCATAAAGACCATATCTATCGATTTATCTTGGCGTTTTTCGAAATTCGAATTTTGGTGGATGGGGGAGCATTGTTCCCAAAATTTTCGAAGTTTTTTTCGATTTTCCCCTATTTCTCCCTCCTTATTTCAAAATATTTTCAAAACTATAACGAAATTGAAAAAAATGCCAGGATAAATTGATAGATATTTTAATTGCCAATCGAATTGTATATGTCTCATTGCTGTAGCTTCAAAACTGTAGGAGGAGATAGGTTTGCCGTGACAATAAGTGCGAATGTTCAGTACAGCCCGACAAAGTCCCGCGCGCATTGCAATAGGCACTCAATGTAGCAAGGATACGAAACTAAACGTTACTGAAGCTTGATTCTACTCAAGGATGGTGGGAGCGACTGCATGCACACCTAATCGTGCGAAGCCAGGCGGATTACTGAGCTGTTCCTCAAGCAGGCACTGTATTTAAAGTGCTATGAACCGAATTAACTCCTATCTAATTTGTTAAAGAACTCCCCCACCCTCCCCCCATTCATGATCTGTCCTGAACGCATAAATCAACGTACAGAGATGGTAATGGTACCGTTGGATAGGGGCAAAATGTCAGCTTTAAGATGAGACTAAACGGGTAACTAAGCTGCACCTCAAGCAGACACTGCATTTAAAGTGCTGGGAACCGAATTATCTCCTATCTAATTTGTCAAAGAACTCCCCCACCCTCCCCCCTTTAATGATCTGCCCTGAACGCATAAATCAACGTACAGAGATAATTTTGGTACCGTTGGAGAGAGCAGAATGTCAGCTTTAAGATGAGACTAAAAACCAGAAAAGCCCAAATTCAAAAATTTTGGCCAGACGCTCCCCTTGTTACGTTACCACTTACCGTTTTTTTCATGTTTCAGTTTGCTTACAATTATTTCCACACAGTTGTTTTTATGTTTCACCTTCCCTTCATGGATGTCTACTTTAATCTACCAATTTCAAAAATAATCTTCATATATATATACAAATAAAAGACTGGTTTTTATATGTATATGAGGATAATTTTTGAGATTGGTAGATTAAAGTAGACATCCAAGTAGGAAAGGTAAAACATAAAAGTAACTGTAACTTTCATTTACTATATCTAACCCGTACTAGTTCGGTTAGGTTAATTGCAATAAAGTTGCATTGATATGTTTTGAAAATGTTTTATTCTCATTAAATGTTCATGAGTAAATCCCAAAAGCAGAACAATAAATATTCAGAGATTTCCAATAATTTTGGCCATTGTAGCGGCGCTACATCTTACTGTAGCGGTAGCGCTCGCTACAATGTAGTGGGTGTAGCGGTAGCGCCCGCTACATTAAGAGCATGTAGCGGTAGCGCAGCTACATATAAAAGTAGCGCTGCCCAGCTCTGGAACTTATATTCAAGATTTAAATATTTCAGTAACTTTCATACCTGCTGTAGTAGTGGTGGCAGAAGTGGTTGTCGGCACCGTGGTGGGTGAAATGGTTGTAGGCACAGTAGGCACTTCTGTGGTAGTTTCTGGATTTGGAGTGGTTGTGGTGTTATCAGGATTCATGGTAGTGGTGGCATTAGAGTTGGGAGATGTGGTAGTTGTAGTGTTTGTGTCAGGGATATCAGTAGTGGTAGGCAGAGCTGTGGTAGTCGGGGCAGAAGTGGTTGTGGGTGCAGCAGTTGTAGTAGTGTTGGTGTCTGGAGCAATTGTCGTCACAGAGGAGTTACCTGCAACAGATTGGGGAACTTCTTAATTCTATCTCAACTCTTTATTATAAATGTCATGTAAGTTGCATCACGAAAGTACTTTGTAAGAATCAGTGCCCTCAGCAAATGAATAATTTAGATCAGAAATTGACACTGTCAATTTTAGATCTAAATTATCCTCTAATGATGGTCTAAATTTCTAAACCATCATCTCCAAACTTTCAGAAATTATTCTATATGGAATTCTTTTTTACCAGAAATGTTTAGCACAATATTGCAGATTGAGCAGTATAAAAAGAATGATTACCATTTGAAGTACCTATACAGATGAAATTTTAATCCATAAATTGATGCAACCAATAACCACATCATGAAACAAAAAATTCATAAGTCTAAGAAAAATCCCCTCTCCATTTGAAGAAGATGGGAAATATGAATTTACTTACACGAAGCTAGAATACAGGTTTCCACAACTTCTGAGAAGCACAAGGGAGTTCCAGATGGCCCACAATTTATCCAGGAACAGTTTTTAGCTGCACAAGCTTCACAGGAATCAATTTCTTCACATGTGTCATTCTGGTGACATTTTACAGGCTTGCATTCAACAGAAGTACTCTGAGCACAGTGTGGTTTACTTGAATTACTTGAGTCCTCACAGTCCACCCAATCACAGCCCAATGCCTTGCAAATGCCACAGTGAGTAATATTGCTGCAGGGACGGTCATCTTCATCGTCTTCAAGGAGATGCATACCATCTGTTTTAAATGGGGGATTGTTAGAAGACAAAAAAGAGCTAAAACATGCAGAAAGTGCATTCAGAGATATTTGTATTTCAAAAGTTGACTTTAATACAACATTATTTAGGTAAAAAGACCATGTATGTAGATGTTATATTATAAGGGCTGTTTTTAATAAACTTCCAATTGTGCCCCTAGACAGCAGGGCAAGCAACATTGGCCAGCAATGCATGGCAGTTGACTCCACTACAATTTAACTCATTTTTGGGTGTCCAACGTCATTCCCAGTTCATCTTAGTGACATATAAAATTCTATACTATGATACAATCTCAAAGTCTGAGTAGTGAAGTGTCATTCGTTTCTTGCCAGCTCAAAGGTTATCTGCAGCAGAAATTCACCATAGAGAAAAGGACCACAATCAATTTTTGAGACAGGGATACAATCAATGCTGAAAGATACTAGCAGTGAGTTAGAAGATTAATTTAAAAGCAAAGACAATACCACAAAAATTCAACATATCTTTATAGGAGAAAACGTTCAAGTCTAGCTCCATTGTCAGTTCATAACACAAAATTCTGTTCAGAAGAAGTTCAGTCCTAGAAACACAAATACAATCAATGTGTAAACTAAAATGCACTGTCAGGTTTCAAAACAGAAAGTAAATAAATAAGACATGAAATTAATGCTAGTAAATAGATAGGCCATTTACTAGCATTAATTTCATGTCTTATTTATTTATTTTCCATTTTCAAACCTGACAGTGCATTTTAATTTACTCATTGATTGTATTTGTGTTCCTAGGACTGAACCTCTTCTGAACAGAATTTTGTGTTATGAACTGAGGCTGGAGCTGGACTCCGAAACGTTTTCTCTCATAAAGATATGCTGAATTTTTGTAGTATTGTCTTTGCTTTTAAATTCCTGGTTAACTTGTAATTCAAGCTAACAAGTGATTTTACTGAGTTAGAACAATTGCAAGGAGCTATCCATAACAAAAGGAGAGGAGTGATCACATTGGGTACAGTGCTCACTGATGACAATGCCTGTCCTCACAGTGCTGCTCTGACAAATGTCTTATTGACAGATTTACATGGGACATTTTAAACTATCTGGCATATTGCCCTTACTTAGCACCTAGCAACTGTCACCTTTCCTCAAAGCTGGAGAAGATACTACCTATGAGGGCAGAGTTTCCAAACAGCTTTCCCATCTCAAATCACTGCCAGCAAACTTACATGAACAAGGTATTATGAAGCTTGTACATGAAAAAAAGTCTCAATTTGAATGGCACTATATTGAATTTTGAAAAGTAACTAATAATGTACCGTCAACTGGGGTGACTTTTTTTTCAGTCCCGTTTTTGATTTTGTTTTGCAAACAAAAGCGGGGTCATTAATGATGGCCAAAGTCACTCAGGTGTTTATGACCTCGTTTACAACCCTGGCGTTTATGACCCTGTTTTTGTTTGCAAAACAAAATAAAAAACGCAGCCGAAGTCACCCCAGTTGACGGTACCAAGCTTTTGATAATAAATCAATTTAATTACTCTCAATAGTTTTGTTTATATACCACATCTGAAGTTGAAAAAATAGCCTGCTTATATTTTCACAATTCTGCAACCATGGATGAGTCAGTTAAAATTATGTAAGAGGACCTTGTCTTCTATTTTACACTTAGTAGGCTAACAAGTTATAATTGAACAACAGTACAGATGTTTATTGCAATAGTTTTAGAAGCAACAATTCTCACCAGGTAGAGAAGGAAGAAACAAAATACAAAATATAGATTGGGAAGAAAGATGAGAATTTAGCAGCAATAGTAGAAGTACTAGTAAAAACTCTCAATTCAACAATTTTTTACAAGTTTTTAACTGAAAATTAGAATTATATGAATAAATTTATCTCATTAAATAATTATATCTGTTTATGTATCTAAACTGACCACACATAAAAACATTACCATCAACTGGGGTGACTTTGGCCACAACTACAACAGAAACAAATGGCAGCAAAACAAAATAATAAATGTTGGCTAAAGTCACCTTGGTGGCCAAAGTCACCCCAGTCACTTTGGCCAACGTTTATTATTTTGTTTTCCTGCCATTTGTTTCTATTATAGTGGTGGCTGGAGTCACCCCTGGCGGCCAAATTCACCCCAGTTGACAGTATGGTACGTATAAAATTTTAAATGCTGAGAAATTCATATTCTATGAGTGCCATTTCTAAAAATAGTAAAAATGTAAGATTTTTATCTCACCTTTATCAAGAATCACTGAACCTTCATCATCAATAGGTTCAAGAGTTGTCATGAGCAGCACTGCATCTTCTACAAGGACAAATAATAAATTAGAAACAAAATGGAAAATTTAGCCACTTTCATCTGCACTCCTAACATCTAAATAAGTTTTTCAAGTTCAATACACATGATGTAAATAAGTAATGGTTCTTCAAACATGTTTGTAAATATTAATTGTTCACAATCAAAATCAAATGAAAGATCACTGATCAGGTCACAAAATTCCCAAGCTATCAATAATGTCACTATGGAGCTGTGGGACTTTGGTATAGAGCAGGCAATTTCCAATCTTGACAGCTGGCTGCAAAAAAATAAAATTTTATTATTAAAAATTTGGAAACCAATAGTGACATTTAAAAAAAATTATAATATTTGGCCCAATCATGCATGTTATTTAATAATTATATAAATAGGAGGAAATTCATCTATTTGAAATTTTATGGCTCCAAGAATACGTAGCAGGAAAGCTCAGGTTGCAACTTAGAAGGTAGAAATATTCTATGCCTGCTGGCAGCCAAAACAGAAAACTGGGCAGAAGCCACACATATTAGAATTTTATTTTTTATTTTACTGAAATCTTGCAGCTACAAAGTGTCAAATATTCAATACATTTGAAACCTTGTGGCCAGGCTGTGCACATTAGTTGGCAATGAGATAGAAGGCAATTCATCTAACAAGAATATTGCAGCTTCAGGTATAACTGAAAAACGTAGAGGCTGCTGGCAAGGTAGATATATTCCATGCACATGAATGAAAAAATGTAACAATGCTTGTGGTCATTCACTAACTTCCACGGTCCTTGCCTTAATTCTTTTTTATATATTAGAAAATTGTTCCTTTTTGAAAAACTTTCAGAAATAATCCTAAATGCAGTTGTTTTTCAATCAGAAACGTTTAGCACAATATTGCAGATTGAGCAGGCAATTAAGGGCTGTGAGAAAAAAAAATTCTGCATTGGTATTCAGACATTCTGGTGATAATAAAATGGAATAATAGGCAAAATTGTTACAAAAACCGCAGGAAAAATTGATAATTTCATAGGCAATTTCTTCAAACTACTGGCAAAAATATGCCATTTTTTTCACTCAAATACAAGTGGAAAATTGAGCAGAAGCCACCTGTGAATTGCACCATAATGCCCATGAATCTGGTGGATGTCATCCAATCCTATGGTCTTTTCCCAATTTTATTAGTAAAAAATAAGAAAAATTACCATTTGGACCTGCGAATTAAAGGAAACTTCTGCCCAATATTCCAAATTAGACTCAAATCAAAGAAATAAAGCAGGGGTCATAGAAACAGGTGGAATTGCAAACAAGCTCAGATGTTTTTGTCTCATTCACAGCCCAACAGGAAATTCTACTCCCCTGACAGACCTACTAATTTTAGTATTTGCTAAAGAATTGGCCTTTAGAATACAGCAGAAATGGGCCTTAGCATACAACAATGAATTTAAGAGGCTTATCTATATCATACCAAGCAATTGATGAATTCTCTTGAAATCACTTTAGTCGTTCCAATTTAGAAAGTTTTTATACAATCTGATACTTTTAGTACCATCAAATGGGGTAATAAGGGATGGTTTTGAGTGTTTTTCCTTAATAACTTCTTACCATGAAACATTTCATAAACAAGTTTGGACTCATTTTAAAGGTATTTGCAAGGGCTATTGTATGGCATATTAAAAAAAATTCCATATGCTATTTGTAAGGTGCCAGACGCAAAATAATTTAAGCCTTCTGAACTAGCCACGGTCCACGGAACGGGGTAATAATCGACACTTGAAATAAAATTCAATTTAAAAACGTTTGAAGCATGCAGAGTGTGCTCATCCATTGCCAACAGTACTCAGAAGTCTTCCTCATCCTTTGTAGATGATGTAGAATAAATGCATTTTCTGTGATTTTTACTTATTTTTGCTTTATTGATATATTACCTCATCCATATATTACCGTATTATTGATGTGATATTACCTAATCCATGGACATGCCATCGAGGATTTACAATGACCTTGTCCACTGCAAGCTTCATATCAGCAGCCATGTAGCATTTCTAGGTAAGCATACAGGATGGCTTGTAATTTTGCACCATTTTAATTGAGTCAAGTGAATTCACTATAACAAAAAAGATTGTAAAGAACATATATACCTGAAACACAAAGGAATACAGGGTCATCAATATTTAGCATTACATTGTTTTTTAAAAATCAATACACTTGCAAAACAGTGAAATGTGTTGTATGGAACCGTGTCGCCTGTAATCCGGAAGGAGCTAAAGTTGTCCCCCCATTCAAGCATGTCAAAAACACCAACTCTCTGCTCAAGTTGTTGACAAACGCCTCTAAAGATCCAAGATTATTTTTTCCCGCATTCATGATGGCACGTTGCCTAACCTTGTTTTCAGTGATGAGAAGATATTCAATGTTGAACACCACTTCAACTTCCAAAATGATCGAATTAGGTCGAAGAATGGGACAAAGGATCCCGTGTGGTGACTAGGAAGCAATGCCCCACCTCAGTGATGGTCTGGGCAGCCGTAACAGAGTCCTCAAGGAGTACCCTCTTCTTTGTTGACAAAGGGGCTGAAATTGAATCAGAAGAACTATCAAGATGCCATCCTTATTGGTGCATTGTTACCCTAGGCACGAAAGCACTTTAAAAAATGCCCCTGGTCGTTTCAGCAGGACTCTGCACCATCCCATGGGGCCAAATCGACTCAGGAGTGGCTGTCCGAAAATGTTCCCTACTTCATTACCAAAGATGAATGGCCCCCATCATCACCCAATCTGAACCCTCTGAATTTTGGGATCTGATCATACCCTGAAAGCAAGGTCTCGACCGTTCACCATAGCAGTTTGGACACCCTAGAGGTCAAACTGCTGATGGAGCGGGCCAAAATCTTGCAGTGTCATTTGTGACTCATGTAAGGCTTTCTCTAAGCGTCTACAACACGTTATTGATGCAGATGGAGGACATATTGAGTGAAATTGAGGGAATTGTATCTCTGAACCTCTGCCTGCATAAATACATTTTCAAATATTCACAATTGAGTTTCATTTCATAGTTCTAACCACTCAAAGTTGTAATGCTAAATATTGATGACCCTGTATATTAGTGACAACCATCATATTTTTCGAGAAATAAAATAGTTTAGGTTAATTGCTTTTCATTCTATGTTGCCCTGTGAACAATTCTATCCATGACATTCTATGCACAGCTTGGTGATGACTGATGATGCACTAATTTCTTGTCAAGTGAATTTTTTTTAACAAATTAAATCTAATCAAAATTCTTTGTTTTTAATTGATTTTTTTTGTTAACTGGAGCCTTTGCTAACCAATGCTGTATTGTAAATGAACTTTTAGGGTTTTTTTTTGCTACAGACCTTAGCAGAGGTACTTTTCCAAAATCTCCCTTTTCACACTTTTTTTCAAGGATTTTTTAGATGTAGTAAATGTATGATTTCTTAACTTGCTTTATGCTACATAGATAAGAAAAAATGTTGAACTTTATGCCACTATTTTTGTTTTGCAATATTTTGATTAGCTTAGCTGCTACAATATTTCTACAAAATGTTAAAGGACTGTCCCCATTTACCCCGTCCATCCCTTATTACCCCATTTGACGGTACGTCATACAGTTGGGCACATGCCATCATTATACACAAGCAGCGTCAGCAAAGTGAGTTGGCTACCTACAACAAATGGCTAATGGCTACTTGGTGTGCATCATGGTAAACTTTTATTGGTGGCGTGATTTTTTATTAATTTATTAATATTAATTTGTTGTGGTTGACTTGGAGACAAATTGCTGATGAATTAATACTTAGTCTGAATTCCTAAACTAGAGTGTTCAAGATTTAACCTTCATTCTTGATTCTTTCAAATACAACTTTAATCCCTCCTATTTTGATTCTTTCCATCTCAACTAAAATTTTTTTGATCAAAAAAGTGGAAGTGGATTGAAAATAATATAGGGTAAACGTACCATATTCCGACATCATGGGTAATTCTGACACTTCTCAACTTTTTCCTTTATATTAAGCTTTGTCTTAGTTCCACGCATGCGTAGATGATTGAAATATTGATGTCATAGTATTGTGCACAATATTTCCACAAAACACAAGGTATGGCAGGAAAATGTTAAGATCCTTAGGGCAAAAGTCCACGTCACCCAGTGAGAACATCAAAAAACGTGTCAAAGTTGATAGTTGACCTTGCTCTACCAAATAGTGATTATCTGTCTGTGTAGAAAGAATATTATGGTTCGAGACCTTTAAAAAGTATTTGCTTATTTCAAGTGGTAAATAAATTAATAGATTGATTAAGTTAAGAGACGGTTTTAGACACAAACTAATTCCGACACAGCTCGGAATCAGAAACACACAGCTTGTTCCGAGCTGTGTCATATTCTGATGCAGCTCACACATGGTATCGGATTTCCAACACAGGGCGTCGGAATTACAAATTACGGTCTTGAAGAGCTGTCAGAATTAGTCTCACAATATGCTGCATCATGTCACACACGTGTTGGAATTCAGCGATTTTGTAGATTTGAATTCTCAAGGCTTTTAAATAAATATGGCAACAGTTTGTGACTTTTCATCATTGCTGGCACATAGGCCTTGTGTGGTGTTTTGAGAGTGACGTAAATCAATCAGAACTCGAGTTGAGCATATGGTGATGGGCGATCTATTTATAGCCATTCATTTCTTGCTATGTCCTTAAGGTGTCGGACAGTCGGAATATGGTATGTTTACCCTATGAACCATAATTCTCAGAATTCTAATTCCTGACTGGTGACTGGAACTAACTAGGGTAAACACACCATATTCCAACACTTTAAGGTCGTAGCAAGAAATGAATGGCAATAAAAAGATCACTGTTATGCGCAACTCAAGTTCTGATTGCTTTACGTCACTCTCAAAACACCACACTACGTGCCAGCAATGATTGAAACGTCACAAACTGTTGCCATATTCATTTAAAAGCCTTTAGAATTGAAAATATACAAAATCACTGAATTCCGAT